AACTCATTCATCCAGCTTTAAGGTTCATATTTTGGGCGAACGTGAACTGAACGTACTGCATTACTGCCTGATGAACGTTATTGTGAACTCGTTCATTCTGGTGTCTGTGAACGGCACGCTCTCTCAGTTCAACTCTGTTTAATAGGTTGCCAGATTTCTATAGAGCCCTCCAGGCGAAACCCCGGCTAAATCACACCGTAAACAGGCCTTAATATGTAGCGGGGAAAACACCCAATCTGGCAACACCAGCTACCAGCGTCGTAGCCTACAGCCGCGTGCGTCATCAAAACAAAATGCAGCGTGGAAGCCGCAGCAGCATGGAGGCGACCGTGGAGGCGACAAAGCAGCAGTATGATCACTTAAAACAGGTTTATGACCAGGTGGTCGGTGAGGATGATGGCAACAATCTGACATTTCTCTGCAAACTTTGCCCGCCGGCTTTCAGGAAAGAAATCCGCACTTAAACCTGCCTGGTATAATTTTCCAGGATTCCAGTATTCCTTTTTAGTATGTACTGAAATGGAATTTCAAATGGAAAAATTAATAAAAAAAAAAAAAAAACATTTGCACCTTAAAGACTACTTTCCTGTTTTTCTTTTAATAATTCCTCATAAAAAAGACCATTCAAGCAGCACATTTTTCCTGATGTTTCTGAGAATATACTGTAGGAGTGAAAGCTGCAGCTGCTACTAGTGTGAAGTGAATGGACAGCAACAAAGCGTTAAAGCAACAATGGGGAAATGCTGTCCCCTCAATGCTAATGTAAACCCTGGTTGGATAAGGATTCAAAACTGGATATGAAGATGAAATCTGACGCACAGTTTCAGAGTTACAACTGATAAAATAATTGTTGTCTGTGGTTCTACAGTAGGCTATGGTGTAATTGAGCAATATATGAAAAAAAAAAGAACTGAACTAGTTCATTTTTTGGAACTGTGAACTTAGTTCAAAATTTTGAATTATGAACTATGAACTGAACTAGTTCATTTTAAAATGTGTGAACTGAACTTTGAACTAGTTCACGTAGAAAGAGAACTTTCCCAACACTGGGTAGAATATCGTTATGTTTCATAAGCCAGAAAGAACATTAGTTAATCAATTAGTTTCCTTTCCTCATTTTTCAGTTAGAGGTTTCCACCAACTCACCGTCAGCCATTGTATTCAACTTTTATTTTTTATTCTAAAGGTTTTTCTTCCTCAGGAAGGAATCAAAGTTGCAGCAATAAGACAACCACCATCATGGCGGTAACTAAAAAGGCCATACTTACGCCTCTAGGGAGCTGCCTATGGCCCCAAGTACCTGGGGGCCCCACAAAACTCTGTTTATGGTTAATGCAACTATTCCTTATTTTTGCACTAAGTGAGCTTAGTGCTTGGAAAATATCTTTCATTCCTTTAACGTCAGATGAGTACAAAACATAGAGAGGAAAACAAGAAGAAAAGGGACAAGAAGAGAGGGACACAACCTAGAACAGATAATGGATGTCTATTCTATTAACATTTCTCTATCTGGAGAATGGGGTTGTTTTATGGCTTCTCCATTCAGAGGGCCTCAAATTCCCCACATCCGCCCCTGGTTATGCCTCTAAATGTCTCCCACCTTGTTGTATTTACTCCAATAAGTGCAAAAGACAAACTTTTCTCTAGTTTGGACACACAGGAACTTACCACTCGTCCAAAGAAGATGTTTGAGTCTTTAACAGTATATAAGAAGGCAGACAGAAACGCTCCAACAGACTCCATTAAATCTGGCTTCCTTTGAACACGCTGTGCTGGAAAAAAAATAGCTTTTGAGGTGTTAAAACACGGCCTGCTCTGCGCACTGCCAGCTCTATAGAAGGTATTCATAGGAAAGACTCTGCGAACGTCGTCATTGTGTGGCAGAAAAAGGAGAAACAGAAAATATGTCACTATGACATCAGTCAGCGATGGTCGTTGGTTAATCAAATGTAATTCTGTTGGTCTGCTGCTGCAAGAGTTAATCCAGATATAGAGAGGAGATGCTTTGCTTTGTTAAGCGTTAGACAGAATCAGGCTGAAGGAGGAAAATACACAATTAAACCCCAGAAAGCTAAAAATCCTGCCCTGCTCCCGTCTCCGAGGATGAATCCAACCTCATTACAGAAACCTGAGAACAACATCATCATTTTTAAGAACATGGCTACGCAAAAATATAGGCCTGATTGTTTCCCAGGAGAACATCTTCTGCAGGCCAAACTCTCACCTGTTGGCAGACATTTTCAGCAGCAGGTTTACCCAATAAAAGATTATTTATAAGATTTATAAGATTACTGCTCTGAAAACTGTTTAACTGAAATAAATCAGTGTTATGCTGCTTAGGATAATCAGAAGTGATTCACTGAATCTACATTAAGGTTGGGAGCCTCAATATACTTCTAATAATATATAATTAATAATATTTATACAGTGTTGGGCATGCTACTTGTCCAGTGTAGTGAGCTAAGCTATCAGTTACTCAACAATAAATTAAGCTTCACTACACCAAAGCTACCGCCTAAAGAATTATAGCAAGCTAAGTTACATTAATGTGTTAACAGTAGCTTAATTACATCAGAAGCTACTTAACGTTGTACCAACCTAATATCAATTCAAAATGAGTCTGATACACTGGTTAAAATATTTATTAAAGATCAGCCAATGACATAACACAGTGTAAAAATTATATGATCAGCATATTAAAATAGAAACTGAAGTATTTACTAGTAGACAAAAAATAAACAATCTGCTGTTATTAGAACAAAATTAAAGGTACGGTGTAGTGTTCTACACATGGAGACATGGCTATGAAACAAAACCCTACAAAAGGCATCTTATTTCTTTAGGGTCTCCCTTAGAGAAAACTTCTTCAGACCTCAATTAAACAGTCGATTCAAGTAACAAATGAAACTGTTTACAAAAAAGGTGAAAAAAATAAAGAAGCTAATTAAGTGATACATATATTTATGTCTCACTGTATAATTTAATTTCTACCTACATATTTATTCATTGTATTTTTGGAGGCAATTAATTGAATACTTTATTTATTGAGCATTTATTGATTTATGCATTTATTTTATATACGGTAGAGCTGTTCCTCCATACCTAAAAATCTTATCTGTGCAAAGCCTAAAAACAGATTTATGTAAACATCCTGTCCGGTAAACTAGGCCATGAAAATACAATATGGAAGTTTCACTACTGCTCTATAATTAGAGTATCTTAGTGGCACATAGATATGGGAGAATTATTCTGCCATAAAGCAAGAGCACATCATTTCAATTTGAGAAAAGAATTTCATTTTCTTGCACTCAAAACATGCGCTCTCTCTCAAATATTTTCTCTTCTCTCTCAAATCTTTGTTTCATCTCCCAGATTTAATCTTTCTTGCACAGATATTTTCTCCCTTCGCTTGCCTCCTTCTCTTCTCTGCTCGAGTCTCAGATACGCTCACAAACCCGTAGGCTCTGCTTGTGGATTTTTTTTGCTCTCTCTCGGATTGCAGTCGGATCGTCGCCTAGCAACTATTCCAGCCAATAGAACGACAGCCTGGGAAAGGGTGCGCTTGTTTAACCCTACTGAGTGTGCCTGTGCTACTACACCACTTATAAGTAGGGGTGCACCGATAAATCGGCCGGCCGATCGATCGGCCCCGATTTCCTTAATTTAGGGCGATTGGTGATCGGCTGATATTTACATATGAAACCGATCTTAACCACCGATCTATTTACCTCCGCGAGTGTCTTAAAATCAGTTTCTATTCCATATTTTTTCTGATCTTTTGTTGAAGTTTTATTTGAAATGTAAAAAAAAATCAAAAGACCAATGTTGTAGTCTTAAGTTTGTTTTATTTAATTAATATTTATTATTTAATTCATGTCTATGTCAAGGCTCTACCTCATGGGCAGTTAAAACAAGTTTATAATGGTTCAAGGCTAATGTCCAAGGGCATGTTTTTCAAGAAAAGATTGTAACATTGAAAGTGAATTGCGATCTCATAACACAGTGTTTGTTATAGCAAAAAAATAATAAAATCGGTATTAACCAAAAAATCGGAATCGGCAGGTCAGACTTTTTAAAGATCGGAAATCGGCCAGAAAACTGCAATCCGTGCACCCCTACTTATAAGAGCGTCAGCTGAAACTGCTATTTACAGTAGTTTTGTGGCTGATTGTTGTTTCAAAATAGAAAACCTGCTTTCATTACTTAGTTATGCCCTGGATTTTGTAGCGTTTGTGGACGCTACGTCGCTACTTGATCAAAGCAATAACGTCACTACTGGAAAGTTACTTGATAAATAAAGCAGCGACGCTACGGTCAAGCTACTGGAACATGTAGTTAAACTAATAGCTTCGCTACATGTAGCAGCGCTACTGCTCATCACTGTATTTATATACCTCATCTGAGTGTCATGGAGCCTAAAAGTTCAATTCAATTCGGAGTCAATATATGGGAAACAGAACAAAGACTGGGCTGATCAGCTGATATGGAGCAGGTGTGGATGGAAGTGACTAGAAAACGGGGGGGATAGAGAAAGGCACATGGGGGCAACACAAAAAACACTGCTTAAATATAACTAGAAAAAAAACACAATGAATCGAATAAATAATTACCAAGAAAACAGAATTAAACTTTAAATGAAAACTCAATAAGTCCACAAAGAGCAGGATTGTGACAGACGTGGTTAATTATTGTAGAATGATTCAGATTCCCACGTCGCTGTTTTTTTATTTAAAAAGTCATCATAGCACGGTCTTACCTTGTGAAGACAGGTTTCTAAGAAGTCCACCTCCAGGATGCTGCGGTTTAAAAACCTATTTACCCAGATTTGACTCTTTGATCTTCAGGTGAACTCTGTTTGTGTGGATTTACACCTTTAAACCGTGCTGTTAAGGAACTGTTTAAATAAAGCTTTATGAGCCGCCGGCAGCAGCAGCCGGGAGCTTTGACCTCCCTGAGCTGATCACAGCATTTAAATCCACCGTTGTCTGTTTCGCCTCCAGGAAACGGAGCTGCCCAACGCCGTCCCTGAGAGTCTGATGGTCCAGACCCTGGAGTTCAGCATCGACCTGGTGGATCCAGGCTACAGGGAGCTGCTGGGCTTCCCGGACTCACCGCAGTACGTCGACCTGGCCAAGCACCTGCAGGATCAGGTGGGACTTCAGACCCCCCGCCTGGGTCACACATGTGCTAAGATCTGAGAGACTTCAGCTACAAACATTCAGATAAATAACCTGTTACTTAGTTAATTCAATTCTATTCAGTTTATTTCTATAGCTCCAATTCACATCATGTCATCTCAGGTCACTTTCCAGTTCACCAGATCATCTAGCCAGATTGATTCAAAGTTTTCTATCTAAGGAAAACCAGCTGATTGCATCGACTCATTGACTCTTCAGCAATCCCTCCCACTAAGCATGCTTGTAGCGACAGTGGAGAGAAAAAAGTCCCTTTTAACAGCAGAACCAGGCTCAGTATGAGCGGCCATCTGCTGAGGCCCACTGGGGTTCAAGGAGACAGAAGCAGACATAGAAAAAGAAGCATAGATACAAAAGGCAACTGTCAACCAGCTCCACAGGCGGCCCCGTCCAGGAAACACACAGCCAGGCAGACGAGCTCCGAGCCAGCTCCCATGTCAGAGGATGAAGAGAGCACATCCAGTTAGTCACAGTCAGAGAAACAGGACTACACTGGAAAACAGGCCAAGCTCCAACATCTAGAAACAAAGGTGTTGATGGCAGAAAGAAAAGAACATGCAGGTGAAGATTCTAAGTCGTCCAGGTCATGGTCATTCCGTAAAAGTTTAGAAAACAATCCACTGGACTTGGTTTCCAAGGTTTGAAGACGTTTCGCTTCCCCTCCAGGAAGCTTTCTCAATTCAAAATGTCTGGATTCGCATTGAGTTTGAGGCTTTATATAGACAAGGCTTGGAAACATGCAAATTGAAGCTGACGAGTGTGTCGTTTGGTTCCATCGTTAGCCTGTAATATCTGAAATCTATCTATGATTTTGAAGGTCAGTCGTCGTCAGTCGGAGGTACTTTGTTCCCCTGTGAAAGAAAAGAACGTTAGAGATTGAACTAACAGATTCTGCAGAGTGGGATAATAGAGATAGAATGAAGCAGAATGATGAAAAAGGGGTCCCTATGTCCTCCAGCAGTCTAAGCCTATAGCAGCAGAACTATAGAGATAGCTCAGGATAACCTGAGCCACTCTAACTAGAAGCTTTATCAAAAAGGAAAGTTTTAAGCCTAGCCTTAAAAGTAAACTGGTAGTTGGTTGAACAGGAGAGTTAACACATGGGTCGTCTTTATTTCCCGGGAGAATGAGCATAATTTGGATGATTTTTTATTTTGAATCAGAGTCAGTTTGTTTTTTTTTTTCCTGGTAAATAATCTCCTGTGATCCGGTTTTCTTTATTTTAGCCCTGCATCTAAAAACAGCCTCCAGGCTGCTAGAAAAGGAGCTTACTCTGCAGGGGTTAAAGGTCAGGGCCAGAGAGAAGGAGAAGATTACCGATGCTTTGCTCCCGCTGCACGGAGTTCCCTTTTTTTTCCTCAATGAAAGGCACGTCGGCAAATTAAATCCCTCCGTGTTAGTTCCTCCCTAACGAGCAGCTGTAGAGGCTCCATGCCCTGTACCATTATGTCATAATGGTACTTAACTGCCAAAGATAGATGTCAATGAGGAATCCCATTCATGCAGGTTTTTCTAAGGCTGACTCATTGACAGCTAATCACCGTCAGGACTAATAGAGATGGACGTCCTGACTGACTCAACTGTTTTCCTTTGCAGATGCAGCACGTTTTTGACCAACTTCCAGGATTCAAAGCCATCAGCGTTGTGGGAATCCGGTAAGCCTGAACGGTGATGTGTGGCGAAACTTATTGAGGAGGTTGGTCTAGAACAACAGGCTAATCAGGCAGCGGATGTGTCTACAGCCAGTTTTTCCACTGAGGCTTAATAGAGACATTAAACTTTAACATCGTTTGGAATGAGAAGCTGTTTGAACTGATGGGAAACGGCCAGTGGAGGCTTCAGAGCTTTAGAAACCAACCTGATTGGTTAACAAACTTTACTGAAGTATATTCAGCCATTTATGTTGGTGAAGATTCTCAGTCATCCAGGTCAAAGTTATTCCAAAAAAGTTTAAAAGATTCTAACGCAGAACCCAAACGACACGCATTCCTGAAGGGCGGACCCGTCCGTCCGGTGTTCTGTCAGACCAGAATACCCCATCAGACCAACATACCTTATCAGACCAGCATACCCCATCAGACCAACATACCCCATCATACCAACATACCCCATCATACCAGCATACCCCATCAGACCAGCATACCCCATCAGACCAGCATACCCCATCAGACCAGCATACCCCATCAGACCAACATACCCCATCAGACCAACATACCCCATCATACCAACATACCCCATCAGACCAGCATACCCCATCAGACCAGCATACCCCATCAGACCAGCATACCCCATCAGACCAGCATACCCCATCAGACCAGCATACCCCATCAGACCAACATACCCCATCATACCAACATACCCCATCAGACCAACATACCCCATCATACCAACATACCCCATCATACCAACATACCCCATCAGACCAGCATACCCCATCAGACCAACATACCCCATCATACCAACATACCCCATCATCATGTATTGTTCTCAGATGAGTCCACCTTTACTGTTTTCCCCACATCTGGGAGAGTTACGGTGTGAAGCCCCAAAGAAGCGTAGCACCCAGACTGTTGCATGCCCAGAGTGAAGCATGGGGGTGGATCAGTGATGACCCCATACTTGTGCTAGATGGGCGCGTCTCTGCCAAGGACTGCCGAACCATTCTGGAGGACCATGTACATCCAATGGTTTACATTGTATCCTGAAGGAGGTGCTGTATATCAGGATGACAATGCATCAATACACACAGCAAGACTGGTGAACGATTGGTTTGATGCACAGTCACCAGATCTAAATATTATTGAGCCACTTTGGGGTGTTTTGGAGGAGCGAGTCAGGAAACATTTTCCTCCACCAGCATCACGTCGTGACCCTGCCACTATCCTGCAAGAAGAACGGCTTAAAATCCCTCTGACCCGTGCAGGACTTGAATATGTCATTCCCAAGATGAATTGACGCTGTATTGGCCGCAAAAGGAGGCCCTACACCTTGTCCAACCCCTGTATGTTCTAATAAGCCATTTCCAAATAGACATATTTATAGATATATGTTCTAACAAAGATGTTACAAAATAACATTTTCCATGAGAAAGTTCTAAAATGCTCAGTGAAAAACATGCAGCTGATTTCTGCTAGCATGCTTTATTGTGCTAAATGAAAGAACTCCTTCCTGAATATTGATTTTTTTTCCCCCCCAGAGAAAATAAAACGATATTTTTCAATCAAGCAGAGTAAGCTTGTGATGCATCGTATGACTGCAGAGGACTGTTATTACGCAGCAGAAGCAGGGCTGTGATCTGGATGTGTGAAATGAATGGATGGTTGAGGGTCAGTACTTATCTGCAGCAGCACAGACAGCTAGCATACAATATTGAAACAGACGATCCCAGAAGGGACTGGAGGAGTAATCTGCTTTCACATCAGCTTCTGACATCATATCTAACCCTGTCTCATATCAAAGGGACTCTCCCAACTCTAACGCTCTGCTTCTCCTACTCATAATGCAAGCGAGACCCTGGACACTGACAGGTACGTGCCATGTCCCCCGTAGGTGGCGCTTCTTTTGTGTTTGCTCCTGTTCCCTGTGTGTCTCTTTATCCAAAGACGACATCCTCTCTTCTTGTTACAGTTCAGCAAAAGACATGACACTGTGTTGTTTTAGGCTCCGTCATCTAATTACCCTCCCCATCCCGTCCCGCCCACGGTGTCTGCGGCTCTCAGGGCCAATAGGACAGAGTGGAGGACTCAGCAGGAGCTCGTCCTCTAACGTCAGAAGGATTCACAAGTTCCTCTGCTTTTCTCTGCAAGACTAATCGCAGCAGAAAATGGTGTCAGAGGAACATTCTGCGTCCTTCTTAGAGTTTACTCATTTAGCCAATAATCCTTGAGGTGTTTATCTTCTGGAGAATCGCAGAGAGGTTGACCTTAACCTCAGAGGGGAGCAGCTGTGAAGCAAGGCCCAACTGGAACCCTCAGCTTATTTCAGTCTAAAGGAAATGATGTAATTTCTTAAATCACCATCGACTGTTCAGACTTTTATAGGTGTTGGAGAAAACTCTAGAAAAGCTGAATGCAAACATTCATTCTGTGCACACTCTAAAGTCCCTTTAATGTGAAAAAAAGATATATTTGTGTTAGAATCTAGAAGCAATCAGCTCGTTTGGGCTTCAATCAGTAGATCAGGGTTAACTTTGACCGAAGAAATAAAAAAGTTAAATGATTTTTAAATATTATTTCAGTTTAATATGGAAAAAAAAGTCAGAACTCTGATTTTTTTCTGACGGCTAACAAACATGTTAGCATCAAGCCGTAGCCATGTCTGTTTTAGAGACCAGCTCTCTTGTTTTAATCACCTTCTGCTCTTCCATTAAGGAGAGTTCAACTAGACGGGTATGGAGGATAAAAAGTGCCAAAATTAAATAAATAAATACAGCATTAAATAAATAATTAAATGTGTCAATAATTAATTAAATGTGGAATTAAATAAATAAACGTGTCATTCATTAATTAAAACCACGTCACTAATATAAAGTGCCACAATTAAATAAATAAATACAGCGATAAACAATTAATTAAATTTGGAATTCATTAAATAAGTAAGGAATTAAATATATAGATGTGTCATTAATTTAATAAAATACGTCTTCATTTTATTAAAAAATATATCGAATTATTTCAGTGTGCATTTAATTATTTCATAGTCCAGTGCATCGAAACCATTAAAAGAATCTGTCAAACTCACCCATCAAAGTTAGGGGGCGGGGTTAACGTGAATCGAGTGAAGTTCATTGAACAGAGGGGTAATGTGAGACTTTTAAGGCTAATTCCTCAAAAACTTTTTTTTTTACAGACTTAAAAACTTCTAAAGATGAGGGAAAAAATATTGATCCATTAAAATATCCCAATATCTTCATATGCTGATATATTGCCATTTAAAAACACCATATCAATCTCTTTTACTAATGAAATATTGCTATATGTCATCGTTATGCTACGAAATCCCCCGAAAATTCACCAAATGTTGCCATATTTTTATATGTTGATATATTGACGCGGTATCGATCTATTTTACTAACAAAATCTCACAAGAATTTGCAAAATATCACGAGAGTTTGTAACAGAACGATGAAATTTCACGAGATTTTGAAAGTAAAATAGATCGATACCGCGTTTTTAAAAATCTATTTGATATCAGCATATGAAAATATATTTGAGTTTATTATTTTTCAAAGTGTCAGAAATGGATAACAAAACTGCTATTTTCAATGACTACTTATTTTTGTCCAGCTTTAACATCGGTATCGATATCGGTTATCGGCTACATGAGTTTTAAAATATCGGCATATAGGATTACAGCCAAAATCCCAATATCGTGCATCCCTAGTTAACACGTGTTTTTCAAACGTGGGTCGACCTGCTAACAATCGGCATTTGGCTCCCTCCCCACTGCCATAAAAAGCTGGTCAAACCCCTCGCTGGCAACTCAAAGCTGCATGTCAGTTTACATAAATACATGAACATTCTTCTCCATTGTGAAAATAAGACACTGTGCAGTATCCAACATTGCTGGTGTTTTAACATAAAACAAAAATGAAAATTTACATCTTCACATTTTGCCAGGGAACGTACAAATGTATAAAAAGATATTAAATTGTTTAAACACATTTGACACAGTGTTGACATATTGCTTGACCTCATTGTTAAAAGCAATTAAAGATATTTCGGAATGTGTAAACTTACATTTATGAATGTAGAATTTTGCCCAGAGAATAATCTGTTTAATAAAGAAAGTTCCATTTGGTTTAGTCTTAGTACTGTTGAGGTCATAAAGTCCAAAAAGGACATCCTTCCAAAATCAAATTTTTCCTCAATTTTTTCTGCAATAAACTTACAAATGTCAGACCAGAGATTTTAGACAAAAGCGCAATGCCAAAACAAATGGGTTATGTCTGCTGACATCATCACGCTGGGTTAGTGTCGATGATGTCACCAGTGCGACAGAAATCAGGAAAGTAAACAATGGAGAGCAACGAGGAAGGAAGCCAGGGCGTAGTCGGTTTCTCTCTATTATCTAAATCTCTCAGAGGAGCTGCTCCATGTTTGTCCAATGGAAACAGACTTGATTCTGCTTGCTAGATCAGAAGCGACTGACGCGGCGTGATGACGTCCGTACGTTGCGTTCAATGGTATCACGTAATTTAGACGGTCAACCTGGTGTTTCCGTACCATGCCGATCAGAGCCGAGGGGATTTTAACGGGTCGAATGCTGAGTCGTTTGTTCCCTCTGCCACTATAAACCCATTGTTCCCGGGTTTAAACGGGTTTTTTCGGCCATTTTGGAAAGGGGTATTAGAGTTAAATTAGCTAGCAGCTAAAACTACAGCTTGTTTGTCTTACTAGCATTTGCTTTGGTTTCTTTGAGAGAGCGCTGTAGCCCGACCTTTTCTGTGGGTAGGGATGCAGTGGTTTTCCTTTCTTTTCAATAGGATGTAAAAGAGCAGAAAGATGGAGGTTTAGGTGGATTATTTTTTATTCTACGTCTCGCCACCTCTGAAACCCTCGTCTTTAGATCTGGGTGAAAACAAAAATATTACTCCAGCAAACAACATCCAAATAGAAACTAACAGACCTTCAGAAAACCTCAACAATTACTGAAAATAATCAGGATGGAGAATAACTAGAATATTTAAGTATTTATGTCTCTCTACAGCCTCTTTTTTTCTCTAATTGAGAACAGCTAAAGTTTCCTCCGATGTTAACATCCAGATGCTTAGATTAGGTGTCTGCTGATAATACATCCATGGACACGGCAGCAGCAGACGACACTGAGCCTGAATGCAGAATTAGGTTTTTAGTGCAGATCCATCTCTGCAGCCTGAAGAGCAAACAGCAGCTCCCACTAAGTCAGACGAAGTCACCTTTCTAATCAGATCCATCATCCTCAGCGACACCGACGCCGTAGAATATTAATAAGGTGGAAACAGCTGCTCAAATAGTGAGGAGAGTGTTCAATGTTTACATGATTCAGAGTTTTTTGCAGTAACACAGTTTGGTTTATATTTGATCAATGAAAAAAAAAAACATTTAGGTGATATGATCCCTCAGAATCACGACGGGACCTGAACCTTCCACTCTCAGTCTGAGGAAACCTGTTTGTTATTTCAGGGCTGAAGGGATCTCCGTCCACTACGCCATCGTCTTTGAGAACAACGTCCATCAAGCGACCTCAGAGAAGTCGGACACAGCAACTAGAGAACCGGGGAGCTCAGCGGACGCTGGTCTCAGAGGAATGGTGACCAAGGCTTTGCAGGAGAAAGCGTCTCTGCCGGTCGACCTGGACTCACTGAACTTCCAACCAGGTACGGATCGAAGGTCCCTGCAGGTTGGTGCACAGTTCATGGAGTTTAGGGAGTTCCTTAAAGGTCGCTGTAGCAAAATTTCATTTATACACAGACAATAAATCCCTATAACTGAGGTGAAGGAAGGAGGGTTCACATTATATTATATACATACACTCACCGGCCAATTTATTAGGTACCCCATGCTAGTAACGGGTTGGACCCCCTTTTGCCTTCAGAACTGCCTCAATTCTTGGTGGCATAGATTCAACAAGGTGCTGGAAGCATTCCTCAGGGAGTTTGGTCCATATTGACATGATGGCATCACACAGTTGCTGCAGATTTGTCGGCTGCACATCCATGATGCGAATCTCCCGTTCCACCACATCCCAAAGATGCTCTATTGGATTGAGATCTGGTGACTGTGGAGGCCATTTGAGTACAGTGAACTCATTGTCATGTTCAAGAAACCAGTCTGAGATGATTCCAGCTTTATGACATGGCGCATTATCCTGCTGAAAGTAGCCATCAGAAGTTGGGTACATTGTGGTCATAAAGGGATGGACATGGTCAGCATCAATACTCAGGTAGGCTGTGGCGTTGCAACGATGCTCAATTGGTACCAAGGGGCCCAAAGAGTGCCAAGAAAATATTCCCCACACCATGACACCACCACCACCAGCCTGAACCGTTGATACAAGGCAGGATGGATCCATGCTTTCATGTTGTAGACGCCAAATTCTGACCCTACCATCCGAATGTCGCAGCAGAAATCGAGACTCATCAGACCAGGCAACGTTTTTCCAATCTTCTATTGTCCAATTTCGATGAGCTTGTGCAAATTGTAGCCTCAGTTTCCTGTTCTTAGCTGAAAGGAGTGGCACCCGGTGTGGTCTTCTGCTGCTGTAGCCCATGTAGTCATGCTGGTTTTCCTTTAGTATGAGCGCCACCAGCGTCACATCACGTGACTAAGAAACCGTAACGGGATTGGCTGGGTGTTAGACGCCACAATCCATTGCTAATGTCTGTGACCTGAAGTAACCCTTCCCTTTTTACACTCAATTTAGACGCCGAATTTAAGACGGTGAAATAGAGCCAGTTGAATCTCAGGAGGCTGAAAATATTGAGTTTGAATTTTAAAAGGTTGAATTTTTTTATATGCAGATTTTTTTTAACACTGAAAAATTAAACAGAAAAATAAATATTGAAAATGTAATCACTTTGAAATAGTAATGTGAATTTTTAGCTTGAAGAGAAAATAAATGAAATTTCATCTGTGTAGAAATAATGACAATGAACTTCTTTTTAGGTCAAAAATGTGTTCTGAATATATTTTAACGCTGAAACAGTAAATACAAACATACAACATTTAAACTTCAGTGGCAATTTAAATTAATTAATTTATATACATATATATATATATATATATATATATATATATATATATATATATATATATATATATATATATATATATATCCTTCACATCTTTTAAAGATCTCATTTATTCAGTAAACTCATAGCTTCCTGTTGTTAATCTTTAATATAAATATGTCTACTTTAATACCCATGGGCGGTTCTAGACGGGGGCCAAAGGGGGCCAGTGCCCCTGTAGATCATGTCCCCTTTACTGAAGACAAAATACTCAAAGAAATTCTAATGATGATGCGCTGCAACAGACATGGTTACTGATTGGTCCTTTGGATCCATTTCATTTTTTTTCTTTACAAATTCTGTTTAATTATCTAAAAACAATAAGGTGATAGCTGCAGTGGAATTGAGGTAGGATGTTTTTTTCAAATAAAAAAAAAAATAAAAATTTTTACAGCTGAATTTATCAGTTTTTCTTGAGTTCTAATTCAGATTTTATAGCTGTAATTCTAACTTAAATTAAGCCAAAAATATGTACAATTCCAAAATTATGAATGTATATTGACATAAGATAGAATTTTAATTAAACCTAATTGAATAGAAATTTCATTTCAGCTCTCTTAATATATTTGAATCACTTGCTCTGTTTTTTATTTCATGCTTTTCTGGGCCCCCATGGAAACAGGCAGGGGCCCTCCTGGCCCCCTGGTACATTTTTGTCTAGAACTGCCACTGTTAATACCCGTTTTTTTTTTGGGGGGGGGGGGTTAATCAGTAAGTATTTAATACAGTTGGCTCAATAGAAAGTTAAAATATAATTATGTACTTTTTAAATTCTGCATAATGTAAAGAAATATTTACCCCAAGAGAAAAACTCTGGATCGCTAAGAACAATTAACTTTAAATGAATTTGTTAATTAATAACTTGCCTCCCAGATTAATGGTTATAACAGCGACGTGTTGCATATAGTGATTGTTTTATGTATATTGCTAATATAGTTATTGATCTGTTGTTTGTTGATGGAGAAACGCCGTACTGTCAGGAAGGACACAGCGTTTTCCTCACATAGAGCTGTTTTAGTCTGTGATGCAGTCTGTCATTACATTAATGTCCTCCCTGTGAAGACAGTGGAGTTCATCCCACACAGTGGAGCAGAAAATGCCCCTCAGGGCTTCATCAGATCATTCCTCTGTGTTTGCACGCTGCTGGTTTTCTGTACAAGTGGTTCATATATACAGGCTGGAGCTGAACCAGGAAATGATGTGAGGCCCCCAGGGGCAGCGGGGGTGATAAAGCTGTTTGCAATTTACATACAGTTAGGCTATTGTTTTATTGCTTCCAGCAATGCAGGTAACACAGCGAGTGAAGGTTAGAGGACAGTTAGAGGACAGAGAAGCATGGTTACCATGAACGTAGCATTAGCTTGGCAGCAACAGCTCTACACTGCAAAAACCACCTAGAAAATAAGTCAACATTTCTTAAATTAAGTGTTTTTATTCCTAATTGAGTAGAAAAATAAGGAATAAAAACACTTAATTTTACTCTTAAAATAAGATATGTTAGGTTTATTATTTATACATCATGTCTGTTGTTACTCTGTTAGCCAGATTAGACAGAGTAGAAGGCCTTCCTTCTCATTGTGGATGTCACTGTGTGTACGGAGGTCATTTAATCAGGACAGCCTTCGTATCTTTAAGAATACACAGGATATGGGAACATCTTGGAGCCGGACTGATAGAAGAGAGCTATCTGTAACTCTGAAGCATACACTGGAAAAACTATCAAGAAATCAGTAATAATGTCTAAAATTAAGTGCACCCTTCATTTGAGTCGGTAAATGAGATAGTTTGCCAATGGAATTAGTATTTCTACTCTTAAAATAAGATAATTAGATAACATGCACTTGAAATAAGACAATTCAATTGTGTTTTCTTATTTTAAGTGTAAATTGTCTCGTTCCATTGGCAAAATGTCTGTTTTACCTCCTTAATCCAACAACAAAAGCGCTTATTTTAAGAAAAAATGACTCATCTAGATTTCAGTTTTTTCCAGTGTAGAAACATGCTGCATGGAGTTCAAGACATGGATGACGTGTCAGTTTCTGATACGGACAGCTAAACATCCACATGATCCAACACATAGACTCATGAGCTATAAGAAGCAGGAGATGACCTTGTTCGTGGCTCAATCTTTGTCGGACGCTCGCGGACGTGATTTTTGAGCCCACAGCTGTGCAAGCTCCAAGCATTTTCTCTGTCCTGTAACGACCTGATCTGGAATAAACTCTGTTACTTTTTACTCCAGTTTTATAGTCCTTTTTATATGGTTTTACCCAGTTTGAGTTAAGAGTAGTAAATAAGTTGCTCCCAGGAAAAGAACCGTGAGGAAGCCCCCGAGGCGCAAAATGGACATCTAGAAAAGTCATTTTTTCTTCAAATAAGTGCATTTGTGCTTGGATTGATGAGGTAAAAGACACATTTTGCCAATAGAACAAGACAATTTATACTTAAAATAAGAAAACACAATTGCATTGTCTTATTTCAAGTGCATATTATCTAACTATATTATTTTAAGAGTGAAAATACTCATTCCATTGGCAAACTATCTCATTTACCTACTCAAATTAAGGGTGAATACACTTAATTTAAGAAAATTAGTTATTTGTTAGTTATTTGCGGAGCGTTTTTCCAGTGTAGGGGTCATAACTTCCTCATTTTAACAGATAATTAGATAATATGCACTTGAAATGAGACAATGCATTAGTTTTTTCTTGTCTTGTTCCATTGGCAAAGTTTCACGCTTACCTCAATTCAAGAAAAAATGCACTTATTAAAAAAAAGAATGACTTGAGATTTCAATTATTTCCAGTGTAACGTCCTTCCCCTGAACTAACAGGACAGCATCATCTGCGTACATTATCATATTTAACTCTGAACAACGTTAGTTGAATCATTGATATATATATATATAGATATATATATATATATATATATATATATATATATATATATATATATATATATATATATATATATATATATATATATATATATATATATATATATAATATGAGAATAACAAAGGCCTGACTGCTGATTTAACTCAGCTAGCTGCGGCTAGTAGCTGCTTCATTGTTTAAAAGGAACAGACCATAATAATATACCGGTATCTACATGTTGGCTCTATGATTTCAGGAAGTTTTAAAACACGGGTTCACAGAATACGATCAAATTTAATGAAAAACCCAAAATACTCTAAAAAGCAGGAGCCACTGACACCACCACCCGGAATAAGCAGAAATAATTTTTTAAAATGCCAGCATTTATGGGTTTAGCTGCTTGTTGTTGAGATTATACTGAATAACTATCTGTAAAGTCTTTGGTCATTTACTTTGTTCTTCTCGTGTTTCTTTAAAATAAAGCTGATTTTTTTTTTATTCCAAAACCATAAAAAATTATTTTGTGAAAAGAAAGCCTACAAATATAAAAATAGTGAAACTTTCCAGCTAGAAAGTCGCACTGTAGAAAAATAAAAAACAGGCCAGAGTTGATTTCAGTTCTTGGACAGAAATGTCAGATCTTTGTGATGTTACACTGCAAAAATGATCTAGAAATAAGTAAAAATATCTTAAATTAAGTGTATTTACCTTTGATTTGAATAGGTAAATTTGATAATTTGCCAATGGAATTTGTATTTTTACCCATAAAATAAGATAATTAGATAAAATGCACTTGGAATAAGACAACGCAATTGTGTTTTCTTATTTTAAATCTAAATTGTCTTGTTCCATTGGCAAAATATCTCTTTAATCTCCTCAATTTAAGAAGAAATGCACTTATTTTAAGAAAAAATTACTTATCTAGATTTTGATTTTTTCCAGTGTAACCTTTCTACACCTGCTGCAGCCTCCAAGTCTGTCTGAGTAATGATGACACTGATACCTGCTGCTCAACATTTAACCTGAATTGGTATCATCTATGTGGTTTATGTCTCTGTTTTCTCTGCCTTGGTGAAAATATGATTATATTCAGGTTTAAATGTTTTCATCGAGGTCGTTCAGTTTTCAACATATCTAAATCTGCACAGATGTCTTGGTCATAGGTCAATTTTTATAACTGTATTTGTCCTTATTTGATAAAAGATCATCTGCAAGTGGAATAAGTTTTTAATTAAAATATGCTAAGATGTTATGCACTGCAAAAAAGACGTAAAAAAGTAGTTAAAATCTCTTAAATTAGGATTATTTATCCTTAATTTTAGTAGGTTAATGGGATGATTTGCCAATGGAATTAGTGTTTTTACTCTTAAAATAAGATAATTTGATAATATGCACTTGTAATACGACAATGCAGTTGCTTTTTCTTATTTTATATGTAAATTGTCTTGTTCAATTGGCAAAATGTGGTATTAATAAAGTCAGTCAATCCATCAATTCTTATTTCACTCATCAGCCATCTTCTATAGGCAAATTGCCTAACTTAGCTGCTCAAATTAAGATAGAAGGCACCAATTTCCAAAGAAATATGCTTATATTTCATTTTTTGCGCAGTACTCCTGGATGACATTCATAAAAAATATGTTGTGTTTTTTTCCTAGGAGAAGTAATCATCTTGCCAAAATCAACGTTAGCACCTACAGCTGAAGTACTGCATGAGGTAAGAACTCCAACTGGTCATCTAGCCCTAAAAATTACCAAAAAATTACCAATCTAAATTTTAAAAAATTGTTTAGTAAGCAGGAACTGTAGTTGAAAAGAAATCTGAAATGTGTGTGTCATACGGCGCCCCCATGTTTCCACAGTCCAGTGAACCAGAGTCGCATAACGATTTTAACGTCTCCATCCCTGAGCCAGAGATCGATAAACATCAGCCTGTGGCTCCTCTCACCCCCAAGGAGAAGGAAAACGACCTTGTGACCCTGCTGGATTCCACCGCTGTCTCACCTGGCGAGACGGTCACAGTGACTGATGGGATGATGGTGATCAGTGATCGTTCCCCGGCTTCACAGGACGTTATTGATGAATCAGAAGCAATTTACGTGATTGAACCAGAGCCATCAAGCCACGAACAAGAGGAGGAGGAATTGCTCATCATTACCCATGAGATTGAAACCATTCATCAGGATGAAACCGGGGAACTTGTGCGTGTCTTCATCCCAACCCCGCCTCTGCTTAATCAGGGGGAGACGGAGGCTGCATTCATCACGCCGTCTCCTAACCTGATATCAGAGGAAGACCTGACTCCTGTTAATAAGGAGGGAGAAACTCCTCATTTGAAAGTTGTTCATTTTACCCCAACAGCTCAGATATTATTCAGTGGTGCTGTTAGTGATAAGGAGCTGTCTGAAATTACAACTCCAAGCATCAAGCCTGCCGCCATCACAGACCTGCCACCGACAGCGCCGGGACCAATCCTTCAAGAGGATGAAGACATTAATACTCTTCCAGATGAGGAGCTGGTAGATTCGGCTATTTCCAAACCCAAACAAGGTCACATTCTGGACAAAGGATCCCAGGATATTGAGGGTTTGCAAACTGAAGTTGTCCCGCTAGAGCCAGGCAAAGCTGTGGACGTTCGACCTGATGATGGGCTTGAGGCCATTAGGCCAAGTCTCGAGCCAGTCGAAGCCTCCGAACCAGGTGAAGTAGTGTTAGAAATGTCGGAGCCAAATGGCGAAGCAACAGTTGAAATCTCAGTGCCAGACTTAGAAGTGGAGAGCCTTCAAGAGTCAACTGAAGAGGCAGGTCGAGTTTCCGATCTGGATACAGCGGTCGACACTTCAGGAACAGAAGCTGGTGAGGTGCAAGAGCAAGACCTAGAAGCAGACAAAGCAGGAGTAGATGATTCTACGCAAGAAAAAGAACCGACTAAAGCTACAGAGCCAGAGTCAAGAAGTAAGGATGAGGCAAAGGTTATATTTAATGTGGAAACAGTTGAAACAGTACAAATAGAAGAATCCCTATCAGAGACAAACAAGGAGGAGACCACACCAGAGGTTTCCGTAAATCAAGTCAAAGAGCAAGGTGACATTTTCCACCCAGACGAGGCAATAGTTGAAACTACAGAACAAAAGGAAGACAAGAGAGAGGAAATGATTCAGGTGTCTCTTTTAGTTCCTCAACCTGAGGAACATTTGATGGACGTCTCAGAAAAAGAGGAAGAGGTGGAGCTCGTTGGCTCCACAGATGAAAAAGTTGTAGAAGGGCCTTTTCATGACATCTCAAAAGAAATGGCAGCCGATGTTTCAGACGTGACGACAAAAACGCCACCTGAGAATCAAATATTACCTGATGTCCCTGAAGATAGGTTTCCCGATTTAACAGAAGAAAGGGTAACCACAGTTATGGTCGACAGAGAGCCTGGAGATACCAAGGAAAGAGTTCATGGTATCACTGAGGAAATGGTTCCCATAGTCACAGAGGAGCCAGGTTCTGAGGTTATAGAGGACAGAGTTGCAGAGGTTACAATGGAACCAGGTTTTGAAGTCACTCAGGAAGGAACGATTCCCAAAAACGTGGTAGAAAACGTTCCTGAACTTATAGAAGAGCTGGCTACTGAAGCCACAGTAGACAGGGTTCCCGAAGTCAGACAAGAAATCACTCACATCACAGAAGGGGTTTCTGAAGTCATAGAAGATGGAGTTCCTGAAATCCCAGAGGAACAAAAAGAACTTGAAGGTTTTGAAGTCGGCGAGGAAGAATTGGTTCCAAAGGATCTGAAAGAAATTGTTCTTGACCGGACAGAGGAAGCAGGTCCGAAAGCCACAGAGGAAAGAGTCCCTGAAGCCATAGAAGATAAGGTTCCCAAAGTCACAGAAGATATGGTTCCCAAAGTCACAGAAGATAGTGTTCCTCATGTCATCGAGGATGAGTTTTCCAAAGCCTCTAAGGAGACAGTGTCCAAAGTTACAGATGAAGGCATCAACCTGCATGGAGTTAAGGATGAGGTTTTTGAACAGGAGAAACCGGTTCCTGAGGTGGAACAAGTTCCTGGGGTTCAACAAGTTCCTGAGGTGGAACCAGTTTCTGGGGTGGAACCAGTTCCTGAAGTGAAACCAGATCCTGAGGTGGAACCAGTTTCTGGAGTACAACAAGTTCCTGAAGTGGAACCAGTTCCTGGAGTGCAACAAGTTCCTGAAGTGGAACCAGTTCCTGGAGTGCAACAAGTTCCTGAGGTGGAACAAGTTCCTGGGGTTGAACCAGTTTCTGCGGTGGAACCAGTTCCTCAGGAGGAACCTGTTCCTGAAGTGGAACCAGTTCCTGAGGTGGAACCAGTTCCTGGAGTGCAACAAGTTCCTGAGGAGGAACCTGTTCCTGAAGTGGAACCAGTTCCTGGGGTTGAACCAACTCCTGAACTTGAACCAGTTCCTGAGGTGGAACCTGTTCCTGAGGTGGAACCAGTTCCTGAAGTGGTACCAGTTCCTGAGGTGAAACCAGTTCCTGAGGTGGAACCTGTTCCTGAAGTGGAACCTGTTCCTGAAGTGGAACCTGTTCCTGAAGTGGAACCAGTTCCCGAAGTGGAACCAGTTCCCGAGGTGTCCGCATCTGATGAATTGGTAGATAGTGATGCGAAGCCTCCTACAGAGCAGAAGCTACCTGAAGGTAAAAAAGCAGAAGAAGCTGATGTCATTAAACCAGAGGCTGAAAAGGTTGGAGTTCCCATACATGAGGAGAGGCCAATGGACGTTACAGAACTAGAACCCCCTCCACAAACCGAAGAGAAGATTAAAGATGAATCTAAACCTCCAGAACAACAGATGGTATCAGAAAAAGATAAATCTGACCTTCTCACAACAGAGAGAGAACAGCCTAAAGGTTCAGAGTTGGAACCAGAAGAAGGTGCAATCATTTCAGAAATACTTCCTGGGGAGGGGGTTGTTGAAACAGCAGAGTCAGAACTTAGGAGGGAAATCACAGAACCCCCTGCAGAGTCCATAAAAATCCTTCACACCTTAGACAGGCTGGACGACGTCTTCCATAAGGAGGAAGGTCTTCAGGTAGTGGAAGAAGATAAACATAGTCCTCCCATTGATCTTGATCATCACAGTCCATCCCTAGAAGGTAATTTACCCATCGTACCAGGACTCGTCCAGACCCCGGGGGAGGACCTGAGCACACCTGAGCTCATCCATCCAATCACAGAAGCCTTTTACTTTGAGGAGAAAGACGCAGTTGCTTCCAGACGTCCAGAGCCTATAGAGAGTGACCTAAACACTGAAGCACCATCTGTCTCAGGTAACAAAACATCAGGTTTTCTTTGTCTATTAAGATTCATGATAAACTTTTAGATTTCTTGTCATTAAAAGCCTCAAATAGGTGAGTTTGTGTTGGTTGTGAAAGAAATATGGTAGAAAGGTAGAACATGGTAGAACAAACATTTGGCAGAGTTTTCGTTTCCTGTTTTTTTTTAGATTTCGTAACTGTGACGGCGGCGGAGGAGCAGGTCCCACCGAAGGACAGTAGAGTCACAGACGACTCTTCAAAGGAAAGTCAGGAACAGGAAACGTTTATGACTGCTCGACCATTTTCAGATGCTTTCCCTACACCGCCATCTGCCGTCGATTTGGTTGAGGTCACCTCAGCTGGTCCGACTGTCGACTCTGGACTCACTGATTTAGCAGAGGACAGATCAGAACCCGGGCTGAGCGAACCTTCTGTTGACGCCATCTTGAAAGAGGCAGAGAGGGGAGACACTGGAGGCCCACTCACCTCTCCAGATGTTAAGGAGGTTTCTGAGGAACTGGACCAAATCAACGTCCAACGTAATAAGCCAGGCGGTGATATCTTGTCTGCTGGTATTACTGTTTTGCCTCCTGTGAGATACGTGACCACACCCACCATGACCACAGCCAGCCACGGACAGGAGCTCATAGTGTTCTTCAGCCTTCGTCTTACCAACATGGACTTCTCAGAAGACCTCTTCAACAAGACCTCTCCAGAGTACAGATCTTTGGAGCATACCCTTTTAGACGTGGTGAGTAGAATAAATATTCCTGTTTCACAAACTTTTAAGCGCAGCATTTCTGAAAGTCTAACCTAACTGTTAATGGCTCCTTGTTCTTGATGCACGGACAGTCCGGGCAGAAAATGAGGCGTCTGTTACCGTCCTTCAGTATGTCTCTAGACGTTTGTGAAACTGCACCAGCAAAAGCTGTTGCTCGCTTACCGTATTTTCCGCACGGTTCCGCATAGTTACATACAATGAGGGGCGTGGAAGCCCAAAATGACATTAATTTTGAGGACCTTGCGGACGCGTAGGCCTGTCGCAATAATCAATAACTCAATTAATCGCACGATAAATAAAAACTATCCACATCATTTCATTTATCGGCTATATCGTCTCTGGCTGTGTTTTTCCTCTTTCTATTGATGACGCTGGATGAAACTCCGGTGCTATCCACTGACCCCTCCCCTTCCTCATTTTTGAAGAGGGACGAAGAGTGGATTATCGCATCAGGTAGTCAGCGAGCATCATTTTGTACTTCTGCAGCTTTAGAGCCCCGTGAGGGGTTAGCGAGGTAAAAAAAAACATATCTTACGTTGGGGGAAAAGCTTGACATGGAACTGGTTTCAAAGCCGAGCGCAAAAGCCGCAGTGTAGAAGTATTTCGGATTCAAACCAAACGACCGAGGCAAACCGCTGGACCTATGCGAGCCAGTATGTCGCATTTGTCATAAAACAGTAGCAACTAAGAGCAGCAATACAACCAACCTACCCATGCACCTAAAGCACAACCACCCAGCAAAGTTTCTCCAGCTGCGGACAAAAAGTACAAGCAGTGGTCCGTCTGCGTGTTCAAGTTCGCGACAGTCCACCATCACTGAAGCAATTCATCCACAGGCAGCGTACAAAAAGGACGACGCAAAGTGGCGTGCGCTCACAGACAGCGTAGTTCATTTAATTGCTCGAAAAGCCGGCATTTCGAAAAATGTTGCAGACATTTGATAGACGGCATAAACTCCCCAGGAAAACATACTTATTACAAACGTGACACGTCTACATACAACGTTTTTATTTCCACTGTGGTTTTATCTGGTGTTTAGTTTTTATTCAAGTGTATTTTTAGTTAACAGAGACTGAGAGTCCATTTGATTTTTATTTCTCGTTTTATTTTGTTAACCAGTTCCAGTGTTAAGTGTTCTGTTGAAAATTGCATCGATTTTTACGTCATTTCCATTAAATCAGTGTAAACAAACAATATTATCGTTTATCACAACAATTTTTGAGACATTCAGCAAAATTTGTTATCGTGACAGGCCTACGGACGCGTGAAGCATCAAGCTTTACCGATTCATACCTCACCTAACCCTGATTCAACCCTTAGTCTTAAGCCTAATCCCCAGCCCCTTTGTGTTAAAAACGAAAAAAGCTTTTAACACAAAGGTTTTTGTGGAGTCGTGGCTCTGATGATTGACGATTTTGAATCAATTTGACTGGATGATCTGGTTGAACTTTAAAGTGCCTTGAGATGACTTGTGTGGCGAATTGGCGCTATAAAAATAAACTGAATTAAATTGAATTGAAGCAACATGGAGGTCCATCCTCCTAACCTCTTTTCAAGTCAGATGCAAATCTAAGACCCACCTGTCTTTCTCCTGAGTTGTTTTAGTCTTTTCTAAGGGGGGTTGATGTTTTAGCTTCCAGGCTTCTGGAATTCGTCCTGAAATTAGTTTCAAAGAAGTAAGATCAGCAAATCATCAAAAGGCCTAAAATTTTAGCCATAAAAAAAAAAGATTTTAACAACCAGGAGAATGACGGATGGCTCTTTGGTTTGCATCTGACTTTAAGCCTGTTTTGTTCTGTGATCGGATCATGAGGCGCGTTTCCATTCACCATCACACTGTGCAAATTTTAGTTCTAAAAAGTTTGCAAGTCTCAACTCGTGAACTTTAAGACCTCATGTTTTCAAATAAAACGTTTTTACGTTTTGATGAGTTTGTTTTAAGACCTTAGTGCCTCTTAAAAAAACGAGAAGAAGACTGGAAGTAGTTGGAGGATAATGGCGCCCCCTAGTTAGCCTCGTGAGACCATCCTGATCTCGCGAGCTTTCAAGGTTTCACTCGCAGATCAGTCTGGAGACTCTCCGTTAAAGAAAATTTGGAGCCGTTCACCAAACGAACGTCCAATCAGCGTTGGCTTTGAGGCGGGTTGAGGTGTGACGCAACGAGAAGCGCGACAGTTCAGCCTAAAGAACATGGCGGCTTCAGCCGATGAAACTAGCGTTAGCGTGGCTATCAAGCAAGTTTTATCGGAATTACAGAGTATTTCTTCACTGAAAGAAGAGCAAAACACTGCTCTGGAGGCTTTTCTCAGAGGAAAGGATGTTTTTGCTCTTCTCCCGACTGGTTTCCGCAAAAGTAGCCTGGCTTGTGGTTGTGTTTTCATCGTCGCTCGGTTAGTACGTCATATGCTTCGTTGATCTGATTGGTTTATTTGGCCCGTCTATCACCAACATAGGCCAATCAGCTAACCAGTATTTTCGCCCCTTCCCAAAATTACTTCAACGGAAGGTTTCCAGATGGATATGCGGAGCAAATCCATCTGGCGGAGTCAGGCTAGCCCCCTAGAGCCGTAGCTGAAATCGGATACACCTCATGTGTTTACATCAACGCTGCCATGTTGTTTTCAGAGTTATCACGTCAATAAACACGTACAATTTTGATTGTATTTGTTATTTAATGGAAATAAAGCAATTGGGAAACTTAGCATTTTCGAATTTAGCGTAATATAGACATGTTTTGTGCAGATCTTTAATGGAAACGCATCTGCAGAGAATTTAAAGAGGCAGTTTCTTTCAGGCTTTATCAGGGGCTGTAGATTTCTATTTTTAGAAGTTGTGATTTACTTGTATTGTTGCAAAGTTGCGACTTTCTCATCTTTATTCATAACTTCTAAACTTTTGTCGTCAAAGATGAAACTTCTGATGTTACAGGAAGACAATGAGGCAGTTATTGAACCCCACAGATGAAGACAGGGGGCTGGGAAATCCAAATCTGGGACATAAGACCTCCCCAGTCCGTTCCATCTTTATTGCGTTTTAAATTTACATGTTGATTATGTTTCAGCTCCATTTCAATTTTAATATTATTTGCAGTTTAATGCTGTGATTCCCAGAGCTCTAAAAGGATTCAACAGCTTAACCGGGACGTTTGTTCAGCTCAGTCTATATTAGCCTGTCTGAAATTTGAATTTAGAACAAAAACAAACAAACTTTGGATCTTTTCTGTTCCCCTCCTAATAAACATGCTGAGAACAGCAGCGATATTTTATTATTTTCTGTGTTTTAAATAGTTTCTTTATTAATTTAAGCTTTTTTTTCCAGGTATCTGTAGTTTTATTACGTCTGACAGCTCCGATTCTGAGCCTGTTATGTGGAGGTTTCCTCTAACAGCTGCTCCTCTGCTCCTGCTGCAGCTCCTGCCGTACCTGCAGGCCAACCTGACCGGCTTCAGGAACCTGGAGATCCTCAACTTCAGGAAGGGCAGCGTCGTGGTCAACAGCAAGATGAAGTTCGCCAGGACCGTCCCTTACAACATCACCGAGGCCGTCCGCTGCATCCTGGAGGAGTTCTGCTCCTCAGCTGCCAGGAAGCTGGACATGCAGATCGACCGCCGCTCGCTGGACGTGGAACCAGGTGCTCATTTCCTCCAAGCTTGTCGGGTCATCAGAGATGGTCCTCCTGCTCAGGTCGTCTCTGAAGTTTCTGCTTGAATCAGGAGAAAATGAGGGGTTTTTAATTTCCTGAGGTGGGGGATGAAAGCCTCTCTCTGCAGCAGCTGCAGTCGTGTTTTATGATGCGTCTCATTCTCGGTGTGCAGCAGATTAGACTCACAGTCCTGCGATAATAAGAGGCGGTGTTGTATCGCCGGTTCTGCTCGGTGCTGTAATGATCCCTGCCGACGAGGCGCTGAGCGTCCATCATGGACACGTTCAGACGGCCGCCGTAATTGGCTCCATCAGTCACTTCCTCCAACCCTCCATTAAACATGGCTGGAATAACGGGGAGGTGAACTGGGAATGATGGAGGCTCATATATAGAACCCAAAATAAAACAGCAAATCAGCAACATCATCATGGAGGCTCAGTTCTGGAGGACCGGTCCACTCTGATGTCAAAACCAGTTTCAGGAACCAACCTGTTGATTCTGATGAAATGATCTTCTAGCTTTCAGGATCTATAACATTTCAGATCTGGGTCAAGTTGAAGCTGTAAGTTCTGCTAGTTTCTACTTTATTGAGGCGAAGCTTCCAACTTTTCAGTTCAAATAAAATCTGCCATCATGTCTTCCTCAAAAATACTGAGCAAAGAAGCAGGAAATCAGTTCAAATGGGTCATTGGTTCTGTGTCAGCAGAACCTTTGCTCTTCTATTGGATTCAGGAGTTCTGATCCGCCTGAATGATCCAAGACCGAAGGTCCAGAACCAGAGTGGAGATGCAGCCTTTCCTTCATCAGCCAGGCCGTTTCTCTCTATTAGCAATAGATACTGTTCTAGTCTATGCTTGAACCGGTTCTGGTCTAATCTGGAACCTGTTCTGGTTTAATCTAGAACCTGTTCTGGTTTAATCTAGAACCTGTTCCGGTCTAATCTAAAACCTGTTCTGGTTTAATCTGGAACCTGTGCTGGTCTAATCTAGAACCTGTTCTGGTTTCATCTAGAACATGTTCCGGTCTAATCTAGAACCTGTTCTGGTTTAATCTAGAACATGTTCCGGTCTAATCTAAAACCTGTTCTGGTTTAATCTAGAACCTGTTCTGGTTTAATCTAGAACCTGTTACAGTCTAATCTAGAACCTGTGCTGGTTTAATCTAGAACCTGTTACAGTCTAATCTAGAACCTTTGCTGGTTTAATCTAGAACCTGTTACAGTCTAATCTAGAACATGTGCTGGTTTAATCTAGAACTTGTTCTGGTTTAATCTAGAACCTGTTCTGATCTAATCTAGAACCTGTGCTGGTTTAATCTAGAACCTGTTCTGATCTAATCTAGAACCTGTGCTGGTTTAATCTAGAACCTGTTACAGTCTAATCTAGAACCTGTTCTGGTTTAATCTAGAACCTGTTACAGTCCAATCTAGAACCTGTGCTGGTTTAATCTGGAACTTGTTCTGGATTAATCTAGAACCTGTTCTGGTCTAATCTAGAACCTGTTCTGGTTTTATCTAGAACCTGTTACAGTCTAATCTAGAACCTGTTCTGATCCAATCTAGAACCTGTGCTGATTTAAATCTGGAACAAGTTGTGAAATAATCTAGAACCTGTTCCAGTTTAAACTATAACTTGTTCTGGTTTAATCTAGAACCTGTTCCAGTTTAAGCTATAACTTGTTCTGGTTTAATCTAGACCATGTTCTGGTTTAATCTAGACCCTGTTCTGGTTTAATCTAGACCCTGTTCTGGTTTAATCTAGACCCTGTTCTGGTTTAATCTAGACCCTGTTCTAGGTTGTTGGCTCATTTCAAATCGGCGCATACAGAACATTCTGGGCGTGAATCCAGCTTTAGGAAATCCGGATCTCAGGAACAGAAGCTGGATGATGTTCTGAGCGACTTTACAGACGTTTAGCTGCTGCAGCTCAGCCTCTGCATCTCTCTCTTCATCCGTCGTGGAACCGTTCTACCTTTCTGTGTCTGACTTCCTCTCTGGCTAATCTGGACTTTAGAAACTGATGTTTTTTTATCCGTATCTCTGAGGGAGGAGCTCCGTAAATGATTCCTCAGCGATACGGATCTGACCAGAGCAGCTGCTGTTGGGGTTCTGATCCTGATTCTCTGCTCCTTCTCTCTGCAGCTGATCAGGCGGATCCCTGCAGGTTCTTGGCCTGTGGAGACTTTTCCAGCTGTGTGGTGAACAGCTGGACTAAGGAGGCCCGGTGTTTGTGTGAGCCGGGCTTCCTGTCCGAGGACAACCAGCCCTGTCGGAGCGTTTGTGTCCTGCAGCCAGATTATTGTCCGGACGGAGAATGTCACATCGTTCCGGGACGAGGAGCCGAGTGCAGGTAATGGAACAACCAGCAGATAGAAACAGTCGTTACTGCAGCGAGGTTCCCTGATTATCAGGCAGAACTTCACCAGAGGAAAGACGATTAAACCAACTATGGAACCCAGACTAATTTATGGACGTCAGCTTTTAAACGTCCACCTTTGAGCTGCAGACCTGCTGCTCCTTCTGGAATAATGAAGGAAGGAGGCGGAGCTCTTGGAGCAGATGTCTGAGCAGTTGCTGCTTCAGTTTGTGTGCAAACCACCCGTTACCGAGTCTAAAGAAATGACTGAGGTAGATTTATCTGCTTCATTAACTCCGCAGCTACGGGTGAAGAATGGAAAATATGATCTAATTCATTATTGATCTGATGCAGGTTTGAATGCAGGGAGGGAAAGATCAGGACCTGAAGCTCTGATGAGTTATTCCTCATATTAAAGAGACGTTTCTGCGCTTCTCATCATCGGGGGGGATTTACCATTAGGCAATACCAGGCAGCTGCTTAGGGCCCCGAGTTCCTGGGGGCCCCATAAAACTCTGTTTCCATGTATGGTTAATACAACTATTCCTTATTTCTGCACATTATGTTTTTTGCTAAAATGCCATCAGAACGCTGATAATATTAAGTGTGTCTCAGCCCCCCCCCCTTCAGTGTCCACCATATTGGATCAGTCCATTTGCTGCACATGTTCAGAAAGGTCCAAACAGACAGCAGCAAACCATTTGAAAACAAACCATGCAAAGAGCAGTGTTGCCAACTTAGCGCTTTAGTCGCTATATTTAGCCACTTTTCAGACCCCTCTAGCACTTTGATTTCTAAAAAGCTCCTAGCGCCAAATCTAGAGGCTTTTTTCTGCTACTGGAGACTTTGGAGACAACATCTAAAAGCAGCGAACTCTGCTCTCCAGAGCGAGTAGATTGGTAACCCCGCCTCCTGCTCTCCTCTATCTTGTAGGGGTAGAAGAAGAGAGGGACACATCCTAGAACAGATAATGGATGTCTATTCTATTAACATTTCTCTATCTGGAGAATGGGGCTGTTCTATGGCTTTTCTTCTCATTAGCCCGTTTTACATTTCCCGTTTTCAAACCGTGCCGAGATCGGTCCGAGCACGGTAACCGAGATAACTGTTGAGCATAAATGGCACGCACAGCTTAACCGAATCACGCCAGACACAACCGAACCGCGCTAAACTGGTACTAGTTCATCAGTAGGGCTCAGAGCGGTTCAGTTCTCAGATAGAAGAGCAGTTAGCTTCCAGTAGTTAGCCGTGATGCACAACGGCCACAAAACAGAAGAAGAAGAAGAACCGTAAACAACAATCGAAATTTTAACACTGCAGTAGCAGCCATTCAAAATGGCGCTTCCCAGTAAAACTCCCCCCGAATGGCAGCCCACTCCCCTACGACTCCCAGCAAAATCCCCTCCAACTTCCAGCCGCTGGTCATCTCCTGGGCGTGAATTACAGGGTGTGGCCAGGAGATGGAGCTGCTCTTTAGATCCTAATGTCCTAAAATCATGATAGAAAGAACATTTTAATACAAAGATTGATGGGAATGAAGGAATTGTAGGGGACCAGTCAAGGACCCATCAAGGAAAGCGGAGACATTTTTAATAGCTTTTATTGTGCATTTTTAAGAATGGCTTCAAAAGAGCGTGCTGTGACCTGCGATGACACCGAGACCGAGCCTCTTATTGCTATTTGGGTGGAGGATGCTAACCAGGGGCTGCTGGATGGAACAAAACATGATCACAAAGTTTTCCTAGCAGAGAGAAGTAGTACCGCAGATGGTCACTAGGAGGCGAGGAACCATGCTAGCCTGGTGCGTAAATGGCCGTAAGGAGGTCGGTCCGAACTCGGCACGGATCGGTTTTCAGCGGGTAGAGGAAATGGGGTTATAATCTCAGATAGATTTCCTGTTTTTAAGGTTCTGCAGCTTGAATTTCTCACCTGGTTCCACTTTCGTTTTTCTTCAGACGAAAAGGCGGATCTCTGCGGCGAGACCCGAGCAGTTAGGAAGACATTGGATCGGACGGCGCCAGGGAACGTGATTAAAGGTACTGAGGAGAGCTCAGCTGCTCCTCCTTCCTCCTCTATGCAGCTAAATTTGTTTTTGATCATCAGAGCAAACGGAGCATCTGATGGTTCTAGTTCTAACTGCAAATGAAGCGGAAGAGTCAGAATCAACTCTGCAGGTTTTAACTAACGGGTTTTAATCTTCCTGCAGACTCAGAGACACGACTCAGCAGCAGAACCTCACTGGTGACTCTTCACCGCTTCACATGAGAGGAAGATCTCCGCTGGCAGAGAGGAGCTCAGCTGATGACCCTCCAGCTGATCAGGACCGACCCGACGGGTCGATGCGATCCCAGGAAACCATCTGACCAGAACTCTCCCATTAGTTTGATTTCTATGTAGCTATAGGAGGAGCTGAGACTCATCTGCTCTGCATCAAGCCTTCCAGATCGCGGATTTTAAGGGTTCCTCTCTGCGCCGTCGCTTCGGTTCAGATTCCTGGAGGTGAAGCTCAGCTCTGGACTTGGACTAGACCGCTGCATCACCTTCATTCTCCTCCTGTTCATCCATTCTAACCTTTGCTGGTTCCTCTGGCCCAGTGTCTCCTTTGGTCTCAGGGTTCTAATGGCCAACAGGTTCTTCTTTTCAACAAAAAACACAAAGAGGAAAGACATCAGAAAAAAGCCCAGAAGGACAAACGTTTTCCTCCTGCTTTGATCATTTGATCATGAGCTTTGATCTGGTAGCCGAGGCCTGAAAACTGAAGCAAACGGATTCAGAGGAGGATCTGATCTGATCTGATCCAGCTCCATCCCTTCGGTACCGCTGATAAAATGCAGCGGATCAGAGGAACCCGGTTCTGGTCCTTGTTCAGCCCTGGTTGCTGGGATGGCTGAGGAATGACCAGTCCTCAGAGAACCGCCTTCCTCTGGTCTGTCTGAAGGATTGTCGCTACCCGATCCGTCCTGGAAGCACGATCCGTCCTGGAAGCACGATCCGTCCTGGAAGCACGATCCGTCCTGGAAGCCCGATCCGTCCTGGAAGCCCGATCCGTCCTGGAAGCACGATCCGTCCTGGAAGCCCGATCCGTCCTGGAAGCACGATCCGTCCTGGAAGCCCGATCCGTCCTGGAAGCACGATCCGTCCTGGAAGCCTGATCCGTCCTGGAAGCCTGATCCGTCCTGGAAGCCTGATCCGTCCTGGAAGCACGATCCGTCCTGGAAGCTCGATCCGTCCTGGAAGCCTGATCCGTCCTGGAAGCACGATCCGTCCTGGAAGCTCGATCCGTCCTGGAAGCCTGATCCGTCCTGGAAGCACGATCCGTCCTGGAAGCTCGATCCGTCCTGGAAGCCTGATCCGTCCTGGAAGCCTGATCCGTCCTGGAAGCACGATCCGTCCTGGAAGCTCGATCCGTCCTGGAAGCCTGATCCGTCCTGGAAGCTCGATCCGTCCTGGAAGCTCGATCCGTCCTGGAAGCTCGATCCGTCCTGGAAGCTCGATCCGTCCTGGAAGCCTGATCCGTCCTGGAAGCCCGATCCGTCCTGCTCATGCGCCATCAGCTCATTCGCGCATCCAAATATACATCTGGCCCTTGATTTCATTTAGTTTAAAAAAAATAATAAATGTAAATAAAGTTTTTCCCTCCCCAAAAATAGTAAGCGTACTAAACTATAATGTGTTAAAGGTTAATAATGTATTTCCTGGGAAAATAAATGCCTTAAAATCCTGTTTTATCTCTCATCTCTGCCTGATCTGCACAGGAAATGGGATCCTATGCTACTTCCGGAAGCTAACTTTTTCGGCTCTTTTTGAGTTTTATGCCTTTCTTTCAAATTAACATTATGGTATATAGTTCGTAATCTAAAGAAAGAAGCAACTAAAATGCAGATAAACATGGTTTAATCTTATTCTGCCGGACTGCTGTCCCATGATGACGTCAGAGGAGCAGTTTAACGAAGGAAATGTAAAAAGTAGGAATGCACGATATAATCGGCCCCCTATCGGTATCGGCCTTAAAACTGAATATCGGACATCAGCCACCCCACCGATATTTAACCCGATATTTGATCAGCTTCTGAGTTTCTAAAGTCTAAAAAAAAAAATACTACTTCTTCTTCTTCCTCAAAAACTTCTTTTTTACAGACTTAAAAACTTCTAAAGACGAAGGAAAAAATATTGATCCATTAAAATATCCCAATATCTTCATATGCTGATATATTGCCATTTAAAAACACCATATCAATCTCTTTTACTAATGAAATATTGCTATATGTCATCGTTATGCTACGAAATCCCCCGAAAATTCACCAAATGTTGCCATATTTTTATATGTTGATATATTGACGCGGTATCGATCTATTTTACTAACAAAATCTCACAAGAATTTGTAAAATATCACGAGAGTTTGTAACAGAACGATGAAATTTCACGAGATTTTGAAAGTAAAATAGATCCATACCGCGTTTTTAAAAATCAATTTGATATCAGCATATGAAAATATATTTGAGTATATTATTTTTCAAAGTGTCAGAAATGGATAACAAAACTGCTATTTTCAATGACTACTTATTTTTGTCCAGCTTTAACATCGGTATCGATATCGGTTATCGGCTACATGAGTTTTAAAATATCGGCATATCGGATATCGGCCAAAATCCCAATATCGTGCATCCCTAGTAAAAAGCATCAAAATTGTCTCACAAAAGTCATAAAACATTGTTAAAGATGTATATTAGCATTCTTTAGTAAGTTGAGGGTAAATATAAATAATTTTAGAATCATAATTAGATTATTTATAGACACCCGGATGTATATCAGTTCACGCGGGACGGATCAGGGATCATTACAGGCGACCAATTAGGATAATCTGCTGATCCAATTATTTATCCTCAGCATTTAGATCCAAATGTTTCTGAAACTAATATTTTCCATCCAACTGAGGTTTTACCAACATTGATTAGAGGCTAAATGTTTCTGTGTGATCAATAACGTTATAAAGTTATTCCTATACAAAATAAGAAGCTTGACTAACTGATGGGAGTCATATCTCAGCGTAATTAGGAGAGTTTGGCATATGGGAGAATTATCCTGCCATAATGCCAGAGCACATCATTTCAACTTGAGAAAAGAATTTCATCTTCTTGCACTCAAAACTTCTAATGCTCACACTCAAAACATGCGCTCTCTCTCAAATCTTTGTTTCTTCTCTCAGATTTAATGCTTCTTGCACAGATATTTTCTGCTCTCGCTTGCCTCCTTCTCTTCGCGCACAAACCGCACTCTGCTCGAGTCTCAGATACGCTCACAAACCCGTAGGCTCTGCTTGCGGATTTTTTTTTTGCTCTATCTCGGATTGCAGTTGGATCGGATCGTCGCCTAGCAACCTTTCCAGCCAATAGAACGACAGCCTCGGAAAGGGTGCGCTTGTTTAACCCTACTGAGTGTGGCTGTGATAAACCTTACCAACAATAAAATGGCTTTTTAATTTAAAAGCTATTATAATAAGAAGCTGAAAAACAACAATCAGGAAAATAAAAAAAGGAAGGATTCAAGAATCACCAATAAAAAGTCACTTAATTTCTGCTGGAGGCAGAATTAGCATCTGCCCTGACTAGCAAACTTTTTTTTTTTTTTTCCTGACGAGCAACTTTGAGGCGGGAGTTTTCTGTTCACATCACGTCACGTCTGAAAATTGATTGACTGCAAGACTTTTAAGTAAGTAGCCTACTTTACCCAAGACTAAAATGGTTCATAAATCAATTTTGCCTATAAATGAGCCACAAAACTACTGTAAATAGCAGTTTCAGCTGACGCATAGTAGCACAGGCACACTCAGTAGAGTTAAACAAGCGCACCCTTTCCGAAGCTGTCATTCTATTGACTGGAAAGGTTGCTAGGCAACGATCCGACTGCAATCCGAGAGAGAGCAAAAAAAAAATACGCAAGCAGAGCCTACAGGTTTGCGAGCGTATCTGAGACTCGAGCAGAGAAGAGAAGGAGGCAAGCGACAGAGATGGGAAGTAACGAAGTACAAATACTTTGTTACTGTACTCAAGTAGAATTTTTCTGATATTTTTACTTTACTACTTATTTTTATGGCGACTTTTTACTTCTACTCCTTACATTTTTACACAAATATCTGTACTTTCTACTCCTTACATTTTAAAAAATTGGCTTGTTACTTTAGTTTTGAATCATTTCAATGGAGTTACCGTTATTATTTTTCACGTCATCAATACCAAATTCAATCTAATTGGATGGGACTCTACGTTGCATTTGACGCACCACTACAAGATGAATCGACAGATTCGGCGGTATTCATTGGCGGCAAATCATTGCAGCTTGGTGGCGGTGGCGTTAGCATAGTAGCATGGACGACGAGATGATTGAAAATGAACACAACGGAGATCTAGTCCTATTGGCAGACATCCATTTAAAATGTAGGCAACGGCATGAAAAAAGTGGTTTCTACTTTTACTTTTATACTTTAAGTAAATTTACAAGCCTGTACTTTGTTACTTTTACTTGAGTAAAGAAGTTTAATCAGTACTTCCACTTTTACCAGAGTATTTTTTAACACAAGTATCTGTACTTTTACTCAAGTACGGAAAGTGAGTACTTTTGCCATCTCTGGCAAGCGAGAGGAGAAAATATCTGTGCAAGAAGCATTAAATCTGAGAGAAGAAACAAAGATTTGAGAGAGAAGAGAAAATATTTGAGAGAGAGCGCATGTTTCGACTGTGAGCATTAGAAGTTTTGAGTGCAAGAAGATGAAATTCTTTTCTCAAATTGAAATTATGTGCTCTTGCATTATGGCAGGATAATTCTCCCATATTGGCAGCTTTATAGTTTTTATTTTCTGATCAAATTAACAGCACGCTTTAAACTAACCTTTATTTTTCAAATATTGAGCTGCAGGTTTTTGCAGAAAAAAAAAACGCCTCGTAACCAGAAACCTATAAATGTCGCTTTCAGGCCTCCTGCTGTTAGTTACACAGCAGGGATGATGTCACTGTGTGACCTCCAGGGCCAGCCAAGCATCCATGGGGCCCTCGTTTGATTTTGGGGGCCCTCTATTTCTGCCAATCATGTGAATGCTGCAACTAACAGATTAGCAGAACATTATGGCTCTCATAGGTCTGATTACAGGTAGGTAATCAGACTGGTGGAAAAAAATTATCAATCTTTAGTTTAACAATTGTTTATTATAATGTTAAAAATAAAGTTATAATTGTTTAAAAACAACATTGGTTTCATTTCAACCGGCCAAATATCGGCATTACCCCCCCCACCCAGGCTGATGTCTTTCCTTCTTGTCGATGCGCTAACGGCCATCTGCTAACAGGTTCCCCCTGATGCAGCGTGTTTAGACTAAGCTCAGCTGAAGACCTGATGGAGACCAGATCATGTTCAACGTGTAAAACCTTAGTTTAAGAAGAGCTCACTTCTCCATGTGAATCTGGAGCATCCTGGATATTTCAACATGTTTTCTACAGAACTTTGAGTCCCAACCAGGGCGGGAACCAACAACCTCAAGGAACTCCCAGCTTTTCAAAATAAAAGCCATTCAGTTGGTCTCTGATGAAACAGAAATGGAGTTCAGAGTTCAGCCTGACGTTCCATCCCACCGGACCGACCTGTTCTTAGTGACATCATCAGGTGACCGTAGAGGAAGGCCGACGGTTCCATGACTGGAAGTCTTTAGTTTGATCCGAGATATAAAGCTGAAATCTGGATGTTCCAACATTCGTGTTCTACAATGACACTTTGACCCGATGATGGCGCCGGAGCGTCTGGACAGCCAACTGGACCAAATGATAAAGTTCCTGATGTATTTAAATTATGGATATGAATAAAAATCATAACACGTCTGGTTGATTTCATCGTTTGTTTCTTTAAAGGTTTTGGTTAGAACCAGTGGCGGCTGGCCAATAGAGGGCGCTGCCCCACCCACCTAATGACAATTTCAAATATTTTGAAATATATTAATATGTATTTTTTAGATTTGCAGGATACATATTTAATCTTTAATGAAGAGTAAAGCGTCATTCCATTTTTCGTCAGATTGGTGACATATTTCTAGCCTCGTGAGACCATCCTGATCTCGTGAGTTTTCAAGTTTTCACTCGCTAATCAGTCTGGAGACTCTCCGTTGAAGACAATTCGGAGCTGTTCACCAAACGAACGTCCAATCAGCGTTGGCTTTGAGGCGGGTTGAGGTGTGACGCAACGAGAAGCGCGACAGTTCAGTCTAAAGAACATGGCGGCTTCAGCCGATGAAACTAGCGTTAGCGTGGCTATCGAGCAAGTTTTATGGGAATTACAGAGTATTTCTTCACTGAAAGAAGAGCAAAACACTGCTCTGGAGGCTTTTCTCAGAGGAAAAGATGTTTTTGCTCTTCTCCCGACTGGTTTCGGCAAGAGTTTGATCCATCAATTGGCTCCTCTTCGTCGTCGCTCTGTTAGTACGTCATATGTTTCGTTGATCTGATTGGTTTATTTGGCCCGTCTATCACCAACATAGGCCAATCAGCTAACCAGTATTTTCGCCCCTTCCCAAAATTACTTCTACGGAAGGTTTCCAGATGGATATGCGGAGCAAATCCATCTGGCAGAGTCAGGTTAACATATTTCCACCCTAGGGAACAAAAATCTTTGCCCATTAAAAGTTAAAAGCTCGTTAAAAGTTGAACATGCGCAGCAGCATGTCTGCAACACAGAAGTATAGCAGAGCTCTGGGCGCAGCGCTGGTGCGACCTGAGGTGACAGGAAGTGAATTTTCTCCCGCCTCCCGCCACAACGCAGACGTTTTGTGAGTGATTGACAGGTCGAGTCGCAGGAGTAAGAGGTGCCAGTGAGAGAAATGGCCAAGAAACGTCTACTTTTTTTAGATGTTTGTTAATTTGTATAGTGTTATTTTGTTTTGTTGTTATTTTGTTTTTGTCTGCACCAACAACATCAAGTCAAATTCCTTGTAAGTGCAAACCTACTTGGCAATAAACTTGATTCTGAAACACATTCTCAGAAAATAGTTTTTCTATATTAAAAAACCTAAAGCCGGCTAACAGCTTCTCCATTACTGAACTGCTACATTATTTTTTTTAGGTTTGTGACATAATATTGGACCATTTACCTTTACAAAGCCTCAAAAAGGCAAGATTTATGTGCAAAAAGTAAACCTGTAGATGAAGTTATGTTTTGTTTTTATAATGTTTTTTGTTTGATTGGAGTCTATTTTGTGTTCAAAGCCCTACCTGGAGAAAACTCCACCAGCCGCCGCTGGTCAGAACAATATTATAAAATATCCAGGTAGACGGGTTCTGTTCAACATCCAATCAGGACCACATCTGAACCTCTGCAGGTCTGCAGAGGTTCAATGGAAGCACCAGTTCCTTTAGCTCATCTGCTGCATCGGTTAAAAAAAAACAATCCACTGGATTTTGCGTTGAGTTCGAGGTTTTTTTTAGAATTTCAAAGTAAACGCCATTTCTGACATTTTGAATTGAAAAAGCTTTCTGGATGAGAAGAGAAACGTCTTCAAACTTGGAAACAAAGTCCAGTGGATTGATTTTTTTTTTTTAGGTTTTTGGGAATGACTCGGACCTGGATGACTGAGAATCTTCACGGGCATCGTTGGTTCTGGTTTTTCATCTTCTGCCTGACAATAGCGCAGTTTGCAGGGTTTGGGTCTGTCTGCCTTCTGGTGTTACCATGGTGACTACAGCAGGTACTGGTACCTTTAATGGGGATCTGCTGCAAAAAAAATGACTTTTTTCTTTGTTGACTTAACTTTCAAAGACATCAGAACATGTAGTAAACTATTATTCTGTGGAAAAATATGAAATTATGGTCAGAAGTAGAAAATAAATGAAAATCAAATGTTCTTATTCACCGAGATGCCAATGATCAGGGCCCTTTTTCTCAAAGAATCATCAGATTCTCAGTAGATGAAAGTTATTCTTAAAGCTCCTCAGAGCTGCTAAAGGGAGCAATTGTTTGGAGGAATAAGGAGGATTTTAAATGAATGAAGTGGAAACTGAATGCTGATTGGTTGATTCAGCCTTTAGACAGGGGAGGGAATCGGCTCATAAATTTCTGATACTGAACCAGTTCACCTGCAGCTCCTCTACACTCCATCAGCTTCTCCTCGGTGTAGGTCGGTTTCTCCACCTTTGTCTCAGTTTTTTTGGTCGTTTCTCCAAATCTTACCTCGTTGGTCAGGCAGTCAGTCAGAGTACACTTCCTTTCCAAATCAGGGAAAGTCCAAACAGCTTTACATCTCATTCCGTCCAGGGTGCCCACTAGCCTAGACTAGTGGCTAGTCCTAGGCTAGACCACTAGCCTAGGACTAGAAAGTCCAGACTTTCCTGTGTTCTTCTCAAGAACGTACTTGGCGAGGACACGAGTCCGTACTGAGAAACGGACATTGTTTTACTAAAAAAGCACTTGGGGAGCAGAGCTTCATCACGCAGTACATTTTGATCAATACTGCGACTAAAGCTAAAACTCTCACATTACTTGAATTGTTAAGTTTCATTAAAATCTGTTCATAACTCAAAAGTAAATATTAAAGCCTAATATAAAAGCTTGATATTGACCAATAAAATGTTGCTGACATCCAGCAGACCAATAGAAACGGTTCTTCAGTCCCGACGACCCCAGAAGGGAAAAGAATGCGGCCTGGAAAACCGAATTTTAAATAATTTGTATAACTCAATCTGCAAAACGTTAATCTGAAAATGTAGTCCCTAAAATTAATTATATATAATATGAAGTAAGAAATGACAGTATTTCAAAAATGTAAAATCTGAGAAACATCAAATTTACTCTGAAAACATTTGATCAAAAAGTTTTTCAAAATTTAATTGGTGTTTTTTTTTTTATTTCTATTCACAAACATTCGTTCTCTGCTTGGAACAATATTAGAACAGTTTTGTTAAAGTTTAGCAGCTGGAAGTGATGAATGATGGTTACTGGAGGAAAGGAAGCAGGAAACAGGAAGTGAAACAGGAAACGCTTTTATTGTTCTGTTAGAGATCAGTTAGAAACGGGACAGAAGCAGATCTTCAGGTCAGAGGAGACAAAAACTTTTCACATAAACAAACAGAGCAGAGGTTCTGCTACAGAACCGACGGAGCGTCTGGGTTCTGGTCCCATTCGGTCTCCAGTCTGATGTTCTACAGCCCAGGAAGGAACCCAGGAGGAAGTTAAGACCCAGAGCGGTCCCGTTGGCGTGCTTCTGGCTGTGGAATCAAGGTCCAGTAAAGGTTGGTCCCGTCATGCGTGAAGTTCTACTGGGAAACCGGACCTGAAGCTGGTGGACAAGCAGCTGAGAGGACTTTACCTGAGCAGGTAGCGAAGGCGGGTCGGTCCGAGGAGGTTCTCCAGAATTAGGAGGTTCTGCAGCTAAAGCAACAAGCAGTAGATTCGACTTAAACTAAAGCTTTATGGATCCGACAGAACCCTGAAACCAGAACCCTGAAACAGGAACGATACCGGAGCTCCAGACTGGACCCGCCAACTGAGCGGTCAGATAAACTGAGAGGGACATGGTTCTGGTTCTGTTTGGGAGGAGGCGGTACCATGAGTGAAGGTCCGCAGTAGGACGGGTCTGGGTCATCATGATAGGTTTGAAGTTCTGGACCCGGTGGACCTACATCAGAACTCCAAAGAAGTTCTGGAGTGAAGGGGGACAGGATGAAGATCTGGACCGAGTCTGAACTTCAGCGGAACCATCTGCTCCGTTTCATTCCCGGTTCTGGTTCCTGGGTTTTAGTTTTATTGCTTCTCATCTGGATCCAGAGCAGAACCGGTCCTCCCAGAAACGAACCAGCAAAAAACTGCAGAATTAATTAGAAAGGAAAGACGGAACCGGTCCAGTTCCAGGAAAACCAGGATTTAAATCAAACTGGGATTCAATCAACAAATCAAATCACATCTGGAGTTACATTCCACCATCGGAACCAATCAGGATCCCAATAAGGAGCCACTGGTACCGCTCCGCCTCACCTTTCCTACCCGGGAGTCGGAGCGGGATCATCAGCGGGCCGGAATGACGTCATTGGAAAAAAATCAGGAATGTTTGATTAAAGGAATGAGATGATTTCAGGTGTGGAGGGGGGTTCTGAGTCCGTTTCTACGGCGATTAAACTCTGTTAGCGGAGATTTAAGGCCTCAGACTCAAACAACCGCAGTGATTAAACCCCCAAAACGAAAACCGAACAAAAAGAGAAGAACCGCCGACAGGCCGGGCGGCCCGGGGCGCCCGACACCATCCGTGTTTGGCCCCTAGTGCGTTTGTCCCTTTGTCCCGGGCCCCGTCACTTCAACATGCTCTGCAGCATGGCGGTGGCGTAGGTGGGCCGCGCCTGCCGGCTCTCGATGGCGCTCCGGAGGTACTGGATGCCGCCGCAGCGCTCCCAGATCTCCTCAAACTGCCGAGGAAGGATCTCCGCGCCCCTCTTCCTTGACAGACCCGTCTCCTCCAGGCTCAGCTCGCACATCTCCATGTCGTCCTTCCCTGCAGAGGAAACGGCCACGTTAACAACCGCTGGTCCTGCAGACGCCCCGGAGCGTAACCGGGACGGTTCCACACACGACCTACGGGGGCGCTAACGTTCAAACCCGTCTGGAACAGTTTACTCCTCTGGACTCAAAACATGATCTCAGTTCCCAGGTGTTAAACATCAGCAAAACAGTTGAAAACTTTTTTAAATTGAGTGAATTTTGACAATTTTAGCAAATATTTCAGTTTAACAGAGCTGCATTACTGCTTTAAAACATCTTTAAGGTTTTATTCTCTGAATTGTACGACTTTATTCTCTGAAGAGAAGAAAAAAAGTCTCTTGACTGGCCCTAATACTCCGTCATAATTTTCCTTATTTTATCCTTTTATATTCACTGCTTTTAAAAGAGAAATAGCAGAGCAGCCAGTGATAAAAGAAAGGTTTACTGGGAGTTTTTTAATCATCAACTTTCAAATTTCATCTATAAGTAAAAGATTAAAATTGGAAGAAACTAGCCAATGTTTGAGCTGCTGAAGAGCAGTTGATACCAGAGGAGTGGCCGAGCTAAAAAAACGGAAATAAAAAAAAATAAAAAAAAAACTCTGGGGGGCTTTTATTTCCAGCGAGTTTAAACACAGACACATTTAAAATAACAGAAATAACCCCAGAAGTTGGATTTCGATCACAGATGTTTCTCCTCCAGATGTTCTACTGACCTGCCACCAGCAGGATGGGTTGTTTCTCCGGATGCAGCTCCATCTGCCTGGCGATCCACGGCCCATCGAAGTGTGCGTACCACCACCCTTTCTTCTGGGGCTTCTGCGGGTCTTTGTATTGGTCTCCGGGTCGGATGAACGGGATGCGGAAGTAGCGCTGCTGCCGGTTCATCGCCACGTCATGCTGCCGGGCTGGGATGGGCGGGGCCAGGTTGTGCTGGGCTGCTGACCGGAAGGATGAGATGTTAGACACAGGTCTGACACGGAGCTGATGGGAAAGTGACACGTGTCCCCTCCAAAGAGGATACGTGTCTTCAGAACACATGGCTCCAACTAGGCTGATGCCGTTTGTGGGTCACTAACCTGAACTGGTTCTGCAGGAGTTTAAATCTGGAGGAAAATACAACCTTCATACCTAAACCATTACATAGTTAGGTGTATAATTCAACTTTATTAATCTCACATTGGAGCAATTTACCTCTGCATTTAAACCATCCAGGTTGGGGTGCGCCCTAGCGCGACGCGCATGGTTGGGGTGCGCCCTAGCGCGACGCGCATGGTTGGGGTGCGCCCTAGCGCGACGCGCATGGTCGGGGTGCGCCCTAGCGCGACGCGCATGGTCGGGGTGCGCGCGTTTGCGCGACGCGCATGGCTGGGGTGCGCGCGTTTGCGCGACGCGCATGGCTGGGGTGCGCGCGTTTGCGCGACGCGCATGGTCGGGGTGCGCGTTTGCGCGACGCAGATGGTCAGGGTGCGCGTTTGCGCGACGCACATGGTCGGGGTGCGCGCGTTTGCGCAAAGCACATGGTCGGGGTGCGCGTTTGCGCGACGCACATGGTCGGGGTGCGCGTTTGCGCGACGCACATGGTCGGGGTGAGCGCTTGCGCGGGGCACACGGTCGGGGTGCGCGCTAGCGCGAGGCACACGGTCGGGGTGCGCGTTTACGCGAGGCACATGTTGGGGTGCGCGTTTACGCGAGGCACATGTTGGGGTGCGCGTTTATGCTAGGCACATGTGTTTAGATGACAGTGAAGATACAGGTTTAGTCTAATATATTTATATAATCTATCCTGGAAGCATTTTGAAGGAGATTTAAAGGACAGGGGAAGGTTACGTTTGTAAGCGCTACAGTAAAGGGAAGGGATATGATGATTTACGTTTTGCTTGTTCAAACCTCTTTTCAGACATAATGACTAATAAAAGGTGCATTTGTGTTTTAGAGGGACCAAACATCAGGATTTGCATTTCTGTCACATTATTCCAGCTAAATATAATGTCTGCATTACACTGAGGAATATGTAATAAATTTGCTTTGGTTGGCTGTCTTAAATAAATAAATAATTATTAAAACTGGACAGAACAACCCAAACTGGGTCCTTTTTAAACGAAGCTCTTATGACTGGAGATCCTCCACTTCCTGTGCATGATCGAACTTAACAGCAGATGTTTAGGCCACAATCAGTCTGAAACCATAAATTGATTATTTAAAAAATTGGCAACTAATTTGGTAACAATCTTACTGCTACAGACCCTAAGATGCCCTTTGCTGAATGAATAACCTACTTAACACTATTCTCTATGGAGGGTGAGGAGTGCCACAAGTTAATTCAGTAAAACTGGAAATTAATACAGAAAATATATGAGAACTATTTAATTATAGGGGCTTCAATTAAATATTTTTATTTCATTTTTACAAAATAATTATTTTAGGAATTATTTCACATTCCTGCGATGAAGGACGCCATAAATTAATTTAAACTGTCAGGAACCCTAAACCCTCATCCTAACCTTAGAGACGAGTTAAATAAAGAAATATATATGTAAATGGATGAAATAGAACTTATTTAGTAGAACATTTATTCAGTAGAAATCAACACCTATTTATTTAATTCAATATTTAACTGCGTCCCCCTTAATCCTAGATATTTTTTTTAAATATTTGAACTAGGGGGCTGATGTCACCATCTCTTTAATTTAAAGGAGAAATGCTGATGAATTGATAAATATTATAGATACTTTGATTTTTATTAAATTAACTAAAATAATGATTTAGAAACTAATTTTGCTTCAAAAGGAGAAATAAAACTGTTGCTTTCGGATTAATTAAGATTATTTCTTTGTTAAAGTCTCATTAGAAGCTTCTGTTAGATAATCAGAAACAATAAATACGGGTCAGAACCTGAAGGTGTGACCCACGCACAGGCGGTTCTGTTCAGGGTGGAAATGAGTGGCTGGTTTCCCATCGCTGCCTGGAAATATGAGGTTAGAGCTGAAGCGGGTCAGAGCGGTTCTGAAGAACCAGGAAGGAACCAGAGAGCCGTAAGGCGACACCAAGATACTACTGATCCAAACCAGGATCTCTAAAAGAAACCAGGAAACGTCAGAAAGCTCCTCCATCACCCAAACACCTCCAGAAGCCCGGCCCACAGAGCCTGAAGCTACAGAACCCGGCCAGAACCATCAGAACCTCCTAAATGAAACTAAAAGATTGGCTCCTTGTGTTGAGGAGCAGAAACTGAGACTGTTCAGAGAAAGGAGGGAGAACTTCAGAACCAAAGAGGATCCACTCAGGTTCTGGTTGGATGTTCTGCTTCCCAGGTTCGGTCCAATAGAAGAGCCTCGGGTCGCCGAGGGAAAGGTTCTATTAAATCTGGACGGTGACGGTTCTGTTCCACATGGAGGTGTCGTCAGCAGGTCCGCTTTCTGAACCTGGACTCATCTGAAGAAGAGTCCTGATCCAGTTTCCCTGATGTTCCTAGAATACTACCTGGATTTCCCCGTCTGGTTCTGCTCATCTCTGATCCAGTTTGGTCGGATTCGTGGACCCGGTTCTGGGGTTACGAGTCCGCTTCCCGACCGGTTCCTGATGGTTTGGGTGGTATCGGATGGATGCTTGGTACCAGCCGAGTACTGAGCAGGTCCATCCCTGATGTTCTGATGGACCGTGGCAGTACCTCTGAGGTCCAGTCAGGTTCTGGTTGGTGTGATTGGATCAGGCGGACTCACCGGGACACAAAGTCCTTTGATTTTCCTCCATGTTGGACCAGCAGCTTCTGTCGTCATGGAGACCAGACATACAGCTCAGAAGCCTTAACCCCGCCCCCCTACCGCCCCATCAACCAGAACCACTAGCAGCACCGACCCAAACCATCAGCAGCAGCAGCAGTGAGCCCGGTTAGAGCTGCAGGTTAGTGACGTTAGCTGGTTCTTTACTTACTTGCTTTCTTCTCTGGAGATGAAAGATCTGAAACATGTCAGAAAGTTCCGGCAGAACATGAGAAACAAACAGGAAGTAAACGGACCGGACCCAAACAGAGTCCTGGTTCTGATGGTAGTGATGCAATTAGAGTTCTGATTCTGCATCAGAACCAGGAGCAAACTGCTTGGCTTATTTCAGAACGGAACCAGAACTTTGAAAACAGAGACGTTTCCGTCTCCTTTCTTCCACCCAGAACCAGAATGAAATCTGTTTAAAACGGGACTGGACCGGGTCTAGAACTTCAGAACCACACAGGAAGCTGAGCCTGAATAAAACCTCATCAGAACCAGCTGGTTTCTGGAGATGATCTGGTAGGCTCATCGGAACCAGCGGGTCCAGTTTTTCCAGAACCAGAGTCTCTATTCCGCCTGATTGGACAATAAACCGGTTCATCTAACAGAACCTGGCTGTGATCTAGAACCCGGACCTCCTGAGACAGGACTTCATTACATTCTGGGACTCAGAACCGCATGTTGGTTCTGCAGCTGAATATTAAAGTACAGCTGATTATCATTTCTACAGTTTCCTTTAGAACCAGAACTTTGGCCGGACTGGAACTCCGATCAGAACTGGTCTGAAGGGCCATAACCTGACTCAGGTCGTTACCATGGCAACAGACCATAAAGATTAGTCCTCAAACCGCCTGACGGAACCTCAGACTGTAGCAGAACCAGTGGAGGACAGCCGTACCGTAGTCCGTGACGGATTTCGGCGCCCGCTGCTCCGTCTCCGTGTTCCTCTTCTTGTTCTTGGACTTCCAGGCGTGGTAGACCTTGAGGCGGCGGTGGAACTCCTCCCTGCAGGCAGCCAGCAGCTCGATGTCTGCAGGACAGAGAAAAAAAAACGTCAGACAAAGCAAAGAAACCCGACTTATTCGTGTTCTCCCTGGAACCTCCTCTGAACAAAGTACTCTACGCTTCTACCTGTGGTTCTGAAATCATTCATGGTTCGATGGAATCATCAAAAGGCTCAAAGAACCATTTAATAACAGCAGAAAACTACAACCAAGGTTGGAAGAACATGGATCTGATCCATAAGGTTCTGGTATCTACCATCTCTGGTGAGAACAGGTCCAATGAAGATCCAGGAATGAATTCCAGCACCTCATGGTGATTCCAAGCTAGACCAGAGATCTGGACCAGAACCAGATTCCTGCCAAGGTTAAGATCAAAAGGAGGCAAGGAAGCTGGAAGAGAATCTACAACTTCCAAAAATGTTGCAGTGAAGGAGAAGTTTGGTCCATCACTGAGCTGATGTTGGTTCTGAATGATGAGAGGTCCGTAAAGGTTCAGTTTAGCTAATACCATGACCTATAGGGAGCGGTACCACCATCAAAAGGACGTCACCGTGACCCAATAGTAGCAAGGCCTCAGAGCACTTGATGCTACCACACAAATGTACGTCCTGCCATCGCGATCGAGATCGTCCTGCCATCGCGATCGAGATCAATGTTAGGCCCCAAGACCCAAACAACGTCAAAGCACGACCCCAAGGCTGCCTAGCCTCGTGAGACCATCCTGATCTTGCGAGCTTTCAAGGTTTCACTCGCAGATCAGTCTGGAGACTCTCTGTTAAAGAAAATTTGGAGCCGTTCACCAAACAAACGTCCAATCAGCGTTGGCTTTGAGGCGGGTTGAGGTGTGACGCAACGAGAAGCGCGACAGTTCAGTCTAAAGAACATGGCGGCTTCAGCCGATGAAACTAGCGTTAGCGTGGCTATCGAGCATATTTCTTCACTGAAAGAAGAGCAAAACACTGCTCTGGAGGCTTTTCTCAGAGGAAAAGATGTTTTTGCTCTTCTCCCGGCTGCTTTCGGCAAGAGTTTGATCTATCAATTGGCTCCTCTTCGTCGTCGCTCTGTTAGTACGTCATATGCTTCGTTGATCTGATTGGTTTATTTGGCCCGTCTATCACCAACATAGGCCAATCAGCTAACCGGTATTTTCGCCCCTTCCCAAAATTACTTCAACGGAAGGTTTCCAGATGGATATGCGGAGTCAGGTTAAAGGCTGCCACCCGATACCAACTGTTAGCCACGGTGGAGGAGGTATGATGATTTGGACCCGAGATCTGCAGGAACTCACCACAGGATGTGTTGATGGCGTCCCGCAGCTCGGCGTACTTCCATTTGCTCAGCTCGAACTTCTTGGCATTGGCAGCAGCTTTGGAGGCCTGAACCTGTGGACCTCTGGACAGCAAACAGGAAGTGGAGACAGGAAGTCAGCGATAGCTGAGGGACACCAGAACCTCTGGGAGATAAAGGTCCACCTCAGGAGTGGAGTTCACACAGGGAGTCAGGAATGTAAATGTTTTCAGCTGAACCAGTTCTGACTAAAAGCTGAGACCAGCCTTGATTTGGGTAAAGTTCTGAACAGGTATCGGTTGATACCTGGTTCTGTTTCAAATCATAGTCCGATTCCTTCTCCTGCTAATCAGACCTTCAGGTTTTATCTAGACTCCCATCACCAGGAGGTTCATCAGAACGTCCTCTGTGGACTCCACTCCATCAGGAGCTGCTTAAAGGGGAAACCAGAGCCCGGTTCTACAAACTGGACATAGTTATGGGTCGGTAACAAACACCAGGTGGAGGTGAGGAGGAAGCCTGTAAGGAGGAAAAAGGAAGGAATAAAATAGGAGGGCATGCTGCAGATACCAGGAAGTCTAGAAGAACCTGAAGGTCCAGTGGACAGAGAGTGAAAAGAGCAGAACCCCTCTCCATCAACACCGTACTTTTCATGTTGGAAATTAATAGAAAATTATTTTTACCGATTTAGAAATTTTTTTTTTTATTTGTATTCATTTATTTTCTGATGAACAGAAGAAACCAGAAGATCAGAAAGATCTAGATCATCCCAAAGATCCATCTGAACCACAAGCTTCTGATGAATATCTGACCGGACCTCAGCCGGTGCTGAAACCTGGAATCATTCCCTAGTTTGGAGTACGACACAGTTGCCTGTTGGTGGCGCTGTTCTTGCAGCATCTTGTGAACGAGTCAGTTCTTTGCAGGTTCTGTATGACTTCCAAAAACTTCTAGAAGGACCAAAAAGTGAACCAAACATCGGATGAAGGTTCTGAGAGAACATCTGATCTTCTGCTTTAATCTCAGAGATTCCAGAACCAACCGGATCCATCTACCTAAACCTGAAATGTTCCGTTTCAGGTGAAGGAACATGTAACCAGCAGGAGGTCCACCTGAAAGGTCAGAAGAACTGGAATCTTTCTCTCTGAGGGAATCAACCCTGCAGGTAAACACTGATCCGTTTAAATCAATCACAATCATCTGGTTTTCATCGACGATTTGATCCAAATCAGGAGAAATCAAAGTGACTGATCGACCGTTTTTTTTTACCCACCGAGCGAGAAGTTCAGACATCTCCTTCGCCATTTCCTCCCTGAAAAGCATGATGGTCCCAGTTTAGCAGTCAGAAAAAGGGATGTGGGCGGAGCTTATCAGATACACAACATTTCAACTCCAGGAGAAGAAGAACTTGAGCTGTTTCTACACACCACAGGTGCCCCGGGTCAGAAGGATGACCCAACCCCCCCCACCAGCACTACATCCCACTAAATTAACCCAAGTCATTCAGAACAATCACCATGGAAACAACAGATCCTTAAGCACTTTAAGCATCAGCTACATCTGAACATCTAAGGAAACAAACATCTGTAGTTTTGATTCAACTGAAAATAATCATCTATAGCCTTCATTTGGTTGAACATGAGTTTTTAGAACCAATGCAGGAGGAAATATCAGGTTCTACTAAACCAGTTCCAGTCTTCTGATCCAAAGTTATTTTAAATTATCTGTGTCGCAAAAAGAGGCAGTTTTACACCTAAAAGCTTCTGTATGTAAAGAAATCATTAAAAATTGTTTCCTTTCTTTCATATTTCATTTAGCTTATTTTACTATTTTATAAGTTAGCTAAAATGTAGAAATAAACTGATAACAAGAGTCTGTTTTAGGTTAACATCTTCCATTCATACTATAAAATGGTTCCCAGCTCTCAGATGTGTGACCCCACTTTCCATCACTAGGGGGCAGCATCACATTTTTGTTCTCATACGCGTCGCTATATAGAAGAGCTATATATATATAAAAACTGTAACTGGAGCGTGTAACAAAAGTAATTCCCCTCTGGGATTATTAAAGTATTTTTGATTTTGATTCTGATAGACCCCGCATTGTGAGGTGAGAGGTATGCGGACAGAGCGGCCATCTTGGGTCAGACCAAGCTGCGGTCAGAGACTATACACGTCCATAGGGGCTAACCCTACTTTATAACCTCAGATGCTCTGAATCTGGGGAACTCTAATGCTACGTTTAGCCCGAACGCAGCGGAAGGAGCAAAAACTTGGTGCTGATTCATTTTTGATGCTTGGGTTAGGGTTAGCCGCTACGGTTGAAAAGTGGGTCTGATGTGCGTTGGGCGGAGCTACCCTATCCTTTCTTTGCTTGTAAAAATGGCAGCTATATTTGCTGTGATCAGTGGGTAAAAAGTAGTTTTAATATGTTTTTAAGTGAGAAAGTCCACCTGAAACCTTCATTTGTGTAGTCAGTTCATCCAGATTACGATCATAGTTTGAAATATTGTTTGTCGGAGCCACTCAGACCCCCGTACGCCAGTGGAGCGCTGTCGCTGGGAACCCAGTTCAACAGCAGCCTCTGGCCTGGACGCCTCTTCGCGGTTTGCCGCGGCGGCTGGAAGGTGCTTTTTTTACGTTCCTAATCCAAACTACAGGCACCAGAATAATTAAATCTAACATTTTATCGGCAGGTACTTTAATAAACGTTAAAGGCTAGGCGTTGACTCCTCTGTTTCAGAGGAATGATCATAGCGCTCTGCATCAGCAGTGCTGTGTCCATCTCCCTGCCTGATCAGCTTATCCGATCGGTTGATGCGGCGCGTCGAGCTACATCTGGCTACGCTGCTTCGCTTCATCTTCTTCTTGTTTACTACTGGTGGTTGGCTTTGATCGCAGTAGCGCCACCTTCTGCTCTGGAGTGTAAACGCTTCGCCTATGAGAAAAAGGAGCAGCGCATGAACCGAACGCAACACACGCGAACCGAACTGAGACAGTCGAACCCAACGGTTCGGACAGTTTTCATAAATCGTCCCACCCATAAAAGAGTCTGAAATTTATTTTACTACTTGTTGTTTTACTACTTTCTATTATTGTAAGTAAGGAGGAACACACTCTGCCCAGACAGAACAGGGCTGATTACCAGGCAGTAAGGGCCGACTGAGTGAAATCCATTGATCTTCATTTATTTAACCGGAGTGAATAATTGAATACTTTTTCCCCCCACTACTGTAACTATATATAGTAGTGGGGGGGGGAAAGTAGTAAAAAGTAGAAATATTAGTTATTAAAGTCCTTGAAATGCTGAGTCTTTTTATCTTCAGAGGGTTTTTTAAGCGCATGGCTGTAACAAAATCTCCCTGAGGAGTGTTAAAGTCTGTCTGGGCTGACTGCAGCGTTGCCATGGTGATTTGGACACACAGTGGGAGCTTTTTGGGTATTTATACTGGTTTGCATATGTTTTTAGAAGCGTAGGGATGTAGGAATTTTACCTTTTATTGTGCACTTCAAACCTTCAGCAGAAAAAGCGGAACATTCGTTCCTACAGGAGAAACTTCCTCAGCTTTTCTGTCTTTAAAAGGTTAAACGTTCTGAAGAACTGATGCTGTTTCTGATTGGGCGGCGGTCCATTTGGGCGTAATAATATCGATTGGATCAGAAGACGGCTCAACGGTTTAGTTTTTAATCAGAACTTCACATCTTCTGAGCTAATCTGGTAAAACTCTGTGGAGGATCTCAGGAAGACGCAGACTGTTGGTTCTGTTCTAAGCTGAACCGCCCTAAGCTAAGCTAAGCTAACCCTTTGATCAGATCAGAACAGGTTCCTGCAGGTGTGGAGAGTGTGAGAAGAAACCTACATGGTGTAGCTCTTCAGCTTTGTGTTGGACCCAACGCTGTGGAGAGAGTTAGAGGACGGTCAGAGTCAGAACAGCACAACCGGATCAGGGAGAGGAACCATTTTCCTCCCTCCTCATCAGACCACCCATGATCTCCAATCAGAGGAGATCAGCTGCTCTCTGTTGATCACATGATCCCGTCTATTATGGAACCAGGTCATAAAGGAGGAACTATTTACTGGTTCCTGGTTTCCACCAAACTGAACCCAGTAGCACCAGAGCTGTCTCACTGGGACTGGTTCCTTCTACGCCAAAAGTTCTTCCTACTCATGGAGCCCCGATCTCAGGGCTGGGAAAGGGGAAGGGGCCCGATCTGCGGCCTCAACTCAGGCCCCGCCCCTTCCCTGGCCAGGAAATGTATGGAGCCCCATCTTTGGCCAGAGAAGGTTTGGTGCCCCATTCTCTAGCCGGGGAAGGATAGGGGCCTGATCTTAGACCTGGGAAAGGGGGCGGGGCCGAGGACAGCCATGTTGGTGTGATTCTCTAGCTGTTGAACACTAAACCAGAACTGTCCTGGGTTTATTTATTTATTTATTGTTTTCAGAACCAGGCCTGGTTCAGAACTGGACCCAGTTTGGTGGAAAACCCTTTTTAGATTTCCATTTCTCATTAGGCTGCTCCTACCATGGACATAATTAGATCTCATGTTTCTGATCATTTTAATCAGGCTGGAAATAATCAGACTGTTTCTGCCTTTCTGAATCCGTTTCTTCACTCGGACTTCCGGCTTTCAGCAGCCGCTCCAGGCTGGAGGTTAAGACTGCTGCTGATCCGTAACAAATCAACCGGATTCTAGTCAGAACCTGGAGAGTGGGCGGTTAGCGGGCAGATTGTTACAGCATGCAGGGGTCGGAAAGGGGCGGGGTTAATTTAGGAGGGTGAATCTGAGGGTCTTACGCTGCTCTCTCTGGGGACGATGGAACGGAGGAGCCGTTACTGGGAGAACAAAAGAAGAACATGGTTAAACACAGCATGGTGCCTTCAGAACATCAGAAGCCCGTCGGTCCGGGTCCAGGTTCTGTTTGTCCTCCTGTTTCAGCCTGAGGACCATTAAGCTCTGAGCTCTGAAGGTTCTGCTGGTTTCATCTGTGAACCAGCGGCGTAATCTGGCGTTTTTATTCATATATCAGGTTAAACCTCCAGTCCTGCAGACTGGTAACCACTAACCAGCTTAGTTTCCTTCTGTTGGTCTCGGAGCTTAATGGGACCCGGCTCTGACCCTCCCTGGCGGTTGTGTCGGGTTACCTGCGCAGACCCGAGTCGTTCAGCGCCTCCTCGGGGATGAGCTCGGACTCGCTCTGGGCGATCCTCATGGCCAGCTCCCGGTCCCTCCTCTCCTGCTCCATGACGGCCTGCCGGGCCACCTCCTCCTGCCGCTCCGCCTCCAGCTGCAGCTCCATCTCCATCTGAGCAGAGACGCCATGAAGCTACTGAGATCTACGCCTCCATCAGCATGGCGGCCAAACACCTGCTTCTAGGAGGTTTCTGCACCTCCACCAACAGTTCCAGCATTGATCCCAAACAGGAAGGAGGAACATTTGCTTCTCCGCTAATTTCTCAGGGGAAACCAGAAGTTCCATTTCTGCTTCGTACAGGAAGCCATCTTAGAACCATCAGACAGACTTTAAATCCCCTTCTGTTAATCGCTAACATCATTGTGAAATCGTGCTGATCAGCACCAACCTGCATCCGCCTCTCCTCTTCCTCCCTCTTCTTCCTCTCTTCCTCTTCCAGCTTCCTCTTAACCTCCATCTCTGCTTTCCTGTGGAGAAAACGGAAGAACGAATCACCAAAGATTGTTGTGGTGGAAGGTTCGCAAGCATTTTGGTTGTGGCCGGTTTCTCAGAAGCATCTTGCTAACCAGTTAGCATCTTAGTGATAGTAGGTTCCCAATGGGAAATTCCATTGGGAACCTACTAGCACTAAGTTGCTAACCAGTTAGCAACTTGGTGCTAGCAGGTTCCCAATGGGAAATTCCATTGGGACCAAGTAGCACTAAGTTGCTAACCAGTTAGCAAAATTAGTGCTAGCAGGTTCCCAATGGAAAATTCCATTGGGACCAAGTAGCACTAAGTTGCTAACCAGGAGAGTTTAGTGTCGGAGGTCGTGGATGAGTCTCCTCCGTCATCCATTTTTTATTTAGAGGAGGAAAGCGGGGACGAAGATGTTGTGGAAGAGGACGCCAGGGCGGCAGAAGCTTGGTTTGGTGTAGAAGGCTTCCAGCCGTCCATGTTTGAGCCCTTGCCTCGCAACGCTGCCAGTTCTGTTAGCTCTACGCCTGCCGAAGACACAGACGTCCATCCCCGTGAACACTGGGACGCAACTCAATGGGAAAGGAAAGGATTCTGGTTTCAACCGTTGCGTATATTAGCTGCGACATTTGAATCAAGATGCTATGACCGAAAACATTTGATTGACAGATGACCGTTGATATATGATTGGCTGAATTTAGGTGTTCAGGCTGACGTAGAACTAACTGGCCTGCAGAAGATAACGGAAAAAAACAGATTTTAAGGCAGGATTTTTGGGACAATATTGTCTGATAAAGAGCACATTGGAAAAATGATCTAGAAATAAGCAAACATTTCTTAAATTAAGTGTTTTTACCCTTAATTTAAGTAGCTAAATGAGATACTTTCGAGCATTTTCACTTAAGAAAATTAGATATTAAGCACTTGAAATTAGACAAAGCAATTGTTTTTTTCTTATTTTAAATGTAAATTGTCTCGTTCCATTGGCAAAGTGTCTCACTTTCTTCCTCAATTCAAGAAAACATTTACTTGTTTTAGGAAAAAATGACTTTAGATTCAGATTTTATTTTATGCAGTATACATGTTTGATGAACGCTGACATCACTCGCTCCATCTGCACCCTGGAATCTGCTTTATGACGGCTGAAGGTTATCCTGCTTGTCGAGACGCTGAAAGGCTGCCGCAGATTAAAGCCGGACGCCTGATGAGACGTCAGAGAACCGCAGACGAAGGCGGCATCAGGATGCCTCTCTGACGCTCAGGACCGCCGGGCTCTGACCTTCAGCGGGGCTCCTGGGAGCCCGGAACATGGCAGGCGATGAGGAGCGAGCCATAAAACTCAGCCTGTCGGCTCTAATGTGTGATATTAGCGAGCAGCGGTTTGTGACGAACACGACGGCTCCCATCAGTCCTCCTAAACACTTCCAGAACTGCTGAGGGGCCTGAAGGGAAATTAGAGCTCTGGATGGAGCGGAGCAGTGTGAGCGGCAGCGTGAAATTTATTGTATCCAGAAATGAAATTTGGAAACATGTTACTTAAAAGAAGGGCTTTAAAGGTAACTTTGCCATTTTCTTTTTTCTTATTTCATTTTTAAATTATTATTTTTTTTATTCTATTTCATATAATTTTTTGTAACGTTTTGCTTTCCAAATTTATTTTTCAGAGCAGGAGGCATTTCTATTGGTCCGCTCGGCCGTCAGTAACAACCTTTTATTGGTCTAAGCGAACATCAAGAGAGAAAACGATCAGTGCAACATTATTTTAAAAAAAGCTATACATAAAACCATCTAAAATAGAAGAAAATTAAAATTCAATAAATTATCTGTAAAAATCAAGTTTTTTATATAAAAACTGGAGAGCAAATAAAAAAAATTGAATCAAATGAAACTTTTTTGTTGATAAAATAAAATGAAATAGCAAAATGAAAATTTTTTTAGTAAAATTTCTATTTACAAAAACATTTTATGAATTTTAACCAATTTTTAAAACAAGAAAACAAACCTGGAACCAAACTCTTCTACATCTATATTGTGTTTTCTATAAGCATCAAGTAATCTAGGAAAATAAATATTCTTTGCTTTACTAATTTCTTTGAGACACCGTTTTAAGAACAGATTTAGTTTTTACATTTTGGAGACAAACCAACGTGGATCGTTTATCTTTTTAGGATTAAAATTTGTTGCTTATTTTTAAAGCTTCAACTCAGTGAAACCTTTAAGTCCGAAACATTGATTGGATATAAATATCCTGATCTGGTAGTACGGTCAAGTAGTAAATTAAAGTTCTATAACATCAAACAAAAGAGAAGTTCTAAGAAAAAAACAACAGGATTTATCAGTTAATCCAAAACCAGAATTAGTCCTAAATTCTCCGCAGCCAGGTTTCCATGAATCCAGCCATGTTGATGCTTCAATGCTCTGGCTTTGTCATCATGTTTGTTCTGAAAATAAGCTTAAAACTACATATTTAAAAGAAAAATTCTGCTCATATTCAGAATATAAACTTCTGAAAGTTCTTTAAATCTGAAATGATTCCATCCTGTTCAATAAATGATCAGTGTTTTTAATTCAGAGTAATTTTCATGTGAATGTGCTTTACTGGAGGCATCCATGTTTGTCAAAGACCACTACTGCCACCTACTGGTTAGTGACGTCACGGTGCGGTATCGGCTGTTGATCAAGTCCCAGTGCTGTATCTGGTGTTTGTCACAACGCGCTATTATCCAAGTCATCTTGAAAACATTCTTCTTCCAAATGTTGGCTACATATTACGGGTTTTTTCTCTGGCCAGAAGTTCGATGGCTCCTCCCTCTTTAGGCTACGTTACTGCAGGCCTTGATGCTCAATTCCGATTTTTTGGTGAAATCTGTATTTTTTTTGGTGCGTTGCCGTTCACATTTCCAAATATATGCGACTTGTATGTGATCTCCTTTGTGAACTGCATTCATACAGCTTAAGTGTCTCGCATGCGCAGTAGAGGACGCAATGACGTCACAGGCCAGCGTGCTCTGCGTTTACAGAAGTAAACATGGATGTAGCGCTGGAGCGCATCTAGCGATCTTTCCCCACCTTAAAACCTCAATTTTTTCAAGATGGTTTAAAAAAAAACTAATTAAAATAATCATCGTCCGCCATGGTTGTTTGTTTTTCTTGCTTCTTCTGTGTAGCAAGACATATAAGAGTTAGCTTTGTCGGCTACTAATGGCGTTCAGGTCGGATGAATGCGACCTGGCCTTTCAGAAACAGGTCGCATTTAAAAAAAACTGATCTGTATCGGATTGAAGACCACATAGCCAAGTGGCCTGGGTCGCATTGGGGAAAAACAGATCTGTGTTCAGACTGTAATGAAAAGATCGGATTTGGGTCACTTCAGGCGGCAGGGTGAACGTAGCCAAGTTAGCGATCCAACGACCAACCCGTCCGTGGAGGATCAGGAATCAGAAAGGTGGAATAACTCTTTTTTTCACTTTTACCCGATGTATTCCAGCATCCAGCTGCCATGCACGTGGGCATTGTCAGTTTCACTATAGCTCTGGTGAATTTCAATGGTGAAGTCCTCTGGAAATCTTCAATAATTGTTGTTGATTGCAGATGTGTCTAGTAGTTCCCATTGATTTAGCTTGGAAAGCGGGGAGAATGGCGCTAGGCTTACCGCACCGTGACGTCACTGCTGGAAGATGGCAGGAGGGAGGGGCTACTATATTTGGGCAAAAATGGCCGCTCCCAGAATTATAATTTTTTTTTTTTTATTGATGCTAAATTAATTTAAGCTCCGCAAATGTATTAGTTAAAGGTATAAATAATGATCCATTCATTGCTGATTGGACTTTTCCTTTAATCTGTTCGATTATTCGATCGATTCTTAGAGCCAGTTTTAGTGACGCTGTTTAAATCAGAGCGCCATTAAACTAATCGCAGGTAAAAAGGTTCAGACTATTTGTGTTGGATGAACTTTTAACCTTTGATTATCTTTTTCATAGTTAAATAAACTTTGGAAATGTTAAAAATATATATATTTAAAATGATAGCAGCACAAACATTTCACACAGTTAAAGAAGTTGGTGTCGGGTACGATGGTTCTTCCCTCCAGGCAGGAACCTTGGGGAGAAGAACCCCCCCCCCCCTCCCCGGTTCGCTCTCACTTACAGTCGCCGGTCCTCCTCCTCCTGCTTGCGGCGCTTCTCGTCCTCTTCTCTTCTCCTGCGCTCCTTTTCCATCTCCTCCTGGATGCGGCGCAGCCGCTCTCGCTCCTCCTCCTCCTTCTTCTTGTTCTGCAGGTCGGTCAGCAGCTTCTCGGAGCGCCTCACCAGGGCCTGGTACTCGTGGTCGATGTCGATGCGGCTCATCATGGTGCTCTGAAACGCCGACACAGAGCGGGTCTGGTTGATGTATATCTGACTAAGGTCAGGGCCGTCTCTGGCCGCTGGGTGTCATGGTAACCACCTCATTAGGGTTTCATTCCTGGTTAGCGGGCTGAGGTTCACCTTAATATTTATGAGTAGATGCTGTCACCATGACAACAGTAGCGTCTCCCTCCAAGCCTCTAAACATAAACCTGACCTGTTCAGTTCTAACAGGTACCAGAACATCCAAGACCCATCATCGTCTTCCTGCCTCAGTTATGGCAAGCCATCGAGGCCAAAAATCGACGCTTTTCCCAAACAGAAAACCATTTGGGGGAAAAAAAATTAATGGAGGATTTAGATCAGATACCTTAAAAACAGCTTAAACCCTCCAGAAACATCTATTCGTAGAGAAAATGAGGTTCTGATGGGTTTAACGGCGCCGTTTTAACAATCAGAACCACAAAGATGATCAGAAATAAAAGATGAACTCTGCTGGCAAAGAGGCGACGGTTTGATTAACGGAGATTCTGAAACCAAACCAGAGATCCAGTCCTGATCTATGAACCTTCCGTCTCTCAAACTGAACCATAAACTGGTTTTCATCTTTGGCTTAAGACGCCAACAACAGTCTAAACAAGGACGGGTCCAGCAGAGCTTAGAACCAAACAAAAGGCCCGTCAGTCGAACCGTGACCCAAACAGAACTCGGTTCCGTTGCTTCAGCTTACCTTGATTTTCAGCACCAGGGCGTCGACGGCTTTCTCCAGACCCTCGATCTGTTTGCTCATCTCCTGCTTGCCCTCCTTCAGGCCGCCCACCACCTCGGTGAAGCGGCCCATCCTCTTCTTCAGGTTCTGGACCTTCACCAGGCCGTCGATTCTGAAACACAGGAGCAGAGTTTCCAGCAGGGGGCACACTCCACCTTAAACATCTGCTTAAGGCAGAACTTCACTTCACATCATCGTAAATAATAAATAACGCAGTCTGTGGGGATGGCTGGGCTCTAAATACTCAGCTTATCCTATAGTTCTGCTGCTATAGGCTTAGACTGCTGGAGGACATAGGGACCCCTTTTTCATCATTCTGCTTCATTCTCTCTCTATTCTCCCACTCTGCAGAATCTGTTAGTTCAATCTCTAACGTTCTGCTCTCTCTGCTTTTTCTCAGAGTAGCTTCATCTGGTCTGTTCCTGTTTGGCTGTGACTCCATCCTGGAGAGAAATATCAGCTGTGCTGCTGCCATCAACACCTTTGTTTCTAGATGTTGGAGCTTGGCCTGTTTTCCAGTGTAGTCCTGTTTCTCTGACTGTGACTAACTGGATGTGCTCTCTTCATCCTCTGACATGGGAGCTGGCTCGGAGCTCGTCTGCCTGGCTGTGTGTTTCCTGGACGGGGCCGCCTGTGGAGCTGGTTGACAGTTGCCTTTTGTATCTATGCTTCTTTTTCTATGTCTGCTTCTGTCTCCTTGAACCCCAGTGGGCCTCAGCAGATGGCCGCTCACACTGAGCCTGGTTCTGCTGGAGGTTTCTTCCTGTTCAAAGGGAGTTTTTCCTCTCCACTGTCGCTACAAGCATGCTTAGTGTGAGGGATTGCTGAAGAGTCAATGAGTCGATGCAATCAGCTGGTTTTCCTTAGATAGAAAACTTTGAATCAATCTGACTGGATGATCTGGTTGAATTATCTCTGTAAAGCCGGCCGTACACTCTACGATTTTTAGCCCTTTTCAGTCGTGCAAGAATTTTCCGACTTTCAGCCTGATTGTCGCTATATAAATAAACTAAATCGAAGTGGATGGCGGTGATTCACGGGTCGACACGGCAGAAAGACTGGTAGAGATGCGAGGAGCCATTAGAACCCGCTAGCAGGCATTTTAATACGTTTCCTCTCATCTCTGCTCCAGAACCTGATCATCACTCAATCAATCGTCTCCATTACAGTTCAGGCTCCAGCGCCTCATTTACTCCAATTAGTTCTGATGAAGCTCGGTTCTTGAAGCTTGATAATAAATACAGCAGAGGAGCCGAGCATGGGAACCGACAGACTGCGGCCCGCTCGGTTCATTACAACGCTTCAATCAACCCGGGCTTTAACCAGAACCCGCCCTCCAGTCATCAACACTCCAATCACTCACTCCCGTCCCGCCGCACACCGCCGGCAAGAACGGATCAGCAGGTTGTCAGAGAAGATGAAGGACCCCCGCAGAGGAGGAGAAACACCCTCCTCTCCACCTGCATCCTTCATGGAACCTGCCGGGTCCAAAGCGTGTTTAATCAGCAGTCAGAGGGAATAACGGCGTCGCCGCGTTACAGCGAGCAGAACCACGGCGCTGAGCTGTGAAAGTGGCAGATAATGAAGAACAGGAGGAGGAGTATGGAGCTAAAATGGGGCCAGAAAGTTGGTTCAAAAACCTTTTCTTTTTAAATTGAAAAAAAAAAGAACATTATTAGTCTGTGTTGGACATTTCCCACAATGCAAAGCAGAAGAACCGTCAGACTGACGGCGGCGGCGGCGCTTCAGAAATAAACTAAAATAATCATGTTATAAAGACACTTCCAGCCCTACAGTTCCTGAATGCATCAGCTGGGAATATTTCATGCAAAAAGGAAGGAAGGAAGGAAGGAAGGAAGGAAGGAAGGAAGGAAGGAAGGAAGGAAGGAAGGAAGGAAGGAAGGAAGGAAGGAAGGAAGGCTTTATGGCTAGAAGGTTTAAAGCAAGGAAGGAAGGATTTAAGAGTTGAAAGAAGGAAGCAAGGTAGGTAGGAAGGAAGCAAGGTAGCAAGGTAGGAAGGAAGCAAGGTAGCAAGGTAGGAAGGAAGCAAGGTAGGAAGGAAGGAAGGAAGGCTTTAAGGAAGGAAAAAAGGAAGGAAAGTAGGCTTTATGGCTAGAAGGATTGAGGCAAGGAGGGAAAGGAGCAATGAAGCAAGGATGGATGGAAGGGTGGATGGAAGGAAGCAAGGATGGAGGCCAGAAAGAAGGATGGAAGAAAGGATTTGAAAAAAGGTTTAAAGGAAGGAAGGAAGGATTTAAGGATTGAAAAATGGAAGCAAGGTACGTAGGAAGGAAGCAAGGATTTAAGGATTGAAAGAAGGAAGCAAGGTTTTAAGGATGGAAAGAAGGAAGCAAGGTAGGTAGGAAGGAAGGCTCTAAGGAAGGCATTAAGGAAGGTTTTAAGGAAGGAAGGAAAGAAGGAAGGAAGCAAGGTAGGAGGGAAGGAAGCAAGATAGGAAGGAAGGAAGCAAGATAGGAAGGAAGGAAGGAAGGCTTTAAGGAAGGAAAGAAGGAAGGAAGGAAATAAGGAAGGAAGGCTTTAAGGAAGGAAAGAAGGAAGGAATGTAGGCTTTATGGCTAGAAGGATTGAGGCAAGGAGGGAAAGGAGCAATGAAGCAAGGATGGATGGAAGGGTGGATGGAAGGAAGCAAGGATGGAGGCCAGAAGGAAGGATGGAAGAAAGGATTTGAAAAAAGGTTTAAAGGAAGGAAGGAAGGATTTAAGGTTTGAAAAATGGAAGCAAGGTACGTAGGAAGGAAGCAAGGTAGGTAGGAAGGAAGCAAGGATTTAAGTATTGAAAGAAGGAAGCAAGGTAGGTAGGAAGGAAGGCTTTAAGGAAGGCATTAAGGAAGGTTTTAAGGAAGGAAGGAAGCAAGGAAGGAAGGAACTCACCGAGGTTTGTGCTTCTTCCTGCAGAGCCACATGCGGACCGTCTTCTGCATCATGATGCAGGCGCCGGCCCGGTACAAAATCTTATTCTTCACTGAGACACAAAAACATCAAGAGGTCAACAAGTCGGACCAGAACCGGGTCAAACATCAGAACCATGGGCAGCTGTGAGGGGGGAGAGTTAGAGATCTAGAGACACCTAGTGGCTCGGTTTTAAAACTGCAAAACGAGCAGATGATTCATCATTAACTGGAGTAAAGAGACTAAATGATTCCTTTAAATCAGCGGTCCCCAACCACCGGGCCGCAGACCGGTACCGGGCCGGGGGTCATTTGGTACCGGGCCGCACAGAAAAGGATTAGGATTATTTATTTACCGGTAGATCTAATTATCATTTATCTTTATTTATCATTTTATCATCAACCGTAGAAAAACAACAAGAATAAAAACTACAAAATAAAAAAAATATAAAAAAAAAAATTTGGGATGTTTTGTTCCAGAATCTCTCTCTGCTGGAGAACCGGGCCTCAGTGGACCAGAACCTGCAGCCGGTTCCATGTTTCTAAACCAACTTCTTTGTTTCTTTGTGTTGTGAATAAAACAGATGTTCTGGTTTAATGCAGAAGAACATAGAAATGAGCAGCTAGATCTGCTCTGAAGGTAGGAGCAGCTTACGCTTGATGACGGACAGAGAGCACCACTGGACCTTCTTCCAGCGGCTGTGGATCAGCCACTTGTTGACCTTCTTCACCAGCTCAGCCAGATGTTCCGGATCCGACCGCATGATCTGATCGAACTCTGCAAACTGGACACGGTTTCAGAACGTCAGTGATTACGGTTCTACTAGAGTTCTGGTTCAGTCCCGGGTTTCCAGCGGGCGAGGCGGCCCAGTCGGAACCAGCGGTTCAGGAAGTCTCACCTTGCCGGGACGGAAGAACACTTTGGTGAGGCCGAACTTGTAGTCGTTCTCGTCGAGTCCCAGAGCTTTGAACAAGGCCTGCGGAACAAATAAAGGTTTTAATGACCGCCGGCGGCCCGGTTCCGATCCGGAGTCTCTGGACTCACCTTGCAGAAGAGCCGCGGGTCCAGCCGGGTCAGTTTGGGCGGCATGTACTTCTGGTACATGTTGTAGAGCTCATGGAAAGGAGCTCTGGAGGGGAAGCCGCCCTGCATCAGGTCCAGAACCGAAACCATTCCTACAGAACCGACACAAACAGGAGCAGAACCTTAGGGACCAGGAGCAGAACCTTAGGGACCAGGAGCAGAACCTTAGGGACCAGGAGCAGAACCTTAGGGACCAGGAGCAGAACCTTAGGGACCAGGAGCAGAACCTTAGGGACCAGGAGCAGAGGTCCGCTTGGTTTATCGCAACATGAAGCAGAAGAGCTCAGAGGAACCGATAAAATCCTCAGAACCAGATCCAGGCTGAGTTCGGCGCCTCGCCGTCTCCGGGGCGCCGTGATTAAGACGTCCTCAGTGAGGAGCAGGGGCCTCGTTATCAGAGACGCTGCGCCGCGTCTGATTGGTGCTAATTGGAGGGTTAACAGGAGCAGCGCTGCGGTGAGCTGCTCTCCACGCAGAGACAATTAGAGCTAATCATCTACTAATGAGACACTTCCCAAAGTTACACAGGAAGGAGAGAGGAACAGGAGAGGAAGAGGAGAGGAAGAGGAGAGGAACCAGGAGAGGAGGAGGAGATGAAGAGGAGAGGAAGAGGAGAGGAACCAGGAGAGGAACCAGGAGAGGAGGAGGAGAAGGAGAGGAACCAGGAGAGGAGGAGGAGAAGGAGAGGAACCGGGAGAGGAACCAGGAGAGGAAGAGGAGAGGAACCAGGAGAGGAACCAGGAGAGGAAGAGAGGAAGAGGAGAGGAACAGGAGAGGAACCAGGAGAGGAGGAGGAGAGGAGGAGAAGAGGAACCAGGAGAGGAACCAGGAGAGGAAGAGGAGAGGAGGAGAAGAGGAACCAGGAGAGGAAGAGGAGAGTAATAGTAGAGGAGGAGGAGGGGAACAGGAGAGGAACGAGGAGAGGAGGAGGAGAGGAGGAGAAGATGAACCAGGAGAGGAAGAGGAGAGGAGGAGGAGAGGAACCAGGAGAGGAACGAGGAGAGGAACGAGGAGAGGAGGAGGAGAGGAGGAGAAGAGGAACCAGGAGAGGGAGAGGAGAGGAGGAGGAGAGGAACCAGGAGAGGAAGAGGAGAGGAGGAGGAGGGGCACAGGAGAGGAACCAGGAGAGGAACCAGGAGAGGAAGAGGAGAGGAAGAGGAGAGGAACCAGGAGAGGAGGAGGAGAAGAGGAACCAGGAGAGGAACCAGGAGAGGAGGAGGAGAAGAGGAACCAGGAGAGGAAGAGGAGAGGATGAGGAGGGGAACAGGAGAGGAACCAGGAGAGGAAACAGGAGAGGAAGAGGAGAGGAAACAGGAGAGGAAGAGGAGAGGAATCAGGAGAGGAAGAGGAAAAGGAAGAGGAGAGGAAGCAGGAGAGGAAGAGGAGAGGAAACAGGAGAGGAACCAGGAAAGGAACCAGGAGAGGAAGCAGGAGAGGAACCAGGAGAGGAACCAGGAGAGGAAACAGGAGAGGAAGAGGAGAGGAACCAGGAGAGGAAACAGGAGAGGAAGAGGAGAGGAAACAGGAGAGGAAACAGGAGAGGAAGAGGAAAAGGAAGAGGAGAGAAACCAGGAGAGGAAGAGGAGAGGAAACAGGAGAGGAACCAGGAGAGGAACCAGGAGAGGAACAAGGAAAGGGACCAGTAGAGGAAACGGGAGAGGAAGAGGAGAGGAAACAGGAGAGGAAGAGGAGAGGAAACAGGAGAGGAAACAAGAGAGGAACCAGGAAAGGGACCAGTAGAGGAAACAGGAGAGGAAGAAGAGAGGAAACAGGAGAGGAAGAGGAGAGGAAACAGGAGAGGAACCAGGAAAGGGACCAGTAGAGGAAACAGGAGAGGAAGAGGAAAGGAAACAGGAGAGGAACCAGGAGAGGAAGAGGAGAGGATGAGGTGGGGAACAGGAGAGGAACCAGGAGAGGAAGAGGAGAGGAAGAGGAGAGGAATCAGGAAAGGAACCAGGAGAGGAGGAGGAGAAGGAGAGGAACCAGGAGAGGAGGAGGAGAAGGAGAGGAACCGGGAGAGGAACCAGGAGAGGAGGAGGAGAAGGAGAGGAACCAGGAGAGGAGGAGGAGAAGGAGAGGAACCGGGAGAGGAACCAGGAGAGGAAGAGGAGAGGAACCAGGAGAGGAACCAGGAGAGGAAGAGAGGAAGAGGAGAGGAAGAGGAGAGGAACCAGGAGAGGAGGAGGAGAGGAGGAGAAGAGGAACCAGGAGAGGAACCAGGAGAGGAAGAGGAGAGGAGGAGAAGAGGAACCAGGAGAGGAAGAGGAGAGTAATAGTAGAGGAGGAGGAGGGGAACAGGAGAGGAACGAGGAGAGGAGGAGGAGAGGAGGAGAAGATGAACCAGGAGAGGAAGAGGAGAGGAGGAGGAGAGGAACCAGGAGAGGAACGAGGAGAGGAACGAGGAGAGGAGGAGGAGAGGAGGAGAAGAGGAACCAGGAGAGGGAGAGGAGAGGAGGAGGAGAGGAACCAGGAGAGGAAGAGGAGAGGAGGAGGAGGGGCACAGGAGAGGAACCAGGAGAGGAACCAGGAGAGGAAGAGGAGAGGAAGAGGAGAGGAACCAGGAGAGGAGGAGGAGAAGAGGAACCAGGAGAGGAACCAGGAGAGGAGGAGGAGAAGAGGAACCAGGAGAGGAAGAGGAGAGGATGAGGAGGGGAACAGGAGAGGAACCAGGAGAGGAAACAGGAGAGGAAGAGGAGAGGAAACAGGAGAGGAAGAGGAGAGGAATCAGGAGAGGAAGAGGAAAAGGAAGAGGAGAGGAAGCAGGAGAGGAAGAGGAGAGGAAACAGGAGAGGAACCAGGAAAGGAACCAGGAGAGGAAGCAGGAGAGGAACCAGGAGAGGAACCAGGAGAGGAAACAGGAGAGGAAGAGGAGAGGAACCAGGAGAGGAAACAGGAGAGGAAGAGGAGAGGAAACAGGAGAGGAAACAGGAGAGGAAGAGGAAAAGGAAGAGGAGAGAAACCAGGAGAGGAAGAGGAGAGGAAACAGGAGAGGAACCAGGAGAGGAACCAGGAGAGGAACAAGGAAAGGGACCAGTAGAGGAAACAGGAGAGGAAGAGGAGAGGAAACAGGAGAGGAAACAAGAGAGGAACCAGGAAAGGGACCAGTAGAGGAAACAGGAGAGGAAGAAGAGAGGAAACAGGAGAGGAAGAGGAGAGGAAACAGGAGAGGAACCAGGAAAGGGACCAGTAGAGGAAACAGGAGAGGAAGAGGAAAGGAAACAGGAGAGGAACCAGGAGAGGAAGAGGAGAGGATGAGGTGGGGAACAGGAGAGGAACCAGGAGAGGAAGAGGAGAGGAAGAGGAGAGGAATCAGGAAAGGAACCAGGAGAGGAAGAGGAAAAGGAAGAGGAGAGGAAGCAGGAGAGGAAGAGGAGAGGAACCAGGAGAGGAAACAGGAGAGGAAGAGGAAAAGGAAGAGGAGAGAAACCAGGAGAGGAAGAGGAGAGGAAACAGGAGAGGAACCAGGAGAGGAACCAGGAGAGGAACAAGGAAAGGGACCAGTAGAGGAAACGGGAGAGGAAGAGGAGAGGAAACAGGAGAGGAAGAGGAGAGGAAACAGGAGAGGAAACAAGAGAGGAACCAGGAAAGGGACCAGTAGAGGAAACAGGAGAGGAAGAAGAGAGGAAACAGGAGAGGAAGAGGAGAGGAAACAGGAGAGGAACCAGGAAAGGGACCAGTAGAGGAAACAGGAGAGGAAGAGGAAAGGAAACAGGAGAGGAACCAGGAGAGGAAGAGGAGAGGATGAGGTGGGGAACAGGAGAGGAACCAGGAGAGGAAGAGGAGAGGAACAGGAGAGGAACAGGAGAGGAAGAGGAGAGGATGAGGTGGGGAACAGGAGAGGAACCAGGAGAGGAAACAGGAGAGGAAGAGGAGAGGAACCAGGAGAGGAAACAGGAGAGGAAGAGGAGAGGAATCAGGAAAGGAACCAGGAGAGGAAGAGGAAAAGGAAGAGGAGAGGAAGCAGGAGAGGAAGAGGAGAGGAACCAGGAGAGGAAGCAGGAGAGGAAGCAGGAGAGGAAGCAGGAGAGGAACCAGGAGAGGAAACAGGAGAGGAACCAGGAGAGGAAACAGGAGAGGAAACAGGAGAGCAACCAGGAAAGGAACCAGGAGAGGAACCAGGAGAGGAAACAGGAGAGGAACCAGGAAAGGGACCAGTAGAGGAAACAGGAGAGGAAGAGGAGAGGAAACAGGAGAGGAAGAGGAGAGGAAACAGGAGAGGAACCAGGAGAGGAAACAAGAGAGGAACCAGGAGAGGAAACAAGAGAGGAACCAGGAAAGGGACCAGTAGAGGAAACAGGAGAGGAAGAGGAGAGGAAACAGGAGAGGAAACAGGAGAGGAACCAGGAGAGGAACCAGGAAAGGGACCAGTAGAGGAAACAGGAGAGGAAGAGGAGAGGAAACAGGAGAGGAACCAAGTTCTGACCTGAGCACTGGAGCTGGGAGAGGATCTGAGCTCCTTCAAACTGGTGGCTGACCATCTTCAGGTTGGGTTTGATGCAGCGAATGAAGCTGGAGCCCTGAAGGAGACCAGGAGAGAGAGAACCGGGTCAGAGCAGAACCAGAACCACTGGATCCTCCAGTAGACCATTACTAACCGTGCTGCGGAGCTTGTCCAGGAGGATGTTCAGCTGGGTCTGCAGGAGAAAGCACAACATTTGGTTCAGAACCCAAACCACTGATAGACCCAACAGAACCAAGGGGAGCAGAACCAGAACCACAGAAGAAGAAACCTTCAGTGACCCAGAACCACAGGGAAAACCAGGAGATGAAAAATTGTCCTGCTGATGTTCAGCAGGGAGAACTTCCCTCAGCAGCTAGTAGAACTTTCTAAACCCAGTAGAACCATCTAAAGGCAGCAGAACCTTCTAAACCTGGCAGAACCTCCAGAAGCCAATAGAACCTTTCAAAGCCAGAGGAACCATCTAAACCCAATAGAACCTTCTAAACCTTGCAGAACTTCCTCCAGCAGCCAGTAGAACCTAACCCTCAGTGAATAGAAGTCCTGTAGCTCCTGTATCCAGATCACCATTCCTCCACCACCGTGCTGACAGGTGGTTCCAGTGGTTTTCTGGCTGTGCTGTCATGACCTTTAACCTTTGACCTACTAACTGAGGGTCAGGAACAGAACCTGTCTGGGTTTTCTCCTGATGCACATCGAGAAGGTGGATAAGAACTTAAGCGAGAAAAAAAACAAAAAAAAAAGCTGCCCGAGGATCTGGAGTTTCTTTAGAAGGTTTTATTTTTTCTAATTTTTTTTCTTCATAATTCATATGATCTAGTTTTTTTCTTTTATTTCTTTTTTAGATCTAATTGTATATTTTCCAATTTTATTTTTTTTCTTTCAGTTTTGCAGATCAAGTTTTATTAATTTCATTCCTTTCTGATTGTTTTTCATATTCTGTTCACTTCCAGCACCGTCCAAACACTCGCTCTGACCAATAAGAAAGCTGCTAACGTCCAGCAGACCAATAGAAATGCGTCTTTGCTCGGAAGACCCGCCCCCAGCAGGGAAGATGTTTGGAAACGCAGTTTCAAAAGAATAAAATTTGTAAAAGTCAATCTGGAAAAAGAGACGTTTAAAAAAGAAAATAACACAAATCTTATTAGATGAAATATAAAATAAAAAAATTTCATGATTGAACAAATTTAATCTGGAAAAAAAGCCCTTTTTTTAAAATTAAAAAAGTTTCATTTCAGTTTTTTTTCCAATTTCTTTTAATAAAAATGTTTTCTGCTTTCAACAAAGCTGGAACAAATTTCACTCCATAGGATGGTCATTCTCTGGTCAGCCTGAGGAGGAACGTTCGATAAACTCATCACAGCGTCTCTGCTGGGCGGGGCTTACCTTGAACTTGTTCCCCACACTGATGAAGCCCAGCTTCCCGGCCTTCTGCTTCACGTCTCGGCTGTTGGTGGAATTCTCAAACAGCTCGCGGATGAAGCGGTCCTTGGAGTCGCTGACCAGACTCTCCAGCGACATGTGCAGAGCGTCGTTGTTCTTCTCCACAAACTTGGTCTGAGATGGAGGAGGCATGTTAGTCTCTATAAACCCCGGCTCTACGTGTTTCAACTCTGCAGCATCCTGAACGCACCGTCTCGTAGCACACGGCTCCGGCAAAATGGCGGATGATGAATCCTTCGTCGTCCCTCACGTTCCGGTGGACGGCCAGCTTGGACTTCCTGGGAATCTGAAGGACAGAAAAACGGAGGGTGGACATCAGAGACGCAAATACGGACGTCTAACTGCAGGCGGTTCATTCTATAGAAAAACCTCATCTAGAGTGAAGATCTTTGTAGGACATTAATCATGGACAGGAAGACTTTTATATAAACATTTTTCATTTTTCGAACTCAAACAATAAAAAACTTTTCTAGCTTGTTGTTTTCTAGCCTCTTGGTTCAGACGTAAAGGTAACCGTGACGATGGCGGCTAGCAGCGGCTGTTAGCAGAAGCGGCGACTCACCGTGAGGCGGAAGTGGTTCTTGTGCTTGCTGTGGACGGTGTCGGTGAAATGCTGGTCGCTGGGCTGAGGGAGGCGGTTCTCCTCGTCCAGGATGTCCAGGATGCCCAGAACCTTGGCCTCCACCAGGTCTGCAGAGAGAGGGGTGGAGGATGAAGAGGATGAAGATTAAAGATCAGGAGGAAGAGGAGGATGAAGAGGATGAAGATTAAAGATCAGGAGGAAGAGGAGGATGACATCCTGAAGAAGAGGATGAAGGAGTCAACTCTGGTGTTCTGATCACCTGGCGGTGCGTTTAGAACCAGACATCTTCATCATCATCATATTTCTTTTTTTTAGCTATAATAACATTTTCTGATGATGATGATGATGGTGGTGTCTGTACCGACTCCTCTAACAGAACCAGAACTAAATCAGAGGATCTGGATCATTGGCTGGTCCTGAACCGGATTCAGTCACAGCAGATTCTGATTCACAGCAGTTCTGGGTCGACCTGCTCAGCTTGAGAGAACTCGTTAATGAACCCGGCAATGATCCGATCAGAACTTTCCTGTTCTGTTCAGTAAAGGTTCTGATCTCTGGTCCTTTCTGGTACCGAGGTCAAGTTCCGTCCAGATCTCTCTGAATGTTCTACCAGAGAAGCAGGAAGCAGAGATCCAGGAACCGGGCTCCCCAAAACTGGTCAAACAGCTAGAACCTCATTCTAAGGTCTGGTTCAGATCCAGTTCCAAGGACCCATCAGAACCAGAACCTCTGCATTCTGACCGACTTGGCTGATGGCAGCAGCTCTTCAGTACAGGGTTCTGGTTCTATGCGCTGGTGGAGCCGGAGGGGCTTACAGAATCCACAGAGAAACTAAGAACCAGACCTGTTGCTATGAAGACTAAAAGTTCCGGCTGTGTCCGAATGTCCTCCCTAACCACTATATAGGGCCCTATATAGCGGTTGACCACTAACCACTATATAGGGCCCTATAAAGCGGTTAACCATTAACCACTATATAGGGCCCTAAATAGCGGTTGACCACTAACCACTATATAGGGCCCTATAAAGCGGTTAACCATTAACCACTATATAGGGCCCTAAATAGCGGTTAACCACTAACCGCTTTATAGGGCCCTATATAGTGGTTAGTGGTTAACCGCTATATAGGGCCCTATATAGTGGTTGGTGGTTAACCACTATATAGGGCCCTATATAGTGGTTGGTGGTTAACCGCTATATAGGGCCCTATATAGCGGTTAACCACTAACCACTATATAGGGCCCTATATAGCGGTTAACCACTAACCACTATATAGGGCCCTATATAGTGGTTAGTGGTTAACCGCTATATAGGGCCCTATATAGCGGTTAACCACTAACCACTATATAGGGCCCTATATAGCGGTTAACCACTAACCACTATATATAGCGGTTGGCCACTAACCAGTATAAAGGGCACTATATAGACCACTAACTCTATATATAGGGTTAGTGGTCTACGCCTTTTTAGATGAGGGTCTAAACGTCTAGTGGATGAAAAGGTGGTGGACCAGAAATTTCCCACAATGCACCTTAAAAAGTAGTGTTCATCCATGGTCACTAGAGAAGCAGATATATCACAGAATGATATTTGTCAGGAGAGATCTCCTGGCAAAGCATCATTGGATTTATTGTCACAACGGCCTGCTTTTGCCATAGGCTGCAGCAACCTGACAGCGGAGAGGAATAACATAGATGGTGCGGAGTTACGTGACCAATGGGGAGCAGAAAGTAGAGATCAACTGTCCGAACGGTCAGTTAACTGAGTTCATTATAAAATCAACCATATAGTCCCCCTCTATGTAGTGATGGAGGGGTTTAGGGGTTAGGGCGGATGTTCAGACACAGCCTTCAATATTGAAAACTGTTTTATTTTGGACCCATTAAGAGCGAACTGAGCAGAGCGACTGATGTCCAGCAGAGGGACGGTTCTGTCCTACCTATGCAGTCCTGATTGTCCACATAGTGAACCTCGTTGACGCCCAGACCCTCCTTCTGGTACAGCTCTTGCTCCTGCAAAGAGAGAGAAACATCAGTAGCGGGTAGGAGGTTCTGATGAGGATGGGGGGTGGTTCTGGAGGACCTGGAGGTCTTGGTGTCACACCAGCAAATGGAACCAGAACCAACCACTGGCTGCTGAGGTAACGACCTCGCTGTCATCTTGGGTTTCAAATAGAAACGTTACCATGACAACCGTCTGACTGAGGTTATACCTCTGGGCCAGGGTGGTCAGAAAATTTAAGTTTTATTTCATGTATTGATTTATGCCATTTACTCACTATAAAAGTTTTCACTCAGTCCGTTTCACCTAAATGACTGACTTTTTCCCGTAACAAACCAGATTCTCATTGTTTGTTGATTCATAACATTTTACTGTTTAACCAAAGTGTTTGTAATTTCTTTTGACTCCGACTAATTTCCATTAATGTAAGTAAGGAGGAACGAACGCTGCTCAGGCAGAACAGGGCTGATTACCGAGCAATAAGGGCCGAATGATGAACGTTCTCTCTTTGCAAAGATAAAAATAAAGTGTCGATGGAGTGAAATCCATCAATCTCTGTTTATTTAACTGGAGTAAATAGTTGAGACCCAGACCGATGGTCGTGGTCCGTTCTGTAACCATGGCTACAGAGGCGGCTCACCTCCTTCAGGATCCGCTCGTTGAAGAACTGCTGCAGCTTCTCGTTGCAGTAGTTGATGCAGAACTGCTCGAAGCTGTTGTGTTCAAAGTATTCTGTAAAACAGAGGCAGCAGGAGGTGAGCAGAACCACGGAACTTCAAACGGCGGCTCCACCTAATGACGGGACTCACCGAAGCCGGCGATGTCCAGAACGCCGATGAAGTTGGCCGAGGAGTCGAAGGGGAAGCACTGGTTGACCCGCGTCACCACGTGGTCAAACAGGCGGCTGTAGGTGGCCTTGGCCAGCGCGTCCCGGGCGTTGTTGGCCTGCTCCACCTTCAGCGGCACCCTGGGGAGGGAAAGACGGTCAGAACCTCGGCCCACGACTCAGACCCACTGCGTGGTCTACTGGCACCGTCTGACCCAGAACAGAGGAGGCCGATTCAGGAAGTGGCGGCCTGGTGGTTAGGGCATAGAGCTTGGGATACAGAGGTCTTGCTCAGAGACACTCTGGGTCCCTGAGCAAGACCGTTTACCCCACACTGCTCCCTGAGCGCCTCACAATGGCAGCCCACTGCTTCCCAAGGGGAGGGGTTAAATGCAGAGAGGGAATTTCGTTGCTTTGTACTTGTGACAGTGGAATGATAATGGCAAAAAAAACTTTATTGTCAATATAAGAGTTGACCTCTGACCCTGGTTCTGACCTATGACCCTTCAGACCGGCCATGTTGGGTCAGATTATTAAAAGAGGATTAAAATTGTCAATCAAGAAAAAAAGATTTCAGAAAAATGTATAATTTCTATCCCAAGTTCAGACATTTTTAAATTTGATCATTTTTAAGATTTCATTTTACATTTATTTTGGAAAAAAATTCAGTTTTTAATTTTTTTTTTTTTTTTTAAACAACTATTTTTCATTTGAATTTTTGCAGTTTTTTTGTGGGGATCTGAAGACTGATTTTTTTATGAATGTTCTTGTTTCATAAATCCTGTTTTCTCGCTCTGGTCTGAGCGCAGACCAATCAGAACGCTGCGCCCGTTTCTGTTTGTTATCCCAGAGGGGAGGAGCGCAAAATCTGTAAAACAGGATTTAAAATGTAAACAAAAAAACATAAAATTAAAAAATTGGTGAAAAATTGAATTAAATTACTCTTTTTTTGCCATTTTATAAAATATGCTTGCTTCAAATATCCTTTTATAAAAGCAGGAGAACAGCCTGTGGAAAACATCTGGTTCCTTCCAAAGGAACCTTATGTTCCTCACAAAATCCAGGCAGCAAAATGATCTTTATCCTTTCTGGTTGCTCCAAGATGGCCGCCCAACCCTGACTGATGAGGTTCTGATGATGACCTTCACAGGAGGTCTTGGCTGAAGCCCCTAACCCTCTATGCTGATCGGAGCAGCTATAGGGACACTGCAAAAAATGTAAATCTAAATAAGTCATTTGTTCTTAAAATAAGTTCATTTTTTCTTGAATTGAGTAAGTAAGTGAGACATTTTGCCAATGGAACAAGACAATTTACATTTGAAATAAGAAAAAAACTATTGCATTGTCTTATTTCAAGTGTATATTATCTAATTATCTTATTTTAAATGTAAAAATACTCATTCCATTGGCAAACTATCTTATTTACCTGCTCAAATTAAGGGTAAATACACTTGATTTAAGATATTTTTACTTAATTTCAGATCGTTTTTGCAGTGGAAGAGAAACCTTCAGTGTCTCAGAGGTGAGCAGAGCTTCTTACTTGATGGCCGTGCCTTTGGCGCCCCCTGCTGTCAGCATGACCCTGGTGGTGAGGCTGACTCTCAGGTCTTCCTCCGCCAGGCCCAGCAGCTCAGCGCAGTATTCCAGCGCCTGACCCGATTGGTTCTTGATGTTGCAGCCGCCTGCGAGACGAGGAGAAGGACAAAAACATCAGAGCGGCACAAAACATCGACCTTTTGACCTTTGGGATGTAGCGTGTCTGTTTTCCATTATAGCTGCAGTTCTGCTCGCTTTCTGAAACCATCAGTGATCAATTAAGTCGTTCTCTTACTTCTGATTGTAAACCTTGATTATTCTGAAGCTCCATTGGTTTTCAAACCGTTTTTACTGGATTTATGAGACCAGACCACCGTCGTTTCTAATTCTTGTTTCCTCGTGAAACGTCATCCTCAGCCCTAGAACTGTTCCAATTCACAAGAACAGCAGACCGAGAACGGACAAAGTCCCCGGATGTTGTTCTTGCCCCTCCCTCTTTACCCAGCATGCATCAGAGCAGACTTGTCCATTCTCCAGACAGACAGCTTTCCCAGCATGCACTGTGGCAGCAGCAGCTTCCAGGTTAGCACTCACAGAACTTAGTATCAAGTTAAAAGTTCACTTTTCTGTTGCTCAATAAAAGCTTCTTTTCTGTTGCCGTTGTTAAATAAAAGCAAATTTTAAGGTCGCCCCGCAGACGGGGCTACCGTAAGCCCGCAGGAGACAGACGGGGCTACCGTAACTGGCCGCTACCGTAACTGGCAGGCGGCAGCCGGGGCTACCGTTAGCCCGCAGGCGGCAGCCGGGGCTACCGTTAGACCGTATTGTTCATATTAAGCCACTTCTGCAACCATGAAGACAGTAAAAGCCCTGGTCTCTGCAGTACTGGGAGTTCTGGGTAGAAACGCCGCCGAGGCTTAAACTGAAACCGCTGCTGCCGACCGTAGAGTTTTATTTCATCCTTTGCATCAATATCCGACCTTCCCTCAGAGTCTCCTGGCTCCGCCCACTTTGGACACTCAGAACCAAACAGATTTCAATGGAAGACGCCAAAGGCCCGAAGTTTCTGTTCCGTTTGGGTTTTAGCCGCTCATTGAGCGAACCCAGATGACCTCGGTGAATCCGTTCCCGGTTTCACAGAAACATTCCTCCCTGCGGAGCAGGAAGATGGATGCTGAATATCACCGCCATCAATCACAGTCAGGATGACATGAAAGCAGCTCGGGGACACGGCGGAGCAACCAGGAGGCCGAGATGGATGATTTCTGACAGGCTGCTAATTCAACCACAGAACGCCGCCAGGATCGGCTCTCAGTCTGTTCACGCGGATGTTTCACCTCATCCAGGTTGAACCGCTCTGCTGAGGATCTGAACCCATCAATAGTCAGAGGCTACAGAACAGACATGTTTACGGTCTACTGATCCGTTCCTGGAGATTTAAAGGTGAAGCCAGATTCTGGAGAGAGCAAATCATCAGGAATCATTAATGAACTTCAGTTGGTTTAAACCAACAATAAAAAAAAAAAAGTTGCTGAGAAGAAACCAAATAATCTGATGTTGAGGGTTTTATCTCCTCCACAGTGAGGTTAAAATGATGGTTGAGGCGCAGAGACCTCCTACATCCTTGATGCTAACACCAATGCTGGAAAGTAACATTTGAGTATCTTTACCTGAGAAAGTTTTTTGGCCATTAGGAACCTGTTAGTTCTTTGTTGTTTTTAACTTAGCTTTATAATCACTGTTGCTGTTTTTCTTACTTGAAATGAAATTCCATCATGGCAGATAGCAGCTCTTAGGACTGAATCTGGACGCCGTTTCTTTTTGATAAAGCTTCTAGTTAGAGTGGCTCAGGTTATCCTGAGCTATCTCTATAGTTCTGCTGCTATAGGCTTAGACTGCTGGAGGACATAGGGACCCCTTTTTCATCATTCTGCTTCATTCTATCTCTATTCTCCCACTCTGCAGAATCTATTAGTTCAATCTCTAACGTTCTGCTCTCTCTGCTTTTTCTCATAGTAGCTTCATCTGGTCTGTTCCTGTTTGGCTGTGACTCCATCCTGGAGAGAAATATCAGCTGTGCTGCTGCCATCAAAACCTTTGTTTCTAGATGTTGGAGCTTGGCCTGTTTTCCAGTGTAGTCCTGTTTCTCTGACTGTGACTAACTGGATGTGCTCTCTTCATCCTCTGACATGGGAGCTGGCTCGGAGCTCGTCTGCCTGGCTGTGTTTTTCCTGGACGGGGCCGCCTGTGGAGCTGGTTGACAGTTGCCTTTTGTATCTATGCTTCTTTTTCTATGTCTGCTTCTGTCTCCTTGAACCCCAGTGGGCCTCAGCAGATGGCCGCTCACACTGAGCCTGGTTCTGCTGGAGGTTTCTTCCTGTTCAAAGGGAGTTTTTCCTCTCCACTGTCGTTACAAGCATGCTTAGTGTGAGGGATTGCTGAAGAGTCAATGAGTCGATGCAATCAGCTGGTTTTCCTTAGATAGAAAACTTTGAATCGCTCTGACTATCAAGGGGGCGGGATTGTTATGGTGGAAGGTTCACAAGCAAGTTTGGTTGTAGCCGGTTTGTGGGAAGCATCTTGCTAACCAGTTAGCATCTTAGTGCTAGCAGGTTCCCAATGGGAAATTCCATTGGGACCAAGTAGCACTAAATTGGTGACTTAGAAACGACGCTGTCAAGGAACGCTATGGACAGCGGAAACATGCAAGAGGAGGAGAGTTTAGTGTCGGAGGTCGTGGATGAGTCTCCTCCGTCATCCATTTTTTATTTAGAGGAGGAAAGCGGGGACGAAGATGTTGTGGAAGAGGACGCCAGGGCGGCAGAAGCTTGGTTTGGTGTAGAAGGCTTCCAGCCGTACATGTTTGAGCCCTTGCCTCGCAACGCTGCCAGTTCTGTTAGCTCTACGCCTGCCGAAGACACAGACGTCCATCCCCGTGAACACTGGGACGCAACTCAATGGGAAAGGAAAGGATTCTGATTTCAACCGTTGCGTATATTAGCTGCGACATATGAATCAAGATGCTATGACCGAAAACATTTGATTGACAGATGACTGTTGATCTATGATTGGACGAATTTAGAAGTTCAGGCTGACACTTAATGGAAAAAAACACAGATTTTAAGATAGGATTTTTTTTTTTTTTTAAATAGAATTTTTCTAGATTTTAGGACAATATCATCTGATAAAGATTACATTTATATCCATGTTTAAGCCAGAATGATTTGACATTTAAATATTATTTCCCTACGACTTGGTTCTTTAAAATTACTCTGAACATTAGACACAAATGTTCTGATATTACAGAATGTAATACTGTTAAATGCATGTACTTTGGAGGATCTGACTATGAGTATCAATACTTTCACTCAAGTACTACTGCTGAGTACTTCATCCACCGCTAGGTACCACAGCGATCTGCTAAACTGCTGGGTGTTTAATCCTAGAGGCTTATCTGTAAGGTCAATCCTCCAAAACCCAACATTTCATCCAGTAATGTTGGAGGAGAAGGAACCAAGGAGTCTAACCCCACAGCATGATCCCCAACGCACCGAGCCTTACACTGTCAGACAGGAACCCAGATCCAGGCTGATCCAGCAGCTCCAGATCAACTCCTCAAGCGTTCCCTCTGCAGCTCACCTGAGGTGCTTCCTGCCTCCTCGAAGTCGATGTTCCCCAGGTGCAGCACTCCAGCCACCACCCGGAACAGATCCAGCTTCTCCGTGTCGCCCAGACCGATCTTCTTCATGGCGACGCACATCCTGTTGAAGTCGCCGTGGTCGTCCAGCAACGGGTCCTTCAACGGGCCGGATTTTGCGTGCTGAGGAACAAGAACAGAACGATTACCCAGTCTGACGGCGCTCAAGTGCTTCCTGACCAGAAGGGGGCGCTGTTAGGTTTAATTTGTTAATTTCACTGCAAAGAACAAGAGAGGAATAGGAGGAGCTCTGAAATCCTCCGGACGAGAACTCTGCGCTACATCTACACCTGATGGACGAAGGACCAGAATGCATGTGTGTCACAGTTAGTGCAGATAAGCCCCGCCCCTTCCGCAGAAACTCTGCTAGCAGCTAGCAGAGCGAGGTGCGTGAGAACGCTGGGACCCTTTTTCCACCTGGATCCCCGCTCTTTTTGGCCCTCATGTCCCTCCGTTGTCGCACGAACTTGCCCCCACTTCCTCGCCGCCTCGGCCCTATTGTAGAAGCAGTTTTATTGTCTTATATATCTTTACACGTGGCCCTATACTTACTTAGCAACAAAACAGTACATTCTGAAGGTCAAGTATGAGTCTTAGCAATAATAAAGTCCCTAATGTCTAATTCGTACGCAACTAGATGATGTATGAGGAGGTTTGGCATAAACAGAGAACATCTGTATAAACATTCCTCCGAGTGTCAAATCGAGCGCCGGCGTCGACCAGCACACGGAAATTCCAGTAAGCTTTCGACATGGTATTCCTGTGCATGTGCAGTTACGTAATGCGATGTGGAAACTATAAATGCCGCCTGAAATGGACTGAAGGTTGGGGGATAACTGAATTGTGACGATGCGTTGCTGGATGTATGAAGTGTTTAAGACAGCTGTATGAATTCGGTTTTGTAATTAAATGTGCCCCCCCCCTCCGGATGATAAAATGGTGTGAATCGTGGGCTTCTTTCTGTCGTAAGGGAATTCTACCAATGAGCTTCCATAGTATCTAGGCATAGGGCTGGGCGAAATAGAAAAAAAAATGCATATTGATCGATATCGATAATTATTGAAAAGATTTCAAACCATATTTTATGTTCAGCTCTGCCTGGACTTTTTATAATATTGCTAAATGATTTAATTTTAATAAAAAACACAAACACAGACTTCCAATTAAAACTTTATTTAACCAACTTTTTTAACCATAACAGAATTGTTTTAAAGAAAAATAACTTAAAAGCCCTGAGTTATGTTATTAAATACTGACAAAAAATAAACTAAAGTGACCAGAAAAGGGACCAAAACAAAATATAACAAATAAATAAATTCTCTCAATTGTTAGAACTACGTGGGAAACTGCCCAGAGCTGAAAATATATATATCTATATATTTCCCGAAATTCCCGAAGATCCCTCGGAGGACGACGCAGAGGCGCGCCGGGGCCTACACAGCTCGTACTCCTGCGGGTGTGAGCGGCCGAGATGATAAAAAAAAAGTTGGTTGCGTTATCAGACTTTGTTTTCATTGGTTCCCGACACATTTTACAGATGACTGTGGTTTGTTTTTGGTCCGACTTGCCATGACCGAAATACTGCCGAACTACAAAAACCCTTCTTTGGAACAATTTCCTCCGCCTCTCCTTGCTGCACATCTTCATGTGCTCTGTGTTGTGGTTTGAGAGGGCGGCGCTTGGTGACAGCATGCCTGGGTCCGCGATTGTGATTGGTTGGGAGGAAGCAATGACTAGCATAAACCTACATGCTAGGCTACAATGAGAAGGAAGGAAAACTGCGTTTCTTTTTTATCCAACTTTTATCGACCCTCTTTTTTTCTATTGCGCCACATGTCTATCGATCGATATATATCGTTATTGAATTATCGCCCAGCCCTATCTAGGCCCACAGCTCGTTCCTGATTGGCCCTCTGGCGTTGTGGCGTGGGATAACATAGCGCAGACCACGCTTTAATATTGGGCAGAAAATATCTGCGATAAGCTCACTGCGACACGCTGCTGGGGGAGGAGAACCAGCTCCTAACAAAGAACCCAAACGACCCCCCATTACTAAGGGGTAGACCTAGTAGTCAGGTTCAATTTGCATGTTTTCTATGCTAAAACAAGGCTCTGCTTTTGGTTCACTCTATAAAGCCTGGAACTCAACGCTATTTCTGACATTTTGAATTGAAAAAGCTTCCTGGATGGGAAGCGTAAATTCTTCAAACTTGGAAACAAAATCCATTGGATTGGTTTTTAACTTTTTAGGAATGAGGAGTTCTGAACTGAAGCCTTAGGAAGAGTGATGAGGAGGCGGAGCTGTAAATCTGAGCTGCACGCTAAGAGGCGACTCACACCGGGCCGCCATATGGTCGTCATGGAGATTCTCTCCACCTTCAACCAACAGGGACAGGAACTCAGACTCTTATGCTGCGTTCACACCGGGGGCAGCTGGCGCGACAGAAGCAGCGAGTTTACATGCAAAGTCAATGGTTGACGCGCGTCAAGGCGCAGCAAAAGGTCCCGCGGCGCGTTTCGAGCAGCAAGCGCAGCGCGTCTGAGCAGCTGAAGCAGCGCGTCGGGCGCGTTTTGGCATCTGACGCGCGTGACGCGCCGCAAACGCGCTGCTGCTCGAGATGGAAAAATTGAATTTTTGCTGCTCGACGCGCCGCGTCAACCAATCAGAGAAGCTGATCTGGGAGCTGGCTGGGAGAGAGACACAGCGCTGATGATCAGAGCGCTCTGATTACTCCTCTTAAACAGTTTATTAACGCATAATTAACTTAAAATATATACATCTGCCGGCAGAATATGTTCGCTTTTATTATTCTGGTGCCTGCAGATCGGATTATTTAGATGAAAAACACCTACCTGGATTCCTTCTGTCGGCGCACCGCTGGTATGTGGGGGTCTGAGCGGCTCCGACAGAAATAACATTGGGAGACAGGATTGTAATCTGGATGAACTGACTGCACTGATGAAGTTTTCAGGTGTATTTTCTCACTTAAAAACATATTAAAACTACTTTATTCCCACTGATCACAGCAAATATAGCTGCAAGGCAGAGAAAGGATAGAGTAGCTCTGCCCAACGCGCCTCAGACACACTTTTGGACCGCGCAGCCAGAGCAGCAAAGCTGCTTCAGCCGCGCGTCAGAATTCACTGGTACAAGCAGCAAAAATGAAGCAGCAGACGCGATTTTGCTGCTTTTGCTGCCCCCGGTGTGAACGCAGCATAAGAAAAGTCTAACAGCTCTAAAGGTTAAAAGATTAAGACATTCATAAAGGGTCAAACTGCTCCCCCTGCTGGCAGAATGTGGTCAAACACATGCAGAGTCAAATCATAGAGATTTTTCCCTCCAGACATAAATCCTGATATTTTGCTCTAATGTGTTTCCTCTTCTGGAAGCTAAGTCAGACCTTCAACTACTGGTACCTGAAGCGGGTCGCCTGCCCCAAACCCATGAAATCTGGAGCCTCCTGATCCATCCGCTGCACAGCAGCTCAGGATCAGCAGAAGCTTTCATGTTTTCCTCCCAGGTGTGTTTAAAGGAACATATACCGGGTCGATTTCATCCAATAAAACGGTTCAGTCTCCTCTGCCGGGCTGAATTACCTCTGAGCTCTTCCGGTTCTGCATGATTTGCCGATCCGTGTCTTTGGTGGCGAAGAAGCGGGTGCATCCTCTGCTCAGGTACTGCAGGAGAAGCAAAGGAAAGAAAAGGCAGAACATGTTGGGGTTTACCAGAGGGATGTGATTTCCTGTAGAAACAAAGCAAATCCAGCTTAAGAAATGATTTCTCCCTGGATGAAGGAGATCAATCAGATCTAATAATTAGTTATTGGCAAAATGCATCCTACAGATACAATAAATGAAGCGTTTCAAACTTTTAGGTCGAGTTTCTCCAAACCCTTAATTGATGGGTAAGGTGGCGGATGTGTGATGCTGAGGGCCTGTTCTCCTGCTTAGCTCCTGGGAACCAGGAGATGAAGGTTGCTTTCATATCTGGTCATAAACGTCAGCAGCTGACCCGTTTAGAGACGCTCCTTCCTGGAGTTCCGTGTCTCTGTGTTCGGAACCGCTAAAGGAAATCGGCCGACAGAACTTCCTGTTTTCCTTCTGGGTTCTGATCCGCTGCTTCAATCTGCGCATAAAGCAGCAGAGCGAGCAGAACCTCTGATCCATGTGGAGAGCCTTTCAGACCGAACCCATCCAGGTCTCGCTGCTCACTGGGGGCTCTATGGAACATCTACTTCTTGGGTTTGGCCGAGGTTTCCCCGCTGGACCCGGAACAGAGTCGCAGTCTACTAGCCTGGTGAGACCATCCTGATCTCGCGAGCTTTCAAGGTTTCAATCGCAGATCAGTCTGGAGACTCTCCGTTAAAGAAAATTTGGAGCCGTTCACCAAACGAACGTCCAATCAGCGTTAGCTTTGAGGCGGGTTGAGGTGTGACACAACGAGAAGCGCGACAGTTCAGTCTAAAGAACATGGCGGCTTCAACCGATGAAACTAGCGTTAGCGTGGCTATCGAGCAAGTTTTATCGGAATTACAGAGTATTTCTTCACTGAAAGAAGAGCAAAACACTGCTCTGGAGGCTTTTCTCAGAGGAAAAGATGTTTTTGCTCTTCTCCCGACTGGTTTCGGCAAGAGTTTGATCGATCAATTGGCTCCTCTTCGTCGTCGCTCTGTTAGTACGTCATATGCTTCATTGATCTGATTGGTTTATTTGGCCCGTCTATCACCAACATAGACCAATCAGCTAACCAGTATTTTCGCCCCTTCCCAAAATTACTTCAACGGAAGGTTTCCAGATGGAAATGCGGAGCAAATCATAATGGTGGAGTCAGGTTAGCAGTCTAAAGGAACCCACAGACCTTCACAGCAGCTCAGTAGGTTCTAAGGAGACTGTGAAAAAAGTTAAAATCAATCCTCTGGACTTTGTTTCCAAGTTTGAAGACGTTTCTCTTCCATCCAGGAAGATTTTTCAATTCAAAATGTCAGAAATAGCGTTTAGTTCCAGGTTTTATCCAGCAGCCCAACAAAGCCTGGTTTTAGTTTAGAAAACATGCAAATAGAAACGGATGAACGGGTCCCCCCCTTTGGAATGGGGGTCAATTGGCTTCTTTGTTAGCCTGCAATGTCTCATACCTGTCTACACTGCAAAAACAATCTAGAAATCAGTAAAAAAAAATCTAAAATTAAGTGTATTTACCCTTAATTTCAGTAGGTAAATAAGACAATTTGCCAATGGAATGAGTATATTTACTCCTAAAGTAAGATAATTAGATATTATGCACTTAAAATAAGACACTGGAATAGTTTTTTCTTGTTTTAAATATAAATTATCTTGTTCTATTGGCAAAGTGTCTCAAAAACCCTTATTTTAAGCAAAAATTACTTAATTAGATTTCAGTTTTTTGCAGTGTATGTCTCTGAAAGGGGGGTCGTTAAAGGGAATAGTTGGTCTGGCTGAATAGGGGAGGTCTTCTGTTCTCCTGTAAAGGGGTTGGAGCTGTGACGATAGCGGGAAGGAATCAACTCTATCGCTGCATTGGAGGTTTTTGAAAGCTGGAATCTGAGTCAACCTGCTCTGTTTAAGGTTGGTTTTTCTTTCTTAACTTTTTTTCTTTCTCCGTTTCAATTTGCATGTTTTCTAAACAAAAACCAGGCTTTGTTGGGCTACTCTAAAAAAAACCTGGAACTAAACGCTATTTCTTGACATTTTGAATTGAAAAAGCTTCCTGGATGGAAGAGAAACGTCTTCAGACTTAAAAACAAAGTCCAGAGGATAGTTTTTTTTACTTTTTTGGACCAACTCTGACCTGGATGACTGAGACCATCATGTTCTAAGGAAATAAAGTTTTTCCAGGGAAGCCGTCTAGAAAGGTTCTGATATCTGGTCCGGATCGTTTCCCGCTGGAGATCTTCTCTTTTTCTAAACTCCTGCTTCTTCTTTCCAGAGGTTTTCTGTCTGAGCATCGTTTCTGTCTTTAAGCTACTTTTTGTATTTGCTGCAGATTTAATCCTTTGCAGCCATTTGCATCCTTTATTTTCCAGTTTTCCTCTCCATCTTCGCTCCGGTCTGCTGCTCCTTTCCTTTCATCTAGGACTCGTTGCATTTTTCGCTGGCGGCTGTTTGATGAAACGTTCTTCTGGGCCGAGCTTTAATAGGAGCCGCTGCATGGCTGACCCGATACTCCTGGTAATCGGATTACCTTACATCTTTCACTACCTTCAGGGTCTGATGGGTGGAAAGGCTGCAGCTGAATGAACATCAGCGATCATTAAATCTCTTTGGAGGGATAATGATCTGCTGACGGACCCTGATGGAGCCAGAACCAGAACCCGGCTAATCTGGAACCACGCTACTGAGGAAAGGCGGTAAAAGCAGAGCTGCAGCCTGTAAAGAGATCAGGAGCTTTGCTGCATCGCCTAAAGAATTGATGGGAGCAGAATAAATAGAAAGATCCACCCAGTTTTATTAGAATGTTCTGGACTTTTAGAACTGATAAAACTCCTTCATTTAAAACAGATTAAAGATCCAAACTGTGTTTCTCTCATTCCTGGAAAAAACACTGAACTAATCCTGGTGATAAATTACTCTCTGCTGCCCCCTAGTGTTTGGAACAGACAGCTTCCTGCCAGGATGAGCTGATTTCCTGCTGAACAGAAGGTCTGAGATGTTCTGAGCGTCTTGGTGGCTCCATGAGGGCCTGAAGGCCGAGGAAGGAACCGAAGGAGCCGGAAGCAGGAAGGAGCCGGAAGCAGGAAGGAGCCGAAGGCAGGAAGGAGCCGGAAGCAGGAAGGAGCCGGAAGCAGGAAGGAGCCGGAAGCAGGGAGGAGCCGGAAGCAGGGAGGAGCCGGAAGCAGGGAGGAGCCGGAAGCAGGGAGGAGCCGGAAGCAGGGAGGAGCCGGAAGCAGGAAGGAGCCTGAAGCAGGAAGGAGCCTGAAGCAGGAAGGAACTTGAAGCAGGAAGGAGATGGAAGCAGAAAGGAGCCGGAAGCAGGAAGGAGCAGGAAGGAGCAGGAAGGAGCCGGAAGCAGGAAGGAGATGGAAGCAGGAAGGAGCCGGAAGCAGGAAGGAACCGGAAGCAGGAACGAGCCGGAAGCAGGAAGGAGATGGAAGCAGGAAGGAGATGGAAGCAGGAAGGAGATGGAAGCAGGAAGGAGATGGAAGCAGGAAGGAGATGGAAGCAGGAAGGAGCCAGAAGCAGGAAGGAGCCAGAAGCAGGAAGGAGCCGGAAGCAGGGAGGAGCCGGAAGCAGGAAGGAGCCTGAAGCAGGAAGGAGATGGAAGCAGGAAGGAGATGGAAGCAGGAAGGAGATGGAAGCAGGAAGGAGCCAGAAGCAGGAAGGAGCCGGAAGCAGGGAGGAGCCGGAAGCAGGAAGGAGCCTGAAGCAGGAAGGAGCCTGAAGCAGGAAGGAACTTGAAGCAGGAAGGAGCCGGAAGCAGGAAGGAGCAGGAAGGAGCAGGAAGGAGCCGGAAGCAGGAAGGAGATGGAAGCAGGAAGGAGCCGGAAGCAGGAAGGAACCGGAAGCAGGAACGAGCCGGAAGCAGGAAGGAGATGGAAGCAGGAAGGAGATGGAAGCAGGAAGGAGATGGAAGCAGGAAGGAGATGGAAGCAGGAAGGAGATGGAAGCAGGAAGGAGATGGAAGCAGGAAGGAGCCAGAAGCAGGAAGGAGCCAGAAGCAGGAAGGAACCGGAAGCAGGAAGGAGCAAGAAGCAGGAAGGAACCGGAAGCAGGAAGGAGCCGGAAGCAGGAAGGAGCCGGAAGCAGGAAGGAGCCGGAAGCAGGAAGGAGCCGGAAGCAGGAAGGAGCTACTTCCAGTTCCTCCTTCTGTCCTATGAACTCCTCTGGATTCAATTTAGGTCCATTATTGATAAAAGCAAAAAAATAAAAATAAAAAATAAAATAATAATAATAATAATGATGCTAAATAGAAAGAAATGAAACTTTGAAAATGTTTTAAGAAAAAAAGGTTTTAAAATGCGTTTTTTCATTTTCTGCGTGGGGGAATACAGATGCGTTTCTATAGCAACGGCATTTTTATTGGTTAAGAGAAAACGTCAAGATAGGGTGATCTGAGGAACGCTATTTGAAAAGAGTAGAATCTGTAAAAATCTATCTGAGAAATATAAAAAAAAAACTGAAAATATTAAATCTGTAAAAAAATAAATATGTAAAATAGCTAGATATTTTTATAAAATATGAAAAAAATACATAATAAAAAAATAAAATCTGAAAGAAAATGTCAAAACTGTTTTGGAAATTCTGTTTTTCTTTTAACAATATTGGACCAAAACTGTCTCCATAGCTGAAGTGCTTCCAATCTAAGCACATAGATCTATGTGACCTTCCTGTGTGATTGACCAATCAGCCGACAGGAAGAAAGCAGCTGCTGCAGCAGCTTTGAGTCGCTCAGCAGAAACTGATCTGGTTCAGAGTCTGAAAACTTTAGAAAAAAGTGGTGGATTTTTTCCAAATTCAGCAGCTTTCAGGCGCCCAGACTCCAGGCTAATAGCTCTGATCTCTCGCGTTTATCCAAACAGATCAGCAGAACATGAACGTTGGTACCCTGAACGTATCCGGAGAGCTGAGGTGGAACTTCTGGCGGATCTCCTCTGGCGCTCCGGCACACAGGCGGTAGAAGATGTGGTAGTTCCTCTCCTCAGAGCTTTGTCTGCAAATCCTTGATTTCTCTAAGAGGTAGTGGGACACAAACCCTCCGACGACGGCGTTCTGAAAGAAGAGGAAGACAGCAGTCAGATTTCACTGAACACAGAACCAGTAGCAGGACTGGGAATACTGGGACCTCATGTTAAAGTTCAAATGGTCGTATACCAGCAAAGTTAAACCATTTTCTGTGTCTGATGGTTGCAATAATACGGAAGCCGAGAGCGGCCATACTAGACTTTTTTTTTTTCTCCTTGAGATAATGACTTAACTATCTCGTTATCACGGTTAAACCATTAATTGTTTTCTCAAGATAAGATAATTATTTCACTATCACGAGAAAACAGTTATTGATTTCCTGAGATAACGAAATGATTAACGGAGGCAGAGGTCTAATTGCTTATAAGTCAGAAGTGGAAGCAAATCATCAAACCAACAATGTCTCGTTACCTAAAAGTTCAACACAGATAATTTAAAAAATTTCACATTGACTAATAAATCCTCTCCCGCTGTTGTGATATTGAAGGATGAAATCAGTTTTAACAGCAAGCTTTTGTTATCTTAAGATAATGAGAAAATTAACTCGTTTTCTCAAGAAAACCACCGTGAAAAAAGTATCTGAGGGAAACTCAAGCTCTCGGCTTCCGTACAATAAGTCTTAATTAGACCTGAATGAAGTTTGAACCGTTACTATTAACCAGCTCTAAGGACAGACGTCGCTCCTTCACCGCAAAAACTGAAAAATGAGGGAGGCAGTCTTTCTTTAATTATTTTTTCTGTTTTTTTATGACTTTAATCTTTAATATTTTATTCTCCTAATGTTGCGACTTTGAAATGTTATGTTATTCTCCTAATGTTGCGACTTTGAAATGTTATGTTATTCTCCTAATGTTATGACTTTGAAATGTTATGTTATTCTCCTAATGTTATGACTTTATAAAAAAAAATAGAAACTCTGGCCTGGCCCCAATACTGCGCCGTAGATAAAAACAGATTGGGAAAAAAATAAATAAATAATAAAATAAAAATAAATAAATAATTAAAAACAGAGGGGAATACCTTCTCATTGAAGTGGATCTCCACAAACTTCCCGAAGCGGCTGCTGTTGTTGTTCCTGACGGTTTTAGCGTTTCCAAACGCCTCCAGCAGGGGGTTTGCTGCACAAAGCAGACGCTCCAGTTAGGAACAGCATTTCTACATCATTGGATTTTATGACGTTAAAAATATTACCTTCCACTATCCTCTCATCGATGTCCTGCCCGGTCCCGTAGGACGTCGTTAAGTATCTGAAAAAGTGACGGACGACACTTTAGATCAGAGCCGACATTATAAACAAAACCAGGAAAAAAAAAAAAAACAAATAATCCAAACTCAGGACTCAGTAACTAAGAGGCAGCAGGAGAAAAAGGCTCTGCATCAGCAGCGCTGCTCCTGCTCCTCGAGACGCGCTGCAGGACTTTTTGATGCACATCAACCATAAACTATGCATGGAAACGTGCTGCTTCTGCTGTTAAAAGCGCGTTAATTAGTGATGACAACATCAAAGCCCTGTGAACCAATTTGACACAAATAACACTGCGCTCGACACATTTGAAAGTTTAGAATGGCGGCCTCTGCTGGATGCTTTTAAAACTACAATTGAGTGGGTGTCCTAATGTCCGCATTCCAAAAAGGAAAATTAAACACAATCTACTGGACTTAGTTTCCAAGTTTGAAGACGTTTCTCTTCCATCCAGGAAGCTTTTTCAATTCAAAATGTCAGAAATAGCGTTTAGTTCCAGGATTTTATAGAGTGGCCCCCAAAAAGCCTCATTAATGCCGAGAAAACACAGACTGAAGCAGGAAAACAAGCTTTACCACTTAATTATTGGAGGTTTATTTGGTTAAACACATTTTATTGTTTTTATTTAAGTCCTCCGAGTCTAAATCCATCTGCTGTTGTTCACTTTAAAGTGATTTATACATAAAGTTGGATTGGAAGATATGGAGAGAATTTTGGTTCAATATTGTTGGAAGCAAATGACAAGTTTTTTACATTAGAATGAAAATAAAACACAAAACTGAGAAAAAGGTTTTACTTAAATGAACTTTTATTTTTTTCAAATGTTATTTTTTGAGAAAAATATTAACAGATTTTATGTTTTGAATTTTTTTTAAATGTTTTTTATATATGTTCTTTTTTTCATATCAAGTTTTATGATGTTTATCTTTTTCAGATTTAAAATTTTTAAATGTTATTTTCTGAGAAAAAGTAACAGATTTTATGTTTTCACATTTTTTTGTAAAAATGTTTTTTTTATATATATTTTTTTCAAGTTTTATGAAGTTTCTTTTTCAGATTTAAAAATTTCAAAAAATTTGTCTTAGAAAAACATGAACAGATTGCTTTTTATATTTTTTTTCATATCAAGTTTTATGAAGCGTATTTTTTTTTTATTTTATCTTCATATTTTTGTTGCGTTCCAGGCTTTTCCTTCGCCTCGAGCTTCTTTTCCGAACATACGACTGTTCAACGCAAACATGCGGAACCAGTTATTTGTGATAAAATATATCTGATGAAACTGTTTTAATAAACGTTTTTTTTATTAATCAAACATCCAAATCAACAAAGGCGTGAAACGCAGCAGATCGGATCCGGCTCCACAGCGGAGCTGCCGGCTTCATCCAAACCCACCTGAGAACAAACTTGGTGTTTTCCGTCTTTCCAGCTCCAGACTCTCCTGAGACGATGATGGACTGGCTCGTCTTCAGGACCTTCATGTCTCTGTACGCCTTATCAGCTGCAGAGACACACGGACACAACCTCATTATGGAGTCAACTTAGTGCCATTATTCTAGCAAAGAATAATGGTACGAACTACAAAATGATATTAAAAATGCCAAATCACTGCACATGTTTAAGAGAATGTTAAAGACTGGATTCTTGAAGAAGTATGAAATAGTAAGAAGTGAGCTCATACTATCGTTGTTTAGTTGAGATTGACGACTGACTTTGTTTTTGTTGCAGAAGATAACCATTTTTTTTAGTTTCAGAGCTGAGAAAAAAGGGGCAGATATAAGATTTTTTTCTTCTTTCTGCTGCCTTTCATTTCATTTTGTTTTAAAATGTTGAAATACATATGTAGTATGTCTGTGTGTATATGTATGTAATGTATACAGATGGATATGTAGGTATGTATGGATGGAGGTGTATTTTTTATTTTTTAGTATATCAAAAATTTGATAGGCTGTTTTTTTTTTTTGTATTCAATGAAATGAATGAATATAAAAAATAAAAAAAAAGAATGTTTTATAAATGGAAATAAACGACTGAAACGGTGAAAAACTTCCTTATTTAAAAAAAAGTTACTGATTTTTTTATATTAATATTTTTTCAAATTTCCTTTTTTTTTTCCCCCAAACAGATTTTACATTAAAATCTTTTCAAGTTTCTCTTTTCCAGGATGAGTTTTACAAATCGCACTTTTTACAGATAAAACTCTTTTTTTCCACTTTAAGGCCAATAAAAAAGCTCTATGTTGACAAACTGAAAAATAACTAAAAAAAAAAACTCCATTTGAAACATTTATATGAAAACATTGAAGAAAAAAAAAATACATCTGAAAAACATTTGACATAAAATGTGAAATAAAGTTACTGAAAAATAAAAATATGTACAACTTAGGGAAATAAAGCAAAATTATACTCAAAAATTTTCTCTGCTTAAGAAATTTTTCCTATTTCCAAAATGTTTTCTTCACAACAATAATGGACTCCGTGTGGTTTTCATCAACGATGACGAAATTATTTCATTTTTTTTTTTTTTATAACGATAATGAAAACTGAGGAGCTAAACGTGGATGTTTGCAGCAGCAGCAGCGGGGGAGAAAATAATCCACCATGAGGTCCCCCCCCCTCAGGGACATAAATCAATATTAACTTCCATATGCACATATTAAATTAAACTATTCCATATAATATGCTGAAAAATGTGCATAAACACTAGTGAAAAGCTCTCATAAAGCAGTGAAAACATTTAGCTCCTATATAACCAACTCAAAAGCTCTCATACAGAAACTGTTCATATAAACGGGTGAAAAGATTTACCTTTTAAACACGCTGCTAAAAAGCTTTTTGCAGATTTTAGTTAAAACAGAAAAAACTTCAGCTTCACAGGATTTTTGACTTTCCAAAAAAAACTGTATGTATTTATTTTTTAAGGTACATTGTTAGATGTAATATCTGCAAAAATATTAGCAAATAGCTGCTGAACATTCTGGAAAAAAGGCTGAAAACAAACCAGTGGATTTTGTTTTTAACACTGTTTGAATATTTGTAAATTGTTAGCTAAACATTTAAACATAAATTATAATCCATTAAGGTCGTCAAACCGACAGTCACGTTTATTTAACCATTTTGGATTTAAAAATATCAAATAATAAATGTTTCAAATGTTATATAGAAAAATAATGACAACTTCAAAATTCACAGGATTGGTTTATTTTTTCCCAAATTATGGGGAAACGGAATATGTCAGCTGACTGAAATATATGGTTCACCTAGTAGTGTTAATGAAAGGTAAAGCTTTTCACTAGTTTATATGAACAGTTTTCAATACTCTGTATGAGAGCTTTTCACTAGTGTTAATGCACAGTACATTATATGGAAGAGTTTAAAGGAATAGTACACCCAAAACATGATTAGCCTTCATTTTCCACTCACCCCCATGCTGAACAACACTCTGGAGTACTTTTTTGATATCTCAAATGCATCTGGAGATCTGGGAGGCTTCTTGCTGTCTGCTGACATTCAAATAATGGAGGTCTATGGCGCCCGAGGCAGAAAAGTCCATAAAAGTCCACAAAAAACGTGTCAATATTCCTCCATACTGCTCGTCCAATGTAATCCAAGAGTCCTGAGTGGGTAGCGTCCAGAATTTACTCGAAACGAAGTCATTTAGAATGTTTTTAGAGCATAAACAGTAGTGTATAGGATTTCCTGAAAGCGCGTTCACGACGCTACGGAAACCGCGGCAGACCAAACCAGATGAAAGTACGCATTCAGCGTCTGCTCTGCCGATAATGCAAGCGTAGAAGAAGAAATGTGCTGTTTACCTGTGCAAAGAAAGAAACAACGAAATAAAAATTTCTGAGGACTTCAGTGTTGAGGAAGAGCATGAGTTCTTTGCCGAGCTGAATGCGCACTTTCATCTGGTTTGGTCTGCCGCGGTTTCCGTAGACTCGTGAATGCGCTTTCAGGAAATCCTATACACTACTGTTTATGCTCTAAAACGTTCTAAATGACTTCGTTTTCGAGTAAATTATGGACGCTACCCACTCAGGACACTTGGAATACATTGGACGAGCAGTATGGAGGAATATTGACACGTTTTTTGTGGACTTTTATGGACCTTTCTGTCTCGGGCGCCATAGACCTCCATTATTTGAATGTCAGCAGACAGCAAGAAGCCTCCCAGATCTCCAGATGCATTTGAGATATCAAAAAAGTACTCCAGAGTGTTGTTCAGCATGGGGGTGAGTAGAAAATGAAGGCTAATCATGTTTTGGGTGTACTATTCCTTTAATATGCAGGGCTCGATGTTAACCATCGCCCGATCTCCCGGGGGAAGTAGTTTTTATTGTCGGGAGAGTACACATGTCGCAAAAAAAAAAAAACATCTATCACTCAAAATTACTTTAAAATCACCGACATTCACTGAAAACGACCCAGAAGCGTTGCCGGGGCCAATTTTGTTGTTTTGCACACATTCTCGCGTGATTTTCCACCAGATGGGGTGATTTTTGTCCGGGGATTTTTTGTCCTGCGCGAATCAGACACATTTTTTTCGACTTGGCAGACTAAAAAACAACAACAAAGCTATTTTACCCTCCACCCAGATAATTAAAATTAAAAACGATCGGTCAGGGATTAGGAAAATTAGCATAATCGTACGCCATGCGCACAGTGTAAATATGGCTACCATATGGCAGCCTTCTGTACAGTGATGCAGGTCATACATTAAAAAATTTTCATTATTTTTTTCTCTTAGACATCAGAGAGGTGCATTTAAATGTTATAGAGCTAAACATGTTAGATTGGTGACCTGCTATGTTATTATTATTGTCTTGTTGCTGCATTTATTTTGTCAGGGAAAACTAATCCTGATCAGTTAAAATGATGTCAGACTGTGGAAACCCTGAATAAAATAACTATGTATAACGATTCTCTAGAAAAGTCACATTATATTAATAGTATTATCTTGTTTTTTTTTAGATTTTTAACATTACAGTTTATATTTTTTCGAGCAAACAACAGTTTAAAGTAAAGTTAAGTTTGAAAAGAATGTGCAGGAAGGATTGAAAAGCATGTTAACACGGTAATGTAGGCTGGAGTTCATTATCTGACGCATGCAGATACACACCAGGAACCTGGAAACTTAAAAAATACTGAATTACAAAAAACATGTTTCATTGATATATATACAAAAAAATGAATATTAGGAACTATATTTATCAAACATTATTCTGGGCAAGTAAAAATTGTTTCTGGGCAAATGAAATGTGAAAGTGGTAAAAATCCTTAACGTCAACCCCTGATATGTGTCATATGGAAGTTAATTTTGATTCATGTCCCTGGGGGGGAACCTCATCATCCGGAATGGTCCGCTGCTGCATGTAATGCATAATTACTGGATCATCTGGAAACCTTGTTTATCTAAAATCATTCCTTTACTGGACTTTCAGTTAGCTCATCTGTCTGCTACATTAACCAAGATGATATGTTGAACCATTTTCACAACTTTTGTGACACACTTTTATAAAGTAGAGCATTAATTCATGAAAAAGTTTATTTAAATTCTATAAATCAAAGTTTTCGGCCCAACAGCAGTGATGATCTGCAGGCAGCATTCTATACCCAGTTATTGTAGATCTAGGATAGAGCTGCAGTCTGGGAAAGAATCTGGCTCGTATTGCAAATTGTAAAATTTGACCTTTTTTTGCAAGATAAAACCAACTAAAACTATTGTAATGACTAAAAAGTGACTTAAACTAATAATAGTTTTCGTTCTGAAGACTAAATCCAAGATGGCTGCCAAAAAAAAACAGTGAATGGAACGACAGTGACTCCATACTCTCCCAGGTTCTGCCGGTATCTCCAGAACCGGAACCAGTCCCAGCGCGGCGCAGCTTGACTCTTCGCTTCAACCTCTCCTACCTGCCGACCCCAGAAGCAGACTCCACGGTTTCTTACCGATGGCGTAGACGTGCGGCGGCAGCGTCCCCAGTGACCGGCCCTGGTACTGCTTGATGGTTTCTGCCGTGTAAAGCTTTGGGATGTCGTAGTACGGGTTGACTGCGATCAGGATGTTGGCGACGTACGTCTGAGAAGTAGAGACAACTCTTAGAACCGTTTGCTCCCGGATATAAACCCAGTAATTCACTGGGAGCTGCTCATCTTACTGGAAGGAACCGACAGAAACACAGGAGAATCCAGAATGAGCACAGTTCCACCTTCAGCCACTAGATGGCAGCATCCCGCTGCTTTATGTGGAAGCAAAGGACAGCAAAACTACTCTAACAATCAAACATCTGGTTAAACAATAAGAATGAAAGGTTTTTATGATGCAGAAAAGTGTTGGTCTTCTGAAGGATTGGGGATCTAGAAACATTTTTCTATGTGGATGTGAAAACCCCAAAGCAATAGAGGATTTGAAGGTGGATGTGACCCTGCATGATCAGATCAATGTTCTGATCTGGATGCTGAGGAGCTTTAGGATGATCTGAAGGAAACAATGGCGGACATTCTCACTCATCCAGGTGGTAGTCATTAAAAAACAAAACAATGGACTGTTTTTACAAGTTTGAAGACGTTTCTCTTCCCATCCAGGAAGCTTTTTCAAATTAAAATGTCTGGATTAGCGTTGAGTTCCGGGCTTTTATTGAGTAGCCCCAAAAAAAGCCTCATTAATGCTGAGAAAACACAGACTGAAGCAGGAAAACCATCTCCACCCCTTAATTATGGGAGGTTTATTTTGTTAAACACATTTTATTCTTTTATTGTTTTTATTTAAGTCCTCCGAGTCTGAATCCATCTGCTGTTGTTCAATTTAAAGTGGTTTATAAATAAAGTTGGATTGGAAGATATGGAGAGAATTTTGGTTCAATATTGTTGGAAGCAAATGACAAGATTTTTAACATTCGAATGAAAATATATGCAAAAAAGAAAAAAACAGTTTTAATCAAAAAGGTTTTGAGATCAACTTGTTTTTTTTAAATTAAATTTAAGATTTTATTTTTCAAATGTTTTTTTTTTTTTTTTGAGAAATTAACAGATTTTATGTTTTCACATTTTTTTAAAATAAAAATTTTTTTTTTATACATTTTCTTTTTTCGTATCAGGTTTTATGAAGTGTATCTTTTTCAGATTTAAAATTTTCAAATGTAACTTTCTGAGAAAAATATTTACAGATTTTATGTTTTCACATTTTTTATAAATTTTTTTATAATTTTTCTTCATATCAAGTTTTATGAAGTGTATCGTTTTTTTATTTTATCTTCAGATTTTTATTTTTCAAATTTTCTTTAACAGATTATGTTTTCACAATTTTGTTATAAAAATGTCTTTTTATAAATTTTCTTTTTTTTTTCTTATCAGGTTTTATTAAAGTGTATTTTTTCAAATTGTGTTTTCTCTTCGCCTCTGGGGGGCGGGCCTTCCTCTGGAGGAAGGAGTGACGATGTATTTCTATTGGTCGATGTGAGCATCAAGCGTGGCTCGAAGTGAAGAGAACGTGAAACACAATTTGGAAAGAATGCAAATCATAATCAAACCCCTAAAAAACAGAAAATAAAATTTGAAATATATACTTAGTTAAAAAAGCATAAAAAATGCTGGTATAATTTATTATTTTAAAAAAATCGATTTGAAAACACAAAAGTTACTCTTAAGCTTTTGTTTTGATTAAAAAAAATTCTCTGTATTTTGTTTTTGCTTTTTTATTGCTTGTAACAATAATGGAATAAAGTTCCCTCCATAGAACAGCGCTGGTCTGGTTCTGATCCAGACCTGAAACTAGACAGAGCTCCTCAGGGATCAGTTTTAGGCCCCTCCTGCTGTTTATTTTACTGGGATAATTTCTTTACAGCATGGTGTTTATTTTTATCTACTTCTTTATTCACTTTAACGATCTAAAGGGGGGGGGATGACTTTACATTTCATTAACTGTATTAGCTGCAACGCTAGAGGAACCAAGTTTGGACCTGCAGTGCCACAAATCTGTTTTTAAAGGAAATAACTTTTTTTTTTTTTTTTTTTTTTTATCAGAGAGTTGGATCAATATCATCATTAGCTTCTTTTAGCTTAGCCAGCTGGCCCAGATGAAGCACTCAGAGATGCTAACCCACGCAGCGTCACCGCGCGGCTGGATTACTGTATTTATGGGCTTTATTTTGGTGTCAGCAGGTCTTTAATCACACGTCTGCAGATGCTGCAGGGCGTCTTTAGGCTGACGAATACAAGTCTGAGGAAATTTCACCAGGTTCAGCTTCTCTTCTGGATGCAGGTGTTAGAAAAATGTATGTTATCGTTTTATGTTAAGTAACAGGCATTCGGCCTGTTAGGAATGTTCTGTTACGAAAAGTCAGGCTCTATCCAGTCATGTGTGTTTGCAGCTGACTGGTCGTCACCTGCAATAAAACTGCACAGGTAATGCTCTATCATGTGTTAACCTCTGACCCCTCCTGTTATCCTTTTGAAGTCCGATAATAAAAGAGGCAGAAAAGAGAGTAGACTACAGTCGCATCCTCTGTCTGTTCTCTTTCCTTTTCTGCAGAAAAGCAACTTATTTTGTTTGGTTTTCATTTCTACGACAATAAGGTTTTATTATTATTTAACCCCATCTGCAAGTCTTTCAGATTCTCCAGCATTACGCTGCCGCGTGTTATGCATAAGTCAGGCTGTCGTTGGACAGAAGTTTAGAAAGTTCTGCGTATGCGCCAGCGGTTTCGGAGATTTCGGGACGTCGGGCATATGCTGGCTAAATCTGCAAGGTGTGACAGGGACCTTACCTGCAACTTATGGCCCAGATATGGCATACGCTAACCTGACTCCGCATATCCATCTGGAAACCTTCCGTTGAAGTAATTTTGGGAAGGGGCGAAAATACCGGTTAGCTGATTGGCCTATATTGGTGATAGACGGGCCAAATAAACCAATCAGATCAACGAAGCATATGAAGTACTAACAGAGCAACGACGAAGAGGAGCCAATTGATAGATCAAACTCTTGCAGAAACCAGTCGGGAGAAGAGCAAAAACATCTTTTCCTCTGAGAAAAGCCTCCAGAGCAGTGTTTTGCTCTTCTTTCAGTGAACAAATACTCTGTAATTCCCATAAAACTTGCTCAATAGCCACGCTAACGCTAGTTTTATCGGCCTAAGCCGCCATGTTCTTTAGAATGAACTGTCGCGCTTCTCGTTGCGTCACACCTCAACCCGCCTCAAAGCCAACGCTGATTGGACGTTCGTTTGGTGAACGGCTCCAAATTTTCTTTAACGGAGAGTCTCCAGACTGATCTGCGAGTGAAACCTTGAAAGCTCGCGAGATCAGGATGGTCTCACGAGGCTAGGCATACGCCGGCATACGTCAGGAAATTTTCAGCATGCTCAAAATTTCTCGACGTTCTCGCCATAAATCAACGTGTTTCAGCACGTTATACGACTTATACAACGTATGCTAATGTTTTTGCCAGATATTTTGTACGTCAGGCATACGCTGGTCTGAATAGTCATGGTGTGACAGCGGCTTTATTCGATTTCTTTTTAAAGTTGTATTTCTGCATTTTCTTTTCAAATTTCGAACAGGAACATTACGTTCAAAAATAATGGAACAAACTTAACTCCGTACATCTCCTGCTTTAAATAGTTGGTTTTCTGTTGACTGTTAAACTTGGCTTTGTGTTTTCAGGGCTTTATAAATAAAGTGGATCCATGGCGATCATCATCAGCCCGTCTTCCTGTAAAGATTCACTCACATAGATTTTGTCCTTGCTGTATCGAACCCGGACGTTGTTCAGCAGAGTGGCTTCATTCAGGTACATCAGGGAGCCTGTGAGGGAGAGACGGGACACAGTGATGCAGAGCGGTGGAGCGCCACCTGCGGGATCGAAGGTGGAAAAGCATTCATCAGCAGAGACGGGACGACTGAAAGCTTACAGTTATCCTCCACATGTTTGTTCACGTCGTCCTCGGCAGGAAACACCTGGTTGACGGGAGCCAAGAACGTCTGCAGGAGGAGAGAAAGACGTCAGTGAACGCGGTTCCTAAACGCCGCAGCTGCCTGCGGCGAGGCGGATGAACCCAGAGCCAAACGCTGCTCTGATGGACGCCGTCAGCCTCAGCGTCTCCAGATCAGCCGTTCACTGCAGCGATGGATGCTGAGATAAAACTTCCATCCGAATTAAAATACCGTATTTCCTGGACTATAGAGTGCATCTCACTATAAGCTAACTAAGCTAACAGCTGTTAGCCAACCAATCAGGTCTGACCTGCACCTGATCAAAGCAGCGTTTCCAGAACTAAACCTGGAGGGAACGGATAAAGCGCCCCCTGCTGGCTAACAGCGTACGTAGCGGATCCCTTTTTCCATCTGCTTGGAAAAGCGACGGCAGAAAGGAAGCAATATTTTATGATAAATACAGATTTTGTAGCAAAAGGTTAACTTTCATCAAACAAATGCTAAAAGTTGACTTTAGATGGCATTAAATATAAACAAGAAGTTTTGTTAGTGCCTGTTTTTTTAATCATTCAGAACCAAAATCAGATCAAACAGGATTGAGGTGGAGAGAAGGTTTAACTATCAGCTGTTGAACCGTCCGTCCGTCCTCCTGATGATTTACTGATTCTGCTCCTTCCTGAAGCAGCAGGAAGTCCAGCCTCTGATGGACCTTCAGGTACCTGGAGAGGCTCTCTCTGGCCTCCATAATCTCCTCCTCTGGATGATGAAGAGTGGATTATTTGACCAGCTAAGCTGTTAAGGATGTAGATGGTCCGTCTCCATGGTAACCTTCCCTGGACAGACCCCTCCTGGGCAGTAAATCACAGAAATGTTTCTGTTTGGAGGAGGCGAGACCCTCGGTGTGTGCTCAGCGGGTGCCGTCTAATTCCTGGGTTATCTGCTCTGATCTAAGGTTTGAAAACTGTCTCCAAACCTCAGATCAGAGCAGGACTGATTCAGAGTTCCTCCACTAAAGCAGAACCAAACGGACCCCCCCTGCAGCAGCGGGACAGCAGGATCCGTTTATTCAGAACTCCTTTAGACAGAGCAAGAACTGCTTCTTCATGCTAATCTTTGCTCTGGTTCTGCAGCAGCAGTTCTTAGATACGAGTCCTTCAGAACCGCTCCCTGTCCACCAACAGCTGAACTCTCCTTCAGAACCCAGGCAGGTTCTGATGGAGCCCAGTTTTAGAACCGGCGGCATTTCATCTTGATCTGCAGATGATAATCCATGCCGTCCTCACAGCTGAGTTCTGGTGTCTGCGTAGGGGTTAGAGCAGCGCTGGATCCCCACAGCCTCCGCTCTGGGTCCCTGAGCACGCTGCTCCCACCAGGCACCGCACAATGGCAGCCCACTGCTCCCCAAGGGGAGGGGTTAAATGAAGAGAACACATTTCCCCCTTAAATCATCAGATCCGACTGGAAAACCTGCAAGTTTCAACTTTTCCTCCGTTTTCAGCACATTTTAAACCTTTGATGAAAAAAACAGACATGAGCAGAAAACCCAGGAATGTGTGACATCACTGTTTGCTCTGAGCACACACCGAGGGTCCCGCCTCCTCCAAACAGAAACATTTCTGTGATTTACTGCCCAGGAGGGGTCTGTCCAGGGAAGGTTACCATGGAGACGGACCATCTACATCCTTAACAGCTTAGCTGGTCAAATAATCCACTCTTCCTCATCCAGAGGAGGAGATTATGGAGGCCAGAGAGAGCCTCTCCAGGTACCTGAAGGTCCATCAGAGGCTGGACTTCCTGCTGCTTCAGGAAGGAGCAGAATCAGTAAATCATCAGGAGGAGCCAAGCGGGAGGAACCGAGCAGGAGCAGCATCCCGTTATCCATCATCCACTAAAACCCAGGAGGGGTCAGGGTTCCATCTGTTCCTGTTTGACGGCAGCTGAATAATTCCTGCCAATTCTTTCAAAGGTATTTATGAATGTTGGGTTTAATCTAATCTAATCTAATCCTTGAACACCTGCAGCTGCTGCGCCGTCTGTCAATAAATTCCGATCCATTGATTCATTTTAAGGAACTATTCGATCATTAATCCATCAAATATCAACAGATTAACCGATGAGATAATTCATCGTTAGTTGCAGCTCTCCATCGTCCAACATTGCTGCCAAAGCTTCACCAATCATGGGAAACATTTGGTCATGAAGGAAAAAGAGGAAGCATCTGAAAGGGTTAATAAACTGGAAGATGTAAGCCCCTCCCCTTCCTGCCAGGAGCTGACCTTAGCTTTAGCTTTAGCGTTAGCGCCGAGGAAGAGGAGAGAAAGAACGATGTCTCAACATGTCTAGAAAACTCTGAACTGCTTTAAATTTAAACATTTAAATGATTTAAAGAAAGAGGTTTTAAAAGCTAAACGACCATTGTTTGGTAAAAATGGCGGCGCCCTGCCTCTGCTGTAGGAGGCGGGGCCTTAAGGCCAGCTGGAGGCCTGGTCTCACCTTTCCCTTCTGCTTGAGGGGCTCGATGGTGAGGCTGTCCGCTCCGATGTCCACGATGGATCCCAGCTGGAACCCGTCCGTCGGATGAGGCGCCCACACCGCCTTCCCGTCCTCCATGATGGCGCCCTGCGAACCAGATGCACACGGCGGTTAGAGGTGACCTCAAAGGTCGTGTTTGGAGGAGGAGCTTCTAGTTCTGCTCCATGTAATCCGACCCAAACGGCCGCTGGGTTACATCCTGCTCAGATTAATGTTTAGACCCGAGTTTAAAGCAGCATTTAAGTCTGGTTTGGTTTTTAACGCAGACTAACCTGGACGTGGGTTCTGGATGGGTTCTGGTTCTGTTTCTAATCCTCTGGGTGGATTAGCAGCGGCTGTTTGGGTCGGATCACATGGACCTGCTGTAATCGTATCCTCGGTGCTTTTAGAGAAGCAACCGCTGCCAGAAAACCCAGAAGTTCCTCATTCAGACTATTGAGCACGGAGGAGGAGGTATGATGGTCTGACCCAGAGGGGAGGATGAACCGGGTCATCAACAGAACACTGATCAGACCAGCAGAGGCTGACAGAATTATTCTGGTTCTAATGATTCTGAACAACCAGAACCATCAGAACCTGCAGCTCCAGATCCATCAGAACCATTTAACGGCATCAGAACCTGCAGCTCCAGAACCATCAGAACCATTTAACGGCATCAGAACCTGCAGCTCCAGAACCATCAGAACCATTTAACGGCATCAGAACCTGCAGCTCCAGAACCATCAGAACCTGCAGCTCCAGAACCATCAGAACCATTTAACGGCATAAGAACCTGCAGCTCCAGAACCATCAGAACCTGCAGCTCCAGAACCATCAGAACCATTTAACAGCATCAGAACCTGCAGCTCCAGAACCATCAGAACCATTTAACAGCATCAGAACCTACAGCTCCAGAACCATCAGAACCTGCAGCTCTAGAACCATCAGGACCATTTAACAGCATTAGAACCTGCAGCTCCAGAACCATCAGAACCTGCAGCTCCAGAACCATCAGAACCATTTAACAGCATCAGAACCTGCAGCTCCAGAACCATCAGAACCTGCAGCTCCAGAACCATCAGAACCATTTAACAGCATTAGAACCTGCAGCTCCAGAACCATCAGAACCTGCAGCTCCAGAACCATCAGAACCATTTAACAGCATCAGAACCTGCAGCTCCAGAACCATCAGAACCTGCAGCTCCAGAACCTGCAGCTCCAGAACCATCAGAACCTGCAGCTCCAGAACCATCAGAACCATTTAACAGCATTAGAACCTGCAGCTCCAGAACCATCAGAACCTGCAGCTCCAGAACCTGCAGCTCCAGAACCATCAGAACCTGCAGCTCCAGAACCATCAGAACCATTTAACAGCATCAGAACCTGCAGCTCCAGAACCATCAGAACCATTTAACAGCATCAGAACCTGCAGCTCCAGAACCATCAGAACCATTTAACAGCATCAGAACCTGCAGCTCCAGAACCATCAGAACCTGCAGCTCCAGAACCATCAGAACCATTTAACAGCATCAGAACCTGCAGCTCCAGAACCATCAGAACCATTTAACAGCATCAGAACCTGCAGCTCCAGAACCATCAGAACCATTTAACAGCATCAGAACCTGCAACTCCAGAACCATAAGAACCATTTAACAGCATTAGAACCTGCAGCTCCAGAACCATCAGAACCTGCAGCTCCAGAACCTGCAGCTCCAGAACCATCAGAACCTGCAGCTCCAGAACCATCAGAACCATTTAACAGCATCAGAACCTGCAACTCCAGAACCATAAGAACCATTTAACAGCATTAGAACCTGCAGCTCCAGAACCATCAGAACCTGCAGCTCCAGAACCTGCAGCTCCAGAACCATCAGAACCTGCAGCTCCAGAACCATCAGAACCATTTAACAGCATTAGAACCTGCAGCTCCAGAACCATCAGAACCTGCAGCTCCAGAACCTGCAGCTCCAGAACCATCAGAACCTGCAGCTCCAGAACCATCAGAACCATTTAACAGCATCAGAACCTGCAGCTCCAGAACCATCAGAACCTGCAGCTCCAGAACCATCAGAACCTACAGCTCCAGAACCATCAGAACCTGCAGCTCTAGAACCATCAGGACCATTTACCAGCATTAGAACCTGCAGCTCCAGAACCATCAGAACCTGCAGCTCCAGAACCATCAGAACCTACAGCTCCAGAACCATCAGAACCTGCAGCTCTAGAACCATCAGGACCATTTACCAGCATTAGAACCTGCAGCTCCAGAACCATCAGAACCTGCAGCTCCAGAACCATCAGAACCTGCAGCTCCAGAACCTGCAGCTCCAGAACCTGCAGCTCCAGAACCATCAGAACCATTTAACAGCATTAGAACCTGCAGCTCCAGAACCATCAGAACCTGCAGCTCCAGAACCTGCAGCTCCAGAACCATCAGAACCTGCAGCTCCAGAACCATCAGAACCATTTAACAGCATCAGAACCTGCAGCTCCAGAACCATCAGAACCTGCAGCTCCAGAACCATCAGAACCTACAGCTCCAGAACCATCAGAACCTGCAGCTCTAGAACCATCAGGACCATTTACCAGCATTAGAACCTGCAGCTCCAGAACCATCAGAACCTGCAGCTCCAGAACCATCAGAACCTACAGCTCCAGAACCATCAGAACCTGCAGCTCTAGAACCATCAGGACCATTTACCAGCATTAGAACCTGCAGCTCCAGAACCATCAGAACCTGCAGCTCCAGAACCATCAGAACCTGCAGCTCCAGAACCTGCAGCTCCAGAACCTGCAGCTCCAGAACCTGCAGCTCCAGAACCTGCAGCCCCATAACCATTAGAACCTGCAGCTCCAGAACCATCAGAACCTGCAGCTCCAGAACCATCAGAACCTACAGCTCCAGAACCATCAGAACCTGCAGCTCTAGAACCATCAGGACCATTTACCAGCATTAGAACCTGCAGCTCCAGAACCATCAGAACCTGCAGCTCCAGAACCATCAGGACCTGCAGCTCCAGAACCTGCAGCTCCAGAACCTGCAGCTCCAGAACCTGCAGCCCCATAACCATTAGAACCTGCAGCCCCATAACCATTAGAACCTGCAGCTCCATAACCATTAGAACCTGCAGCTCCATAACCATTAGAACCTGCAGCTCCAGAACCTGCAGCTCCAGAACCTGCAGCTCCATAACCATTAGAACCTGCAGCTCCAGAACCTGCAGCTCCAGAACCATTAGAACCTGCAGCTCCAGAACCTGCAGCTCCAGAACCTGCAGCTCCATAACCATTAGAACCTGCAGCTCCAGAACCTGCAGCCCCATAACCATTAGAACCTGCAGCTCCAGAACCTGCAGCTCCATAACCATTAGAACCTGCAGCTCCAGAACCTGCAGCTCCATAACCATTAGAACCTGCAGCTCCAGAACCTGCAGCTCCATAACCATTAGAACCTGCAGCTACAGAACCTGCAGCTCCATAACAATTAGAACCTGCAGCTCCAGAACCTGCAGCTCCAGAACCTGCAGCTCCAGAACCATCAGAACCTGCAGCTCCAGAACCTGCAGCTCCATAACCATTAGAACCTGCAGCTCCAGAACCTGCAGCTCCAGAACCATTAGAACCTGCAGCTCCAGAACCTGCAGCTCCAGAACCTGCAGCCCCATAACCATCAGAACCTGCAGCTCCAGTGAAAACTTCCAGGAAAGCTTTCAGTCTATCCGCTGCGCTGAGCTCCAGTCCATGAGGGACCCACTGAGAGCATCACTGGTTTCCATGGAAACCAAGGCAGGAAACATCCGACCTTTAAACTGGAGAGATCGGCTGCCAGTCAATAAACAAAGCTTCGTCCCTGAAACATGCAGCCACGGCTCAGCGGGGTGGGGGGGGGCATCAGGGAAAACAAAATAAAAACCCAAAAAAAGCTTTTTCTGATTAGAATAAACCGTCAGATTAGAAAAGTTAACTCAAATTACCAGAATAAATGTGTTTTATTAGGAAGAAAGAATGAAAGGATTTATTGACCAACTTCACCAAACTGAAGGATGAACCCAACATTTTATCTACATCTTTAATCTCCTAATCTATTGAATTATTATCTTCATATCCCATAAGTGTATTTACACTTCATTTAAGACATTTTTACTTATTTCTAGATAGTTTTTTCCAGCGTGGCTGTAATTTCATTCCTCCATTTGGCGTTTATCTTCCTGTAAAGCAGACGGGCGGCTTCAGAGCAGAGTTTACATATTCAAACGAGCCGCTGCTGCCGTTTGCTCGGCTCTGAAGGAGGACAGAGACGACGGCGGCCAAATATGGCCGACCTGGAGGTTCTGACCGCCAGGAAAGAAACTCTGTCCTTCTGAAACGGTTCAGGAAGCTTCCAGCTCCACGCTCAGACACCATGTTTGCTGCTCTAGAAGGAAACCGGATCGGCTTGGAGGTCGGGTTCTGAAGCAGCAGGCAGGAGGACTGGGAATAAGGATCCAGATATTCTGGATCAGAACATGAGCTCTAAAAGCAGCGTGCATCAGGCTCACAGACGGACTGGAGAGCCGCTTCCAGGAGGCGCTGCAGCGTCTCTGAGAGGACGACACGTTTCACAGGAAGCGCCGTTTGGGTCGGCGTGTCGACCCACATCCCCGCTGACAATGGGCCGATTGTTGGAGCGCGCTCAGAGTGAGCTCAGAGCAGAGACCACTCGGCCGGGTCACGTGCAGAACCCAGAGGCTGCGGCGGGTTCAGCTGCTCATCTGGACCTGCTGATCACAGTAAATGTGACGATGTGAAACCTGCAGCTGGACTGAGCTGCAGATCCACCAGAACTCCTGGGTTCTGTTTGGTTCTGGTCGGGTTCAGTCCTGGATTTGAGGATTACATCAGTTATCTGGCAGAAGAGAAAAGCTCCAGGTCGGACCCACAGCCGGGCACGGCAGCGGAGTCATGATGATCTGGGCTGGACCACGATCTGGGCTTTTATGGAGAGAAATTTGCTCCAACAATATGAAAAGTAAAGAACAAGTTTAAAAAAAAAAAAAAGAAAAAGAACTTTGTCTTAAATGTAATTTATAACGTTTATATTTATAAAAAGTTCAATATTTTTTAAATTT